CCCTTTCTTATTTGGTTTCCTTAATATTTTGTTCTGAGTCGTTTTAGTTTTAGACTTCAGTTCCATGGCTCCTTGTCACATTCTCCATCTAAGGGCCCTCGTTTTGTTGGCTTTCACCGTAATCGCAACATCTTGTACGTCGCTGCTCTCATACCCTGTTGCTGAGACTCCGTCCAAGAAGATAATCGATGTACGGTGCTTGTGTGCTCTTCGAAAGTACAAAAGTGGTGTTGATGAAAGATCTTGGCTTGCAACGTCTTCGTCTTTGATGAAACGGAGGACTAGAGTATGTTAGGCTGACGGGCTACAAATTATAGCTTTATCCGTGAAGTATACCGCAAATTCGACTTTTCCCTCCTCTGTAGCGAATGGAAGTTCCCCCGTAACAACGTCATACACTAATTCATCTTGGTGCACTGATCCCGTCAACTCATGGGTAACAAAATGCTCATGTTCCGAGCTTCTGAGTGCTCAGGAGAGTACGTCCACGGCGTTCTATACCCTCCAAGAGGGGACATCCTTGGTCACGGGTAGTTTGTTTTATATATATCAGCATGGTCCCACGTGGGAAATGCCGATGGACTGCTGCTATAACTGCGAAATCTTGGCCGACGAAGTGAGCCTTTTGTATTGGCCCGTCGAAGAAGACATGAGGAATGCGTCAAAGGCAAACTCAACAACTCCATACACTTTGGTATCTGATGGATTCACATAGTTCGTGCTACCTTGTACTCTTGCACCATGAGCTGACACTACATCAAGCGTATCTCCGTCGGTGTATATCAGCTACACCAATCTGTTTGCCACTGTCAATTGTGTACTCACAGACGCCGTAAGAACGGGAGGGACTTACAGCACTCTAATAGCATACCCACCAGAAGCCTTGTCCACACAAGCCTGTACGCCCGGCACGGAGTCAGACGACCCTTTCGTATTCGAAAGTGGATTCAAAGCGGTCAACTACACACAAATGGAACAGCAAACTGACTTTTGTAGCGAACGCGATTACACAGTCCTAGGCAATCCAAACGATTGGACCAGTCGTTCTGTTCCCTTCTACCTTTCCTTCCCCCCCGGGCTCTCCTTAATAGACCCTGCATGGAAGTCCTGCAAAAATTTCCAGCCAGGCGTTTTTGACCCTCCCCGGACTCTCAATAAAGCGACGGCCTTGGTGGGCTTAGGCTTAGGGGGAAGTCAAACCTCGACAGCGGCCCCTGGAGCAAAGCCAACACCTAGCCAAGTGTCAGCGACGCCAACTCCGACGGCTAACAATGGTGGAAACAATGCAGCAGAACCACCGGTCCCCCCGCCTGGTTCCCCAGAATCTGACCCTCCAATCGCAGGCCCGACGAAAGGTAATCCACCAAATTTAGCCGATCCTCCGGCCATTCCGGTCTTAAACAGTGCCGCGGTCTCAAGTATCATTCAAAACCTGCCATTGGGCGGCAACAATCCCGAAGCGCCTTCCAGCCCTGACGACCCGCACAACTCTGAAGGTAATGGCGAAGGGGATCCCCAGGGAGCTGTAGGCAATAATGATAGCGACCCGCCTCTCCCCTCGATCGGAAACGATCAGATCCAGAAAGCGGATGGCGGTGGTATCGTAATTGGAAGCACAACGCTTCGTCCTGGTGATCAGGTCACAAAAGATGGCACCCCGGTATCAGTCGGCAGTGACCGCGTCGTCATAGGTGATAGCACAATACCCCTAGCTGCACCTACTGGTGATTTCTCGGATCCCAATACAATTGTCATGGCTGCACCAGATCCGATCATTGTTGGTGGGAATACGGTACATGGACTTCCAGCTGGCGGAGTCTTGATAGCAGGCTCAACGTACTCGCCAGGGGCTCACACCACGATATCTGGCATCGCCGTCTCTGTCGCCGCTGATAACGTGGTTGTAGACGGCGTCACCTATACGCTACCATCCCAAAATAGTCCAACTCCGGTTCTGCTTGGCGGACAAACAATCACCAAAGCATGGAACGGTGGCGTTATTATTGGAAGTTCCACATACTTGCCAGGAACCCAAGCTAATGTATTTGGCACCGCACTCTCCGTAGGAGCAGACAGTGTAGTCGTGGACGGCTCCACTTACACTCTCCCAACATCTCCGACGGGGAAACCCATCCTTATCGACGGCAAGTCTATTACAAGAGCTTCCAATGGCGGCGCTGTCATCGATGATACCACTATAGCGCCAGGCAGTCAAGCTATCGTATTAGGTCACACGATCTCCGCCGGCTCCTCATCAGTGGTTATTGATGGCAGCACATACGCATTACCAACAAATACCGTACCTGAGAACGCGGTTGCCCAACTGCTCACGCTTGCAAACGGAGTAGTCATTAGCGCAGGCGGTAGTGCAGCCGCAGTATCTGGCATAACATATTCGATTCCCTTGGACAATGGAGAACTCATTGTAAACGGCAAGACAATGGCCTTCCCAACCGAGGTAGAATCTGTTTTCACGATAGCTGGTCAAACCTTCACTGCGAATCCGACTGGGTTCGTAGTTGATGGTTATAGTGTTTCGCGAGATGGATCAGCAATCACGCTTTTGGGGACGATAGTATCATTAGGACCTTCGGGCTTACAAATTGGCTCTTCGACAATCCCTCTCACCTTTCCGCAGGAGACAGCTGGGTTGCAATCAGTATTTACAATAGCTGGTCAAACGTTCACTGCGAATCCAACCGGGTTCGCAGTCGACGGTCATAGCGTGTCTATGGATGGATCGGCAGTCACGCTGTCCGGAACGGTGGTATCATTGGGATCTGAGGGGCTGCAGATCGGTTCTACAACATGGCCTCTGACACCTGCGCAGGAAACAGCTGATGTTGGCCTCGGAGGCTTGATCATGTCGGGTTTCGGCAACGGGGCTGGAGCAGCTACGAATGTTTCGAGCCCGATGCCTTTCACGGGAGGAAGTCCGAGGTTGCGAGCTGGAGCGTGGAGCACGATTCTAGTTGTATTTGGAATGAGTGCTGGCCTGGTTGCATGTGCATTGTGAGCGGTATAGCATATTCTATCTCGTCTCCAGGTCCAGCAGATACTACACCACACGATGGCTGTAGATCTCATGTCCGGGCTAATTACTAATTCACACCCCGAAACTATGAATCCTTACCGAATCATACCCCAAATTTTGGTGTAGGGGTATGATCCGGTAAGCATAGTTTCGGGGTATGATTCGGTAATTAGCCCTCTCATGTCCTCCCACGCAAATTTACATCACTGTGGATTGAAACCATATTGCCGGAAGATATTCAGGAAGCAAAGACGGAGCTCAACGCAAAGATGGCTTGTCACCCTAAAGATTTGCTTTGTCATGGTGAGGTTCGATTGTGTTCATGCTAGGAATGCCAGTGGGGCAACTCCTTGTAATGGACCTAGGACATAGAACAGTCGCAAGTGGGCCCATAGGGGGTGATAATGATGCATGCAACGAGTCAAGCCAATCGGATGTAGTGGAATGGTGTTCGTGGTGCTATGTAAGTTGGTAGACCTACAGTGGTGATATCTACATGAGCTTTTGATACTTGGCTAAATCAGGATTAGCTCTATCGTTGCTTGGCACATCCTTCGACACCTTCGTTGACAGTAAAATGGGCAAAATCATTCCAACGAGATAACAGGGCGCTCGGAAGTGATTAGAAACACAGACGTGGTGTGGAGGCGAATTCATAATTCTAATGTGAGGTACTGGCGAGGGATGCCAAGAAACTAGAGAGCGGCTATCGGCAACGTAGATCTTCACGTCACTCCTTCGGTAAGCTTGAAAGCTTAACAGACTTCCATGATTCTTGTGAGAGATGGAAGTGAGAGAAAGAACTTTCAGTCCATCCTGGATCTGCCTGTGCGTCCTGGCCTCTAGAACCTACAGCTTCCGTATCAGCTAGGGTTGTCTAAGCAACCTTCGTCCAACTGCGAGCTTCACCAATTGCATCCCAGAGACATGGATTGCTTTCCAATCCCCTTCGTATGCTTCCAATGCGGAACCGATCAAAATCCATGCCATTGCAAGATCGTGGGCCCCACATTGGGTGAGTGTCCAATTGCGCAAGCAGAGAAATTGCTGACTGACATGGCTTAGGATTTGCCACCACTGTCATTGCTGCCGTACGCTTGAACCTCAAAATTCCTTCCACGACCCTTGACTGAAGATGTTTCAGGTAATATGCTGGCCAGGAGCTTTGCTGTGCGGGTGCTGCCTGTCTGATACTGGGAAGAGGTACGCTGGGATACTGCGATGCACGGAAGAGGTTAGCTGACTTCTGAAATTAGGATGCTTGCTGCTCCAGTGGATTCTGGTGGAGCTGTCAACAACGCGGTACCATTCTGAAGACAGGAATCCAAACTTCTGCCAGCGGGCAGCTTCTTCATGGCAGCTACTACTAGCAAGCGGCCATGTCTTTCTCCATGGTGCCAGGCATTGAAATAAGCCTTGTTGACTGAGAACAGCATTGATTCCGCAGAAGGTACAGAACCTTCAATTCATAGGTCTCATAAATCACAAGAACAACTATCCTTTTATTACTGTTGCCGAGCATTGGAGGACACCAGCTGAGAAGAATAAATCAATTGCTTGGAAGATACTGCATGAGTGCCTCCACTGTGTAGATGTTTGAACACGACAAGGCGTTGAGAAATAAGCCCAAATAACGTTAATGCAAGTTGTAATTTCCGAACGAAGATGAAGAAATGTCGGTGGGAAATTCATGCTCGAATTCCCATAGCAAGAAGTGAATGCCGGCTGGCTCAAACTCAAGCCAATGTGTTGACTTCGGCCAACACTTCACCTTTATTCACGACCTTTGACCTTGCTACGCCCCATAAGACGCACACACTCGTTATTGCTCACGCTTTTTACGTTCACTTATTTCGTTTACCGTTGCAACACCGTCAACATCCATACCTTCACACACACAACCTCTTCATATCTTTTTGAGCTCGACCATATCCACCTCTACCTTTTGCTACATTGGTCTATCCTTATGTCGCTCCGCTCACTTGATATGAGCGACCAAGACATCGAAAATGCTCTGGTACCTGGAGCTGGTAATTTCTCTTCCAAATATCTCCTTGGGCCGTAACTGATATCAAACAGCCGGAGGGCTTTCTCTCCAACAATATCCTTATGAGTGCCCAGACCCAAGCTTTGAGTATGCCAGTGAGAGAGATTTCCTCAAGCCTACTGTCGGTATGCTAGCATCAGATATCCTCAACATAGGATAAGATAAGCTTACCGAGACAGTGAACCCCTACGGACCACCATCAAAAACACCATCAAAAACTAAGAAACTGTGCGATCAGGCAGGGCGACCAACTGCTGTCCCGAACCTCGACGATGTTGAGGCCTTCATGTCTGAGCCAGATTATGTGGAACAACCAAAGTCTGAACTAGAAACTCTGCTTGCATCTCAGCACATCCAGAACCCATACCCTTACCCCGGCGACACTGCTCTTCTGCCATCATACAGCTCTGAGCCCCCAGAATCCACCTATGCAATCAATCTGAGAGAGCAAGTGAAGCATGCTCTTGCAAATGCTTGGAAGTATGATCCGATTGGATGCTCGGTCAAGGCCGCCTTTCAGGTCGCTCGAGATCTACCTAGTATCCCAAACCATAGCCTCGCCAAGCAAGAGCACAGCTGGACCACAGGAGGGAAGTTGACAACGGTGAAGAAAGCGCGAAACGCGGCTCGGATAGATTTCGAGCAAGCCAGAAAACAGTACGAGTGGATAAAGAGCTCGGATGAGGATGATGAGATTCTCAACTTCACTGGTACTATCATCGACCAAGAACTTGACGAGTTCTATGGCCCCGATGGTACTGATCTACGTCCTATTGACAATGGCTCTGATGATGAAGGCTTCTGTGAGCCAGATACCATCGTCACCACAACATTCTCGTTGCCTGATAAGTCTCTTTTGGAAGAAGGAGTTACCCCGGGAGGGATCTTCCAAGACTCGGGCATTTCCATGGATGAAGGTTACGCCGAATATTCTCTTGCCCACTCACTCCCCAACACTGCCAAAGAAATCACGGGAATGGTCCCAAGTGATTGGCCAACATTCAACGCAGACGTCGCATCTCTTCGAGTCCCGATTCAGAGAGGTCGATGGCTCGGACTGGTTGGAGACCAGAAGCAGTGTCAATGGCCTGGAAGACGGCAAGGGCCTTACGATCTTGATGGCCTTCACTCTTGGGTTCGCGCTTCGAACAGCGATCATGTGGAGATTCTGAATGAACCTGAAGCTGGCAGCAACGGTAGTCAAGATATGGCGGGGTCTTTCACTCCGCAGCCTGTTGTGAGAGAGACTTCCGTTGGTCGCGATATCGAAGCGGCCGTTAGCCAAGATGTCGACGCCACAGGTGCACGATTCACGGCAGCTTTGGCTGTTGCTGAAACTCGAGATGCAGACCAGATGGTGGACACCCCAATTGTCGACACTACTTATGAGTCCCCACTGTCAGCTAAGGTCACATTATCAATCGAGCCGGTGGAGCGTGCTCAAGAAGTTTCCGAACCTGTTGAGGGGAAAGTCAACGACAAGCCCTCGGAATCTACACCTCAACTTTTGGGCCAGGAGCAATCTCACTTTCTCCATGGCAACAACAAGAGCGGAAGATTAATCGAAAATGAAGAACGATTTCATGAACTTCCCACCTCCGACAAGGAAACAGACAACAACAAGACTTCCGAAGTTGTACCTCAATTGGTGAGCGAGGAGCGATCTCAACACTTTCCTGGCTCCATCGAAAACGGGAGCGACAACGAACCCTCTGTATCTACACCTCACGTCATTGGAGAAGTCCCACAGATCCAAACTGACGTAAAGGTGCATGTGCGTCGCAACATCCTTACTACGCCATTCACCACCCCAGTGAATCAACGAATCAGACAGGTCCAAAAGGTCCAAGTGGATACACCAGCAACTCCTGCGACGGTCAACATCAATCTCACGCCGGAGTACGACAGTGATATGGATGCTGACGATGCCTCTGATGGCAGCCTCGAAGTTGGCCTGCCCAGTTCTCCAACCATTGATACTCAAAAGGGGCAGAGCGCGCTGGGTCGTTACGTGCAAGAGACGAAATCGCAACCAAATCTCGCCCTTCAAGGCAGTAGCACGGTTAGCCTTGATGGCAGCGAATCCGAGGAAGTTTTGCTGATTCCCACGCAGCAGCGCCCCAGCCCACCAGAGGGCCATGCAGGATTCAGCAAAGGTGTGGAGCTCCATCAGAAGAAGAGCGATGCGGTATTCACTCTCGGCACGCCTAAAGCATCACAAGGAACCCCCTCTTCTAGCAAGGCAGCTCATATCCCCGCTACACCAGCAAATGGAGAGGACTCCGCCTCCCTCCGCCCTACCACGCCTTTCCAGCATGACGATCGCAACCATCGCTTCGATAGTCCAAGCACGCCCACTCCGGCGTCTAAACCTGACGAACAGCCTCGCGGTGACTCTTCCCCTAGCAAGAAGAGCGTCATGAAAATCTTCCAGAGTTCAAAGCTGGGGATCCGGAGCCCAGAGCGTGCAAGACCGAGCCCCGAGATCGCCGTCGCCCCTACTACCCCCGCGGCCGGAGCTGGAGCCGGTGAGCAGTATCGCGGTAGCCCTTTCGGCGGCCAGGGCTTGCTTTTCCAGAAGGCGAAGAAGAACGAGAGGGATACGAAGAACGTGCTCAACAGCCTGAAACTGAGCCCCGAGCGAGGAAGCGGACACCCTGTGCGAGAGGTTCCGGAAGATTACGGGGATGAGCTAGCCGGTGAGGAAGGCGTCGAGGTGTACAAGGAAGGGAAAGGGGGTCCAGAGACACGCGGGCCCATGGGTTCGAGATTCGATCTCGGAGCCCGTGGTGGAAGAAAGGTGGCTCAGGCTGTTGTGGTGCCGAGCGTGAGGTCTCGTGACGAGAACGACGGAGGTCAGACTGAGGGAGTGCAGAGCCAAGAGCCGCGGAAGAAGAAACCGAGGAGGTCCACGCGCGGTGTTGGGGGTGCGGATGTTCCGGATGCGGGGCCCTTGTTCGAACACCGAGAGGGATACCATCACAGCTAGGGGCGAGATTGTGAGGAAACTGGCTACCGGTGTGAGGAGGATGTGTTGTACAACTGCCTGCAACAACGACTATGAAACGATGAAAAGCGACTTGTGATCTGGATACGATACGATACGATACCGATGAGCGGATGTGCCAAAATTGATGGAAGCATTAGGTCTAGGTTATGGCACGATACGTTATGATGGACCGAACTTCTTGAATGGATGGATCTCTGTGTGTTAGGAAAGGCGAAGGCTGTTCGTTCTTAGCCTGCCTTGTACAGAAGCTGCTTTTGTACACCCAGAGAAGTGTCTATGGCGCTCTACTTGTGCCTCGGACGGCGTGAGCCTTTATTAAAAGTATCTTGAATTTCGTGTATTGAGAGAGGACGCGAATTGAGCACCATTGACAACATACCAGCATCATTAACGTGAGTGTCCGGTGAAGATCGATCATACAAGGCAAGTCATCTCGAACGATGTAGTACACAGAGGTGTATTCGTCCATGTCTGCGTCACATTTCCAAGACTTGCTACCTATGTACGTTCATCAGTCATACAATCCTCTTCAGAGTCACGTGAAAGCCCATATCATATTGTCCCAACTCGTTTCTCCTCTTCGCCTCCTGCCCAAGAACGCCGATCCCGCAGACCATCATATTTCCCTCTATGTAACCCCAAACGCACTACTGACGCCTTCGAATTGCTCAATCGTCCCACTAATCGGCGTCTTACTAGCTCCGAAATACTTGATACGATATCGACCCCTCTCGACATCGTCTTCAATCTCCCACGTGATCTCTACCTCGCTGGTAGCTAGCACGCTATTCGTTCTCCGCCAGCGGAAAATCAGACTCCAGTCATCGTCGTTCCTGACCTGCACCCATCTCCCATTGCCATCAGCCTTTTCAACGGCAGCGTAAGTGTCTTCAAGGCGAAGATCATTGCGTGGATTCGCGCCTACGAATTTGACACTTGCCATGGATCCGGGTGGATAAAAGGGTTCGACGTCCGAGAGCACGTCCCCGAATGATTTGAAAAAGGGGGCGCGGTCAAAAGCGACGCCGGTGATGAAGCTGAGAGATTCATTGATGTAGATTGGTGGTGCGGGACCTCGAGGGGGGCTAGTGGTGGATGAGGAGTCGAGGTAGGGTAGATAGGACGTTGTGAGGTTGATGTGGGCGTTTAAAGTGTGAGGGCCGTAGAGCGTGGAGGCTCCTTCGTAACGCTGGATGCCGTATTCCTCTTCAGTGGCTATGTAGTGGGTGTAGCTGTTCGCGGGACCGCCGAGGACGATGACAGGATCTTCTCCGGCGGTCAAGGAGGATGCGAGGGCGGAGGAGTGGATAGCTTCTTTCCAGCGGCGGCCTGCCATAGTGGTTGCTTCGCCTGGGCTTACTATGATGATGAGCTGGCCGACTCGGAGCAGTTGGACGTCGACAATGTTGGGAGTCCAGAGGTAGGGGTTCTCGATCTCGCCTACGTCGAGGAGGATGGGTTTTGAGTGGTGGCATGCTATTTGTTCCTCACTTGGCTCACGAAGGAAGCCACTTACGACAGACCAGACTGGGTTGGCATTGGGTGAGCCGGTGTTGTTTTGCTTGAAGTCGAAGGCGCCCGGTCCGTCTGTTGTTCCTGCTGCGAAGGAGTACCCTAGTGCAGCTGGACATGTGGAGACGGTTGATCCATTTGGATGCTCGAATGAAAAGTTGGAAAGGTCATGGAATGCATGCAATGACTTAACGCCGGCTCCTTGCACATGCTTGCCGTTCTCAGCCATGTCATCATAGAGAGATTTTGCACCCTCGAATTGCCTCTTGCCAATCTCAAAGCAGCTGGAAGCACCTTCGTCGTTTTCTCTGAATCCGGGTCCTCGACCATGACAGGGCTCATTCTTTCCACCACAAGTGCTATCTTCGAAATTGCACATCTCTCCAGATCCGTCCTCGCAGTAAGCTCCCAGTACATTAGGAGAGGTATCTCCAACGTTCGCTTGGGAGAAGCCTGCGACAAAACCCTCCTCGGCATTTTCTGATCCTTGGACAGCTTGTTCGAGAAGGATGGCAGCAACGCCTTTGTTGTCGCCAGTGATCAAGGTGTTATTTCCAAGCATTGACGTGCCATGTACAGGAAACCATGTCAGGACACCCAGATTCTTGCCATTCCCGGCACTCTGGAATTTGAGCATAGTCATAGTCTTGTCTACGCTGTGTTCGTATCTCTTCCTCTCTTCTTCAGGATTTGCAAGGTATGCGAACGGGCTTCGGTTGATGTTTGCGTCATGAATGTCCACCGAGCCAAGGCTTAGATGACCCGGCCCAAGAGATTCGTGCGCCCTCTTTATTGAAAGTATCGCGCCATCAACGATAGCCTGATAGCTTTGCTTGTTGAATCCTTTGCTGGTGATTTGAGGCAACAGATAGTTGAGCCATGCTCCAGGTCCTGAGTGTGAGTGTGTCCCTGTAACAGCCACATTCTTTTGCCCATAGATAGCATATTCCGGCCCCAACTCGGACAATCCTTGGAGTATACCGTATCTGACAGCTGTATCACCAGATTGGGTGTCCAGTACTAAGTACACGAAGCGGTCCTCTGAGTTGACAATGTCACCAACAATGAAGGCGCGGGAGTAAAGGCGTTGCCGAAGACCTGATCCAACTTGTGCGGGGTCTGCATAGCCCATCATATTGATCTCCACGACAGGCCTACTCGTATTGATTCAGCAACACATACTTTCCACAGTCCCGAATTCTCAACTCGAGAGCCATACCCTGTTATGTCTGCCTTTCCCACACCAATACTGTATAAAGTCCCATCGTCGGCGGCTTTTTCCCCCACATCGTATGGCGAATTTATGGGGTACTGGTTGTGTGCAGATCCTATTATGGAAGCGTCGTTTGTGAGATGCATAAAGTCAAGTGCGGGTAGACCGAAATGTGAGATCAATTGGAAGGTGACGAGTAGTGCCAAAGTCGCAGCGCCCAAGGCGGCGGCGATATGGAAGCGTGCCATATCTGTAAGCTTCGCTGTGGATTTGAGATGGACATTGACATAAGACGAGTACGTTCATAGGCGCAAGAGTCGAGGTGCTGGGAGGGTTAGAAAAGGATGCGGCGGGAAAAGGTTCTTGTTGAACAGTCTACGGCAAGTTGTACGAAAATTATGGCATTACGGCAAGGTGTGCGCAATATAATCGTGTCTACCCCCATTTGCGCCCTACCCCCATTTGCGCCCATTTAAAATCCGATAAATCCGACATAGATAGCTACCACTACCATGGCTATGGCGACCACTATTACTTATTCAAATAGCTTACTACCATAGTCTAGCATGATGGCTAATGCTACGGTAGTATAGTCGCCGTCTATAGGCTTGATATAGTAGACGTTGGAATTATCGGATTTAAAATGGGCGCAAATGGGGGTAGGGCGCAAATGGGGGTAGACACGATTAGGGACAATCTCAAGGTTTAGATCCAAATCTAAGAATTTAGAGACCTACGAGGTCCCCCAGTATATACTTCAGAAATCTTTGATACCTGTATCTCATCGACACCTGCATCATTTCACACAACATAGGAGCAACTTCTTCAAGCTGGAAACCATGTCAGTCTCAGGGGTTAAAACTCCAAGAATGAAATAGAGGCCCATCCTCAAATTCTCTAGGCACGACTTTCCAATCAGACCTCGAGTATCTCGTTGCGCTGTCCGGCCCCTTTTCTCACAAACACATTACGATTCAGACGGTGATGTGACACATCCACACACTTATCCAGCTCGCATATTCTCTGATAGAGGAAGCGTATTCTTCAACATCTTGGTCTCGGCTTCCTCGTCATTCAGCCTTAGTAACTCCTGCAATCTGCGATTGGATAAGAAACGAATCATCAAAAGTGAGACTCGAGTGTGTCACAAGACGAACTTTCAACACGTCTATACGTACCTTGGCACATAAGCTTCAAGGTAGATAAATCACCCTTCAGACACAGAGACGGATGAACATACTTGCAGCACATTCGTACTTCAGTATAGACTGTTAGAGAGAGTCACTCAACGGCCGCTTGATCCAGCTTCCAAATCACAAGGCGTTTTATTCACGTATTCATTCAGACGCAATCACAAGCATCAGATCAAGTGCGGGCTACCTCTTCCAGCTTCAGTATCAAATTGGTCTTTCGTTCGGACAGCAAGCCAGGAGACAAGCAAACCACGTAGGACGAGATCAGCAACACCAAAAATGTGTCTAAATGGTTCGAGAAATTCAAAACATCCCCAAGCCAGTCAATGCTACCCTTAAGACGTATCCAGGTTTTTTGCCAGAAGAAATCATTCCTCATGTGGAGAGCGTGGTGAGCATCTTACCTCTCTGGACTTCGATCCCAAAAAGCACCTAACCGCTGCTAACGACTGAATAGCGCACCCAGGCTTTCCATGAATGATCGTATCCATATATTGATCAACTATTGTTCCTCGACTCACCCTATCCAAGCATCCTGACTACCCAGAAGTACTCTCGCGTCTTGGGAACGGGCAAACCTTCTTTAATCCAGGATGCTATTTCGGCCATGGTTACGCAAGCTGCTCTTCGATGGTGTGCCATCCTCAACCGCCCTGTATGACTTGGACATTGTGCCGGCCCTTTTCAACCTCGGTTACGAGCTTTTCCGCGACCAAGAGAAGCTTCATGCAACCTTTATCGTTGGAGGCTTGCTCGAACCCGCCAAAAACCTACCATCGTTGGATGCGAAGATCGATATGATAGGCGCTCTTAACCTTCTTTACCTCATCCGCCTTGAAGAGCAAAAACGCGTGGCGTGTCGTCTTACGGGATCTACAAAGCAAGTCTCCAGCTCTACAATCCTAGGCCGACAGATTGGAGTTCCAGTGGCCGGACAATATCATGGATTCACGAAAGATACCACGGTCTATGTGCGCAACGTGAAAACCTTCCAGCATTTTTGGGAGGACGTAGCTGTTGCCACTGGTAGTACGTGGACTGTCGATGCGTTCCTTGAATCCGTGGAAAGCCAATGTCTCAAGTAAGTCCTGGGCGAAACCCGATATGAGTTGGCTGTACCTCAGAGTCATCAGGCAATGAGTGCTTTACGCTGAGTATGAGTTACCGAAATTTATATAGAATCACTCGGACCTCGTGAATAGAAGATGCCTTGGAGAGGAACATCTTTGCGCTCCTCTTGCTCGAGACGACCGTCGCATTCCCGATGTCCATGGAGGACGTTGGCTGCGGACGCAAATCCTTAGTGCTCTCATTGTCAGGGAGCCGCGTGCTCCTTGGCTGTCTGACCAAAGCTCTCGATGCCAGCGAACCCATTGAATTTCCGACAATGTTTCCCATCAAACGTCGCATGCCGCTCTGCAGGAGCGAAGGGCGGTTTGGTCCAGCGGTTGCAGCTTCAGGACAGTAGGACCTTCATGTAGGATCCTCGCCGCTTGGCCTCATTAGTGCCGAGCACAGGTTCCCGTATGTCTAGATCGTGCTTGCCACTCGAGTCTTGAATGAAGAATATGTACTTAACGCGAAAATATCACCTGTGTGCACCCGGACATTTGGATCATAGAGTCCCGCAGTACAGTCTATTGAACATCCACATATTTGTTGCCTTCGTTTGTTGGACTGAATTCGACCAGGTATTCTAGCAGGTCGTCGGCTACAAGTTCAAATCGAGGCCCAGTCATCGTCCGGAGAAAGCTCCTCCTCAGCTTCGAATCTCCACTACTTGTTCCCGTATTGCAACTGCAATACCTTGCCATTCGTTACGGGAAGTCAAAGTCGGCTTTGCTGTGCCCGGGAAGCTGAGATCTGCGTTCTCGCTCAACTTCGCTGGGTACTCGAAAATTCTGTCCTTGAGGAGAGTTTTGGGGATATGCCAGACCGCTGGCACGCACACTCCACTATCACTCTTGCAAAGATTGTTGTGCCATTGGTAGACTTATTTTGTTTTTCTCAAAATTCAATCGGTCTTCGACAACGTAGATATTCCCTTTATCCTAATCTTTGCTGCGCAAGTAAAAGTAGCGTACTATGAATGCCCTGATGCAATGACAGCTCATCTTCTGGCAGCTCGTCGTATCCCAGATCGCGATCCCACGGCTCGTCCTTGAGCAACGTAACGTCCGACGGCTTGAGATCCGACTTGTCTTCGTTGCAATTATCATCCTGCTGCAATGAATCGTACATGGCCGGTCCTGCTCGAAATTTGATGTGGCTTTAGAATCCATGCACGTCCGGAGTAGCGACCAGTGACTTACCGCTTCTATGTTATTCGCGGCTGTACTCCCCAGAGCTCGGGGAATCACTAAAGGCTTTCTTGCCTTGATCGGATTCATCTGCACTCAAATTCTCACTATCTTTGTCTCCAAGTGATATAGGAGTCACCTCATCGACGACATGTTGCTTGTATGTCATCGCAGCGAGTTCATCATCGTCAGTTCGTCGCTGTCATATCCATGGCCATCCAGCTGGTCGCCGTTGAGTTCGTAAGATCCCATCATGACATCTATTACGGCACGAGACTACGTCTCCTACCCTTGACGTGTTCACACTTCTTATCGCCAGCATCGTACGTTGCACCCAGGGTCCTCACCAGAGTTCGATAGAAGCCGAATTCCAATGAATGTAGTATGGAGACGCCAGAGGGATCCTCGCTACGCAAGCACAACACTATCTGAAGAAGCTCAATGTGAAGACCGGGGCATTGTGTGACGTTGCGAGTCGAGGCGGAGGATATATTCTCTGAAATCTTTTGTTCGCCATGATCGCTAGTGAAGAGCAAGGGTTTCAGATATACATTCTGAATGGAGATCGATACTGTTAATCCAGATGGATACGTCCTCTTAGGCCTTGGCTCGTCTGGTACTGTTAATTGGTCTGAGTTGGATATATTAGAGTACAAATGCTTTCTGGCCATCGCAACATATCCTCCATAGTAGAAGGCAACGTGACATCTGTTAGTATTGATAGGTCATATCTCAGTACGCTCTTGCTGCGGATTGACCTGGGTAGGTAGTATCAAGTTTCAAGGTATCGATTGCAGGCTCTGCAATTTTGATTCTCCGTAGAGGTCAAGCTTCAAATTGCCCTGAGTATACTCATCTTCACAACGAACCACTCTGGCATGATATTTCTGCCTGCAGATTTACTCAAAATGATATTTCAAACACTTCAAGATATTACATCTTGTCTTCAGGTTCTGGAGATTGAAGATTCGTGATGACTCCACGCGAGGTTGAGGGCCGTGAGGGTGCCGTTAATTTTTGTCATCTCGGCAACTTTTTCTAGACAACTTGCCTCTCCAATAGCGCCCTTCAACTCTTCATGTCTTGCGCTTTCTAGTCATCAGGTATCTAAGCTGTTAGCACACCGACCCATGGGCTACAAAGCCAATTATACCACGGAGATGGTCTCGAAAGATAAAGGACTCGCGCCCCAAACACAGTAGCCCTCAGTCTTGCTGACCTTCGCAGTGCTGAGATTGGAGGATTGTCTTAGCAATGTCCCACTACGGCCAGTACAATGCAGCAGGCTACCAAGTCCCAGGCGGTGACCCTCGACAAGCAAAATCTGGAACACCGTCAGGACCACCGCAATCCCGTCCTCAAGTAGCTCCCACTCCGCCTGGGTACCAGCAAGGAGGGTCGCATTATCCACAGAACACCCCGAGTCTCCAGCACAGCCAGTATGGCCAAACGCCCCAGAATGGGTATCAATATCAGGGGACACCGGGCCAAGACCAGGGGTACTTCTCTCTCCAGAGCCAAGCTACGATGGAGGATCAAGGTGCAATGGGGGGATTGACTTCACAAATGGGAGGAATGGGTCTAGGAGGGGACGGTGCTGCTGCAAGTCGACCGAATAAGAAGAAAAACCGGCACGCATATCATAATATCGACCAGCCGGTGGTGTCTTCACAAGCGTTCAACCAGAGCACGGGAAATGCCGAACAGTACGTGAATCAGGATCCGTCTCAGCAAACGGGGGCTGGCAATCCATACGGTGGCCAGCAAATTACACCCGCTATGAACCAATTCCCTGCGCAAGCCGCTCCTTCTTTCTCTCCGGGCCTACAGTCTTCGGGCGCAGGGGTCGCAAATGCAGCTACACCGATGCCAGCGCCTAGCGGACCTGGCGTATCAGCTCAAGGGCGAGTGGATCCAGAGCAAATACCGAGCATACCACGAGCTCGGGATGGTGCTGCACAGTACTACCTAGATCACATATACCCCACAATGGAGCAACATCTCCCCCCACCCGGGGCTGTGCCTTTCGTTGCCCAAGATCAAGGCAATTCGTCCCCCAAATATGCCAGACTCACGCTCAACAATATCCCGTCAACATCAAATTTCCTTTCCCAGACCGGTCTACCATTGGGGCTGGTCCTCCAACCGTTGGCTCCTCTCCAAGCCGGGGAACGACCGATACCTGTCCTCGACTTTGGAGAACTGGGTCCTCCTCGTTGCAGTAGATGCAGAGCCTACATTAATCCTTTCATGACATTTCGATCTGGCGGCAACAAACTTGTCTGTAATATGTGCACCTTTCCCAATGATGTCATTCCAGAATATTTTGCGCCCACGGATCCAAGTGGCGTCAGGGTAGATCGAGCACAACGGCCCGAATTGACGACAGGGACTGTGGAATACTTGGTGCCAAAGGAGTACTGGGCTAAGGAACCTGTAGGCTTACGGTGGCTGTTTGTCATTGATGTCAGTCAAGATGCGGTTAGCAAAGGTTTTCTAGAAGCATTCTGTGAGGGCGTTCTCAGCGCTCTTTATGGTGAGGACGAAGACGATGTAGATGACGAGAAAACAAATAGCGAAAATGCGTCGGAGAAGAGAAGAATCCCTATTGGATCCAAAATTGGATTCGTGACATTTGACAAAGCTATGCATTTCTATAATTGTAATGTAAGTGGTCGACTGAAACATGTACCATGCATAGCTGACAATTGGCAGGAGAATTTGGAAAGAGCTCAAATGCTCGTAATGCCAGACATCGAGGATCCCTTCGTGCCACTCGGTAGCGAAGGACTCTTCGTCGACCCATACAAATCAAAGTACGTCTCCTGTCTCCAATATCACGTCGGAGACAGACTGACCCATTAGGTTGATTATAACCTCTCTTCTCACGCAATTGCCAGCCCTTTTTTCGCACGTCAAGAATCCAGAGCCGGCTCTGCTGCCTACATTGGAGTCGGCATTGTCGTCACTGAGCGCCACAGGTGGAAAGATAGTGTGTTCCTTAGCATCATTACCGACATGGGGGCCAGGCAGGCTGTTCCTCAGAGATAAAAATGATTTGCACGGTATCGAAACCGAGAAAAAGCTATTCCAGACAGACCATCCTGGTTTCAAGAAGCTTGCGGGCAAAATGGTCGAGAGTGGTGTTGGCGTCGATTTCTTTATCGCTGCTCCAGCCGGAAAATACATGGATATTGCCACCATAGGTTCGTTTCATCAGTATTTGGAAATTTAATGCTGTTGTGTGGCTAATGGCTGGATCAGGTCATCTCTCCGCAGTTTCCGGTGGCCAGACTTATTTTTATCCTAACTACATTGCGCCTCGCGACTCGCTCCAGCTTGCGCAAGAGATCAAGCATACCCTCACCCGAGAGACAGGATACCAAGCGCTTATGAAAGTCCGATGCTCGAACGGCCTACAAGTCTCATCATACCACGGCAACTTCCTACAGCACAATTTTGGTGCTGATCTCGAATTTGGTGTCATAGATTCTGACAAATCAGTGGGTGTGATGTTCAGCTATGACGGCAAGCTAGATGCCAAATTGGACGCTCACTTCCAGTGCGCTCTGCTATACACTACGGCTAGTGGAGAACGTCGCGTTCGCTGCACGAATACAGTTGCTGGAGTCAGTGAAGGGGCTATGGAAAGCATGAGGTTTATTGATCAAGATGCTGTGGTCAACATTATTGCAAAAGAGGGTAGGCGAGAGCAATCCGTGCTGGAGCTTTTCGTTCCATCTTTGCTAACCATTCTCACAGCTGCGACAAGAATGATTGAGCGACCACTCAAGGATGTTCGCAATGCACTCACTGAGAAGACCATCGATATTTTGGCAGGGTATCGAAAGACTGGTTCTGGTTCACATCCTCCCGGTCAGCTTGTCTTGCCGGAAAATCTGAAGGAATTCAGCATGTATGTCCTCGGCTTGATGAAATCACGAGCGTTCAAGGCTGGTCACGAACCTTCCGACCGCCGCACTCATACCATGCGCCTTCTCAAATCGGCTTCGCCGCTCGAACTGTCGCTGTTCCTTTACCCTCGCATTCTCCCCGTACATACTCTCCCGCCGGAATCAGGCTTCCCACATCCTGTTACGGGTCACCTGGTTGTGCCTCCTGCAATACGAGCCTCGTTTTCCCGAATAGAAGAAGGTGGCGCCTACCTCGTGGACGATGGCCAGGTCTGCCTTCTCTGGCTCCACGCGCACGTCTCACCTAATCTTTTAGAGGACCTTTTTGGGGAAGGAAAAACGTCGCTGTCATCGCTGGATCCTATGATGTCCTCGCTGCCAACTTTAGAAACGCATCTGAATGCTCAAGTCCGCAACCTCCTAGCCTACTGGGCGAGCGTGAGAGGAAGTAAAGGAATTACCATCCAACTAGCCCGGCAGGGCCTCGATGGGTCTGAATATGAGTTTGCAAGGCTTCTGGTGGAGGACCGAAATAACGAGGCGCAGAGTTACGTGGACTGGCTCGTTAACCTACATCGACATATTCAGATGGAATTGAGTGGTCAAAGGAAAAGAGAAGATGGCGGTGGTATGTCCACGATGGGCATGGAGAGCGCAGTAGCTGGAATTACGAGTCTGTGGACGGGTAAGGAGGGATGACATGGCATTCCAATCGAAGAGATAGCTTGGTCATGGAGCTGAGGAAGGCCCTGATGTGTGCGTACCGAATGAATTAAGGAGCACATTGTCTTTTTGCGCGGCATTCCCTTGAGCGTTGTCGTATGGTAAATAGATTCTTACCCTACAATCGATTGGCCGCAAGGTCTTCCACTTGCCAAACTCCCTTATACTCAATCCTCTCCCACTCAGTGAAGCGGATCACCAAATGACTCCGGGTTCCATCAAATCCTGGAAAGCCAATAGACGGATCCAGATAAGATGGAGCCTTCAAAAGACCCTGTTCCCCCGGCGAGAAGCGCCAGCGAACGCTAGCATTATTGCCGAACTTTTATCTTATCTCCAGGGGGAAATTGCAGGAAGAAAAGGGAAACGTCCGTCTCTGTTGACGCACCTTACAGTCATCCTCAGTTTCACAAGCATCACTATAGAGCCTGCACATTCTATTGCTACGTTATAATCACAGTCGCCATCATTGATACCTCAAGCTCCCCTCCGCCCATCTCGAGCCGTTCTACATCACGTAGACAATCCGGCGCAACGTCTTCAGCACACTCCACCCCTCGACCAGCAAGCCGGAGGAGCGACATCAACAGCCAGCTCTACCAATTCGCACTTGGCTACCCTCTGACCCCACCTGACACAAGCCCGGTCAAAGAGCGTTCTGAGTCTTCGGTACAACTTGAGGCCTCTGGTCCCGGGGCCAGCATGGGGAGCTTCGTCTTCAAATGGTGCGTTGGGAGACATTGGGAAATTGCACAGATCGGAGAGCAGCCACGAAGACGTCAATGAGAGAGCCAGGAGAAGGCTTTCATGTGAAGACGTGGCACAATAGCGCGCTCATCGTAAAAGCCAAGCCCGCTGACTTCTCCTCACAATAGGCATCATCCAGCACATGAGGTCTACGTGACCGGCACATTCGACGATTGGGCAAAGAGTGTGAAGCTGGAAAACAAGGGTGAATATTTCGAGAAGCTTGTAGAGCTACCCTTGTCGAAAGAGAACATATTTTACAAAGTACGTTACCCCACAGCTGCGCCTTTTGAATGTACTCCGCGAAGAAATCCGGCCAATCCACGAGGCTCGGATTGAGCTGGTCAAACGCCATTGTTTCCACATACCCACGCTACATAAAATGGTGGATGCGCGAGTTCCTTCCGCTGCTCGACTAGCTCAAAAACAAGCGCAAAGGGTCTTGCTCGGCGATAAGGCAACGCTGCTGACATCCATAATGTTCTCTTTCTTTAGAATCGAGCTGCAGTGAATTTACAAGGACGACTTCCTATTTTCTTTGCTTTGTAGTGCATAATCTCGTTCGACTTGATCTTCTGACTGAGCACATTCGCTGATCATTATTCTGTTCAAGTTTGTCGTTGACGGCAACTGGACGACAGATCATACAGCTCCTCAGGAAAGTGACGGCGCAAGCAACGTGAACAACGTCCTCCTTCCCAAAAACATCACAGGACCACACTCCTCAGGCCCAGCAGCTGTAGGGATTATGTCCGGAGTTACCCCTCTATCTACTACTGCAGGCTTGGCGGGCAATGTGCCAAAGGAAGCAGAACGAGATGTAAGGCCAGAGTCAGCATCTTCTGATGTACCGGGCAGCTTGGCCGAGACACCGTTCCATGACGCATCAGAATTCTACGTCGATCCGATTCCGGCGACTTCTGGTATGGGTAACCCCGTCAACTTGGCACCTGGAGAGAAAGTCCCTCATCCGAATACTCTCACTTCCAACACTGTGTCCTCGACTGCTCGTGATGATTCGTCACTCAAGAAGAGCGCAGAGGGCTCTGAGCAGACCTTTGGCGTAGCTCCTCTCCCCGCCACCACTGGCACTGGGAATCCGGTCTCATTACAGCCTGGCGAGAAAGTTCCTCACCCCAGCGAGTTCACTCAAAATACTACAACATCGCACGTAACCACGGACAAAGAGTCATATGAGAACGCAGGGGGTGCGCCACAGCTGCCAGGTGTCGTCACTCCGGACCACGAGCGTGAAGCTCTGGGAGGAATGTTCAAGATGCCAGGGATCGGAGGAACCATGATTCCTGAATCTAGCTTACCAATGGGAGGAGGAGTTGCATCAGAAGTAGATAAAGGCCCAGTGATACAATCCGCTGGAGCACAAAGCACAACGGCTGCACTTGCGGGTAACGTGCCGTTGGAGCGGCGAGGGGTACCTGAGATCGTTCAGGAGAGTCAGCAAGAAGCTGGATTCGGTCCAGAGGCCAGTGAAAACAGGGAGGCTGTGAAGGAAAAGTCTGCAATGGAGAAAGAGCTCGAGACCAAAGTCCCAGAAGAGCCAGCTACGTCTGAAAGCACTGGTGTAGCTGCATCTGAAGGCACCGATGGCGCCAGTGGTGGCATGGGCAAGGACGCTGCGATGGCCGCTGGAGGTGTTGCGGCTGGAGGTGCAGTGGCTGCCGCCGCTACAGCTTCTCACGGTCTCCCAGCGTCAGTACAGCACTCGATCGACGAGATGAACAGAGGGTCTGCCATCGCTCCAACGGTGCCAGACGTTGTCCAAGAATCTATCACCGAATCTCATCAATCACCAGAGGCAGCCGCAGACAAGACAATGGTCGGAGAGAAGAGTGCAATGGAGAAGGAACTGCTGTCTGACGTCAAGAGGGAAGATGGTGTTGGAGAGCCAGCCCCTTCCTCAAGCGCTGCGTTGGCCGAGACTGCTCCAGCTCCCACTGGATCCGAGAATGTTCCACCACCAATCTCCAAGGACTCTGCCGCCGTCACTACCGCTGGAGCGCCCGCCCAAACACCAGCTACCGGAAATTCAATGAAGCAAGCAGTGCAGTCCCAGCCTGACTCTCGAGATATCTCTCCGATGACCAAGCCCATCAAGCAGACGCAAAACCAAAGTCAGCCAACTGTGACGACCGGAGTGGGCTCCAGCGCTGCTCCTCAGACATCACAACAACCAGACAAGGCCGCCCCTGCAGCAAAACCGAGCCCTGCAGCAAATTCTACGGCCGCGGACAAGAAAGCGAAACGAGCAAGTGGATTCTTTGGGAAATTGAAGTCGAAGTTTAGTGATAAGAAGTAACGTTGATAATGGGATTACTCCAGCGGTTGTAGAGGGGTAATGGGTATTGGACAGAGTAGGAAGACGCACGCGGTGGGTCAAATTGGCTTTGAGGGGGCTCGATGGTCCGTTTTGCATGATACCAAGCCTCGATTGTTGCTGCATTGTCTATATAATCTAGACGGGTTCTATCTCTTCTTGCGAATATCAAATTCAATGCAACATTTCGTCTCCGTGTGCCTTTCATTAAGAGTCCGAGATGTAAACCGCAGTAGTGAACCGCTATGTCCGGTGCTCTTTCGCTAGGCAGTGGGCCGGCTGTCTCTGGATGCCGTAGAGTGGACGTTGTAGGCGACGCGTGTTGAACGCAGGGTAAATTGCTCCAGAAATTATTCGTGCTGGCGACCTTGTGCCCTTATAGGATTTCGAACCTACGTGTAAATCGATTCTGCGTGCTGGTCAAACACACGTGATACCAAGAGTACACTCGCAGAAGTGCTTGCCAAGCACTCCCATCGGGCTGTCGCTGCGGACTGTGATACCTAGTCGATCTTGAAGTGACAGCACTAGCGCCAAGAGATGTCTTGGCCGGCTTCTCTTCAACACTTTACACATAATTCAAAAGGAAAATCTCACTCGCCAAGTCACACTCATGCCTCTGACTACAGAATCTTACGACTCTTTGCCCTGTACTAGCAGAACTCTTCATCTTCTACGATTGAGCTGATTTGCAAACCTAGATGTCGACCGCGCACTCAATGACACCGAAACTGCCGCCGCCCATGGACTCATAGCTTCTTCCTTGTCCCCAGACGCAGAGTCGGTTATGCACCCTTTAATGCTCGACGCTCCCGCAACCAGTTTTTCACCTCTCATACAATCGGAGCTCGACCGCGTCGCCGCCAACGAGCCCCTAAAAGCAATAGACCTGAGACGCTACGAAGCCAACACAACAAGCCTCACCCCAGACGCCTCGGCCCTCAAAGCCGCCTATGTAAACTCCTCATATCTCACTCTCCGCTTACAAGCTTTAGAGCTGTTGGAACAATTCGGCAAGAATGCGTGGCTCGTTGCCAATGATCAGTTGGAATCTTTACTGAAAGAAGTGGAGAAGGAGCTTGTGGAGACTAGGGAGGCTACGACAGAAGTGAACAGGGAGAGGAAAAGAGCGCAGGAAGGGAGGAGGGGGGAGTTGGAGGGCGGTGAGAGGGTGTGGAGAGCGGGGGTGGGAGGATTAGTGGAAGTGCAGGTTGCGACGGTTGACGTGGAGCGGAGGTGGAGGGAGAGATTGAGAGGGGCTGGATGATGAAGGGACGAGAGATTTAGGCAAGGTGTATAATTCGGAAAGGGTTCTGAGAGGATCCTGTCATTGAGGTTCAAGATGGGACTGACGAAGAAGACGTATACGCGCGAGCTGCAGTCTCTACTCGGATTCGAATTCTACCACTCGACCTAATCTACGGCTTTCCAGGGCATCGTGCATCGATCCAAAGTCTACGGATGCCGTATCTTGGACTCTATTGGGTAGAGAGGACTTGGACGGAAGGCGAGACGTTCTTATCGAAGAGTCAGATAATTAGGAGGAAGAGAAGGAGATGCGCTAAATAAAGGAAGCTTCAAGGTCCAACGGTCCTAATCACAGCAAAAAGAGACTATTCTAACATGGAAGCAAGATAGGATAAATGATACTTTGTGGCTTATTCGCAATGTTGGTTGATTGAATGATGACAGGGCAGAATGAAGTGTTCGGAAAGAGGAAAGCTTCTGGAAGGCGATGGAAGGCTTCTCGAACCTTTCCCCACATTGTCCGTGCGACAAGCGACCTGCCACTCCAAAATTGACTTGCATTATAATACATGTACATGTACATGGCGAGAATGATAAGCACATGCCACGTCCACAATGCCCTTCACCAGCCCATTTGATACTATCGACTGCTTCCACGTATTTTCGGAGGATGGTCGTGAGAGTAGTGAGATTGCCAGTGTTGCCAGTGCCTTGAATTGGCTGTAGAGTCCTGGCAAGCATCCTTCCTGGCTGCCTGCATATCTTGAAACTGGCTTTTAGCAAGTAAACATGGTCATGCTTACACTTGCCATAGGCTGCAGATGCATTGAAAAGAAAATGTAGCTTTGCCGATCTTATGAACAAACTTGACTTAAGTAACTTAAGTAGCCTCGTAGCGTTGAAGAGTCACGACTTGCCCATCAAATACCTACTCAAAATCCCACTTACTGCCCCTCTTCTACTCATCTCACCTACCTAGCACGAATCTCTGTTGCCCTCCTTGACCCACGCTCACGCTCCTTCCTTGCCTATTCGATTTCCTAACCACGGCAACTCTGCATCACAATTCACAATCTCCACTGTCTCCACCTGAATTCCAACCTTTTCCCTGAATGATACCATCTATTTCATTTCACTTGCATCCTCCCATCACCCAACACTGAGCAATTTCTCGACCTCCTCCTCCTCTTCCTCCAAACCCCTCCCCCCAAACAAACAAACAACGAAGCCACCATTTCTTTCCACAATGGCAGAATCCACCTTCCCCGGCGGCTCAGGCCCCTTTGGAGGCTTCAACTCTGGCCGCTCTCCAAGCATGGCCAACGTCCATGAAGATGAAGAATCAGACACCATCACCTCTCCCACCAACACTGCCTCTGCAGCTGCTGCCCCCGGCTCTCCCTTTGCCAACTCATCAAATTTCTCCTTCAATGCCTCCTCCGGCCACAGTCAACCACCCTCGGCATTCCGTCCGCCGGGCCCAGACGATCAAGGCTTCCCAAATAATTACAACATGACGCGCAGAACTTCCGTCTCCGCCGAATCCCTCACGCCTACCCACCACCAGGATAGCAACTGGAAAGCGCCTTATCACCAGAAAACCGAAGACCAGCTATCTCGCCTGCGTGCTTCCGTCAGCTCCAACTTCCTCTTCTCCCACCTCGACGACGATTCCGCCAACCTCGTCCTCGGCGCCCTGGTCGAGAAGCCAATCCCGGCCAAAGACATCAAAGTCATCACCCAAGGCGACGCAGGTGACTACTTCTACGTCGTCGAGCGCGGCGCCTTCGATATCTACGTTAACCCTGCCGGGCACGTCACCCCTGGCCCTGATGGTATGGGCCAGAAGGTCAACACGATTGGTCCTGGAGGTAGCTTTGGAGAGTTGGCGTTGATGTATAATGCGCCGCGGGCGGCGACCGTGGTGAGTACGGAGAAAGAGAGTACGCTGTGGTCGCTGGACAGAGTCACGTTTAGGCGGATCTTGATGGATAGTGCGTTTCAGAGACGGAGGATGTATGAGAGCTTTCTGGAGGAGGTGCCGTTGCTGTCAACTCTTACCCTCTACGAACGCTCGAAAATCGCGGACGCTTTGGATACGCAGAAATTTCTACCTGGGGCTACCATTATCCGCGAAGGTGACCCTGGAGAAGCGTTTTTCATCCTCGAAAGTGGAGAGGCGGAGGTCTACAAGAGCGATAGCGGCGATACCGTTGTCAAGAGGTATAAGAAGGGCGATTATTTCGGAGAGCTGGCTCTGCTGGATGATAAGCCGAGAGCTGCTAGTGTTGTTGCTGCGAAGCATGGAGGGGAGGTCAAGGTCGCGTACTTGGGAAAACAAGGCTTTCAGAGACTGCTGGGGCCCGTGGAGGGGATCATGAGGAGAAATGATTACTCTGGGGGTGGTGGTGAGGGAAGTGCACCGGCGACGACATGAGCATTCGATGATTGGATTACAGGAGAGCGAGACGGGAGGATAATACGGGAGTAAACGTGTTAGACGGGAGGATAGAGACGATGGGTTGGATGAATTGGCTGAGGGCACTGGCTTGCTTGCTTGCTCGTGCCTTCTTACTATCCTTATCACCTGTTGTGTTGTGGAGCTTGTCGGAATCAGTATCGGCAGATATCTGTAAGATCGGAAGGCGGGAGGACCATGCTGTGTACATTTGCTGTAGGAGCTCTTCAATCAATCTAGCTGCAGAAACTACTTCTACTGGCTGACCACGGGAACTTGATCAGTCTGAGAAAATGAAATCAATGTGGGTAAATTTCTGCTGGGCTATCTGTAAACTTCTCTTCCCACTGTATTTCCTCGTCCTCCTCCTCCTCAGCCTACAGCAAGAGCCCTCCTTCCGATCCTGCTGACGCCGAGGCAAAACCACCCCATCAGACTCCAACCTCTCAGCGACATCCGCCGACCCTTCCTCTCTCTTTCACGAAGGCTTCATAGCCCTCCGCATACTGAACTTGTTCACATCCGTCTTCCTCACGAGCGTTGCAGCCTCGCCCTTCCGTGTGAAATTAGGGGGGGGGCTCTCGGGAGAGTTTTCTGCAGTTTTTGATGGAGAGGACGCTTCCTGTTGCCGGGCTTTGATTTGCGCAAACGCGTCGGGGTTAGGTCGTTGCGGGACGCATTGGGCGTAGACGTCTCCGTCCTCTGTGTGTTCCCGTCTCGGTTCTGCGTCTGTGCATGAAGTGCGCGCTTGGGGGCAGTGGTTTTTGCTGCCAATGCAAGCTTGGGCGCCGCAATGGCTTCGAGCAATGGTTTCGGATTACTTGGTGACGATGGTTCCCAGCCGTATTCATCATTATTGGTCCCATGCAGCCTCTGTAATTCCTCTTTTTTCTTGGCCGCGATGGCGTTTGCTCTTGCCTGTCTACGTTCGGTTCTGGCATGACTTTCTCGAGTGCGAGCAAGCTCTTTACGAGGCCGAGCAAGTCTCTTACCATCACTCAAGCCATCTTCGGGATCAACGCCTTCAACTGCGTTTCTGTCGATGGCCTCTAGCGCTTGCTTGGGAAGATTGTCGTCCTCTTCTGCGATGCCTTATACCGACTAACCCGCTTCCTAAATTCTCTACTGATCCTTTCTCTCGAGTAGTCTCGGTCATGTCGCTCGCTGTGATTTGCGCATCGCTCTACTCTGCTCCGGATCACCTCGAACGGTCTGTAGTTTGCCCTTACTAAATTGTCCAAGCAAGACCATATCCCGCCCTTTGCCCTGTCATCTGACTTTCCGTTTTGTTGCTCCAAAGCGGCTTGGATGCTCTTCCTTGCCTGATTAAAGGTAGCTTGAATGTGCTTGATAGCATACGCATTACTGCCTAGGTCATTCAGATCATTAGCTGGGTCTTGTAGGCACAGAAGATATGGCTTCCGTGTGTTGAACTTTTGAATCTGACGGATGCCGCTTAGTTGTGGGTAAGCTCTCTGCGCTATCCGCTCTTCCATGGACCACACTTGCTTTCCCTTGGCAAAGACACGTGGTGGATTAGCCGAAAAGCCAACTTTATACAGGTCTGCCTTGCCATAAAACTCCAGCACATGCAATAGTTGACCGGCAAGATCGTCTGGAGCGAATTTGCCGCTTGAGTGCTTCATGGCAGTGACGATCATCATGAAAATAGAATAAGAGCCAAGACCGCCCTCGAAGACTGTCGTCAGATCTCGTAGCTGAAGGCAGTACCGAAGGATGATGTACAAGGGGCGCAGCGACGGAAACTCGGATAGGTATGCAGCAGTATATTCTTGCGCAGCTTGATACGGGGCCATTGTCTGAATTTGGACGTCTAGCCCTGTAGCAACATGCTCAGACCGAATGATAGGGACACGAGCATACCGGACGAAGTCGGTATTGCTGAACTTGTTTGAGGAGCGAAAGTGCCCGTAGACCTTCCATAACGCTTTCACAGCCTTGAGCTTGTTGTCATGGTTTGAAGATTGCGCTTGAGGCACGCCAGCCTCGCTGGGTGGAAGTTTCCAACCTCCCGGAAGAACATTCTGCAGTGTCAAGCTGAAGTCGAAATCGGAGGCTGGTGTGGCCAGACCAGTGCTTCGAGATCCGAGTAAATTCAATGGCTTGATCTCTGACTCGTTCCACGCGACTGAATTGACGTCGGAGATAACGAGCTGAGAAGCCGCTTCTTCTTGTGGACTTAATTTCATGTAGGCTTCATAGGCTTTGATTTCGTTCGTCAGGCTATAATGCATATCAGCTAACGACACCCTCGGTGGCTTTCTATAACGAACCGCTCGAGGTAGTCTTCATTCGTAGTTTCCATATATGCCAGCCAGGGCCGCTGCATTGACATGATGTCCTTGAAGCCCTGCTTGATTTTCCAAGGCTGCTTGGGCCATTGTGCAACGCCAGTATACTCTAAGGGATCGGTCTTTTTGACAAAGACATTGGAGCCTGACTTTCCGTATCTTTCTTTGGCCTGCACAGAGTCTGCTGGCCACATCTGATCCGGTTCATGCTCCTTCCCTTCGTGTGTTTTCTTGACCTTGCTACCTCCATCGACACCCATACCCAGCAATGGCCGCAGTATTGGTCCTGCGGGATCAATTGCGCGTGGTTTGACCTTTCGAATGACAGCTGCTCTGTTCGATGCTCGATGTGCTTCAAGTGTGGCAGCAAGGTCGTCGACAATGATGTCTTTGGCGCCCACCTCCCTTCTGGCCAGCGCCTTTCCACTGCTGTCTGGCCATGGTTCCAAGGTCTCTATGACCTGTTTGTCGCTGTAGGCCACGGGCACTGTGCCAGCACTTGAGAGACGCCGGAGATGGTAGTTGTAGAAGCACCCACGGAGCCTTGTTTGACAGCAAGACCAGACATGCAGTGCGGATCGATGCATGAGCAACGCATCTTTGGACTATGCGGACATGCTGCTGTCGGTCTGCATCAGTTGCCGTCGTCGCAGCCAAATTCCCTCGATGTGGCTAAAAGTCCGCCAAGGGTGGATTTAGTGTTTTGATATGGTGTGAGTATTAAATTATTACTAAATCAACATCTATGGATTCTCTGCCCTTCAAAAATGGTGGAATATGGACATAATCCCCTGCACACCATCGTATTGCAAAATTATTCGCCGCTGAGAAGCTCCTAGATTGGTCAATTGCTCAAGTGTACAATGATATTCTTGAAAGGGAAGGAGCCCGTGTTCCTTTCTTTTCAAGGTATGAGACCGCTAAGTAGTACCCGACTGCAAGAAAACAATATTTCTTCACTCCTTACATACAGTCTACCACTCATCATTCCACATCTGAACAAAGGCGTCCCGCAATAGAAATTTTCTCGTCTGAATAGTTGTCGACACTGCCAGTCGGTCGCTTGTCTACTCCGTTCAATAACCACAGACATGGTTGCACAGCGATTGGAAGAAGCAGATATATTGGCGACTTACCCATCAGCCAAGCAACGTCTTCTGCTATTCGACTATGATGGAACTCTGACGCCCATAGTTGAGAACCCTGCTGCTGCAATCCTTTCAGAGAATGCTCTTAGGTCGATCCAAACTCTCGCAACAGATCCTAGGAATGCGGTCTGGATCATCAGTGGACGCGACCAGTCTTTCCTCGAACAACTGTTCGGTCGTCTGATTGGAGTAGGCCTCGTTGCAGAACATGGATCATTTCTACGCTCGCCAGGATCTGATGGCTGGGAGAACTTGACTGCAAAAGTCGACATGAGTTGGCAAGAAGAGGTCACCAAGGTTTTCCAGAGGTACACAGATCTGACTCCTGGTTCACGCATCGAGAAGAAACGTGCAGCCGTAGTCTGGCACTTCCGTCAAGCTAGTCAGGATTATGCTACTTTGCAGGCGGCCGAGTGCAAGCAAGATCTGGAGAGCACTATCGGCACAATTTCACCCCTGGAATTCATCAATGGAAAGTGCGTGCTCGAAGCTCGCTTGAAGTCTGTCAATAAGGGACAGATAGCGCAGAGACTTGTGGACGAAATCAGGGCAGCGTCAGGGAAGCCTCCGGACTTTGTGCTCTGTTTTGGCGATGACGTTACGGATGAGGGTATGTTAGATGCCTATTCTACAGACCTTTGATCCGCTGATTGATTCTCAGACATGTTTTGTGCGCTCCGCGACTCTGGCCTATCCAAAGACACGGTATACTCCGTAACTATAGGCGAGAGTCAAAAGCTCACAGATGCCGATTGGATCCTCTCGGATCCAACTGAGGTCATTGCTACGATAAGGATGCTGAATGAGTCCGATGGATATATTGGGGGTGGAGGTACCGGGCAGAATGGCAACAGCAAGAGAGATAGCAAGGTGCTTCCGGTCCCTCGGAGCTACCTATTGGGGCCTGGACCCTAGTGGCTCAACCAAACTATGGGCGCTTGTTCCTATCAGCTTCAGGAAAGGATGGTTGTGAGCCGGGAATCCATGATATTCTACGGTGGCGGAGAACAGATCATGCGGCGGGCGCCCAATGGGCCGCACTCTTTCGACGATGATCCACTACAGAAGGATCCATTGGTACCCCTCTAGTGTGTATGTGGGGACACTCGAAATGGCTCTTCTCCATACTGATGCAGCACAGCGATGATTAAAGTGCTCCAGCGTCTGGTGTGCTCTTGCTCAAAGACCTATTTCTCCTAGTAAGATGCTTACACGCCGTCATTTCAACAGAAAGACCGTGCCCCTGCTTTTTTGCATGCCCAATCATCATGCCTTGAACGTGCGGCAGAGGTACACTGGATCTCTCAATCTTTCTCGTTTTTGGATACTAGGCGGAACCAAACGCTCTCAATCCAGTATTTGCGAAGGAAAATGACGCTGCCAAGCTCCGTATCTGAGAGCCAAGAGCTTGGCCATGTTCAGGCTATATGAATATCTCTCTCAATCGTTATCTACTAGGACAAACTTTCCATTTACTCCTACATTTATAAAAGCAGACCTTCCCCTCCCAAGCTTCAGCGTCTTACTTTTCGAAAACCTCCAATCACCACATTCTTCCGACATCGCAAAGATGAAATTGATCTGCTTTTTTCTCCCTCTTGTCTCTTTGGCGCTAGCTGATAGCCAGATCAAATGCCCATGTAGCAAACAGGACTGCTCCAAGGTAGCAGATGTAAGTGAAATAAACTTCTGCCCAACATCTAGTCTGACCTCTTCGAAAGTCATGTGCCTGCGAAAACAAGAACATTGTCAACAAATACTTCTGCTGCGACGCCAACACCGCACCCCCCAAAGATCTCGGTCTCAAGGTCCGTCCAAGCACTTACTATCACCTTCCACACGGTCCCACACTGACATCGTCTAGGAATGTGAAAGTGCTGAGAAGTCAACAATTCCCATAATGCCCCACGGCCCCAAGGATTGGTTGGACTCCTTTTTCTCCAGCCATTCCCAGCAAAGTACCAGCACCGCCGCGTCGACGGCCTACAAGACTTCTACTCTCACTGTTCCCTCCAGCACCAGCTCCAGTATCTCTTCCGTGCCAGTCTCTACATCGACTGCTGTTGAGACAACCACGGTTGCCCCATCGACTCTCGTCACTGTGATTACCACTACTACTACTACTACCTCATCGACTACTTCCGTAAGGAAAAATCCCTTGCCGACAGATACTGTTTAGTGTTGTAACCACGACACGGACTGCGATGGAGCTCCTACTGTGATCATGACAAAAAGTGCCCCCCTCCAATTTACGGCGTGTCGGCATGGGCAGGATGGCATTGCACGGGGACTTGTACGCGAAAGCCGCATTAGATAGTGTGAACGGGACATATAAGTGAGAATTGGGGATTTTAATGGATGGAAGTTGGGAGAGGATTTCTTCTGGGAGCAAAAGGGCTGTGTGCTAGTCAGGTTAGGAACCAAATGCATTTCATGCTTATCTCTCACTTTGATTATTTGGTGATTACACATGACCCCCAAGAAGTGAAATAGATCAGCATCGTGTGCTTTGTGTCAAGGAAGGTGACGGTCGAAGGGGTATCAACCCCTAAAGCATCGACAACTTCACACTGGAGGGGAGGTCAATAACATCTTTTTCAGGAATGAAGCCCAATATCGGTGTAAGCTTTCTGAAAAGTTACTTGCCGATTCCACTGCGGGACTCGGAAATTTCGCAAATTCTCTCTCTACTCATGACTTTTGATCCAGTCTCTTACAAGAGATGTGGGGCATTTAGAGTACGTAATGTCGCGGTAATAGCTTTGCTTACTCCACTACCGCAGAAGCAAGAGAGAAATCCTAGGGTACGTACATTTCGGAAGAAGTCCTTGCTGCGAAAGTCTCTTTCTACTCTTCAACTGTGTCTAATATTAAAACTAATCTGCGCAGGAATGCAAAATGTTGGGCCTGGAAAAGGATATAGAATAGGGAAGAACGCTGTGACTATGTGTGCGCTTGCTACGCTGAGACCCAGTCATAACGATGCGCTTTTTTGCTCTTCTTCTCCGGATCTTCGCCATCTACACCCACCGATCGAACCGGTGCGCGCCGAGCAGGTCCCTCTCAGCTTCCACACAAACTGCGTCGTTAACCTCGTCCCGCAGGAATTCTTCTGGAAAGAAGACGTGGAGAAAGAATCGAGAGGAGTGTTATACATCAAGCATTAAGAGCACTCGTCACCTCGAAACAACTGCGACAGCTCCTTGACGATATCAGACGTAGTTGGTAGAAGGTACTAGGTCTATTTCGAGTTGCCTCATGGTGCCCCGTCACTCAGACGTGCCTAGCTCGCTAAGTCCCTTCAGGTTAGCGCCTTCCGCTTACTACGCTCTTACGAAGGCTGTAAAGTCAGCATGCTAACCCGTAGAGGCTTGACATCTTCGTTGTCATCCCTCGATCATATGAAGCCAGCTCAGATAGAGATTCTGCCAATCACAGCATCTAATCCTCGTTCTCGTTCATCTCGATTCTTGAGGACTCGGACAGCTACAACTGCAACTCTTGTTTGGAAGCACGCCTGCCTGTGGCATGTTTTGAAGTCAGTGACATCAGTGTTGTTCGACCCTTCACGGCCACGCGCCACAGCCAGGACCATGTGGATCTCAATGTGTGCTTCTCCTAGGTCCAGCGTCAATGGAAATGTTCGTTGAACGCATAGCTCTTTTCTGTCGGTCGATTTCGCTCGAACGGCGGACTCAAACATGGCTGCATAACATCTTGGCGTAAAATGCCTGCCCCTCGCAGAAGCAGAGGATAATGCATTTCAGCCAGCGCATCTACATGAACCTCTCGTCCCCAAGAATTCTGCTTGTGTTGTGGTCTGCCTGCCATTGGTATGCGTTGCAGTCATTTCACATTGTCTTTCGCGGCGGGTTGGCAAAATACATGTCAATCCGGATGATTGGTGTATTCTGCTGGCGCGCGTAAGACACCGAAGCCTTGGCAAGTGTCCCATAGGAGTACCTCGATTGCTGACAGCGGTTCCAACATTATAGCCATCCCCTATGCTACCATTATTCTGATCTCGCGCTAGGGTCCCGGCCGCCATTCGTCCTGATAACGCATTTTTCCCATTGTCAAGGGCATCTTGGCGACCGAGGACCTCCTGAAATCTGCAACTCTCGAGCAATAAAGATCACATTCCTTCTCCTACATCGACGCACATTCACCAGAGAACCATTAAAACAGAGCCGCTTTGCCCACCTTCCGAGCCCTGGTCATCCACGTTTGTAGAGGTAGCGGAAATGCAACGAGGCCATATTCTATTCGAAAGCTAAGAACGGAAAGAGAAGTGGGGTACGGCATCTCGACTGAAACTGGGAGCTTGAATCTAGATCAACCGCTGACTCGACTGAAAAGTGGTGAATCCTGAGAAATACCTTTTAGCGAGCGACTATAAAAAGGCCTAACGCATGTTGTGAATCAGGGTCAGCAGAAAGGTGTCAAGGACGATCGTGGGCGGCGTGTAGATGTCGATGCTGTGAGACAGGCAGACCATCTGCAAGTGTTCATTGCGTCCAGTGCATCAGCTTCTGTATATATTTTACTTTCTTTGCTTGTCCAATCGGCTGAATATTGACAAGTTGTAGCAGGTTTGCCGGCTTGGCATCGCTTGGCCGCATGTGACCAAACCTTTATCTCCAGCTCGTACCACCACAAGCTCATCAACGTCTCGCATTTTCTCAAGACACTGTAGAGTCACCGAAGGCCTAAACACATCATCCACTGCGGTTTAACAGCCGCTGGCTTAGTCTTCCATCATGTCACGCTCCATCGTTATCAGCGAGATGTCTAACAGTGTGACCGGAACTTTCGTACTCTATGACCTCCTCTCTATCAGTACTATGTCTGGTTCCATCGAAATCACGATAGTACCCCATCCCGCTTCCTCTTCGAAAGCCCCGGCCGAGCTTCGTCTAAACACCGTCTCAGGCTCGATCAAAGTGACGATGGCGCCATTCCTCCACGACCCTTCTACCGCGACACCCGAGCGCCCCTTCAACTCTTCTCTCAAGTCTATGTCCGGCTCAATCACTGCGGCGCTTGTCCAGTAAGCCGTCTTCAGTCTGTCACTTTCTGGTTTGAGAAGAATTTGCAGTCTCCAAACAAATTTCTCTTGCATTGAAAACGCGACTCATAGTTCCGGCACCATCGGTACTGAACGGACCTCAAGGAAGTTGATACTAATTGCCGAGTGACTACCATAGCAACTACAAAACCTATGTCTCCACCATGACCGGCAGTATTGCCGCTTCGCTATATCCGCTAGGTCAGCCCAGCTCCAAGTCTCATGTCGACGTACGCTGCATGTCTGGCTCAACATCCATAACTCTTCATCCCTGCGTCAACTGTCCCCGAGCAGGTCTCAGGGGAATCTCCACGGATTTTCGCGGCAGCTCCGGCGGGTTGAAGGTGCGCTTCCCCTCTACCTGGGAGGGAGAAGTGATCTCCCATTTGAACAACGGCCGGGTCCAGCACGAATGGGAGGGTTTGCAGGTCCTGAAGGACGGGCCCAGCTTCACGGCAGTGAAGGGGAGTGGAGTGGCGCAGTTGAATGTTTGGGGTAGTTCTATGAATGTGGAATTTTCTATGAATGTGGAATTGGTGGGGGAGCGTGTGCCGGGTTTGCCGAGGGAGGGGGAGGTCAGGGACGAGGGAGAGTGCGTGCCTGTCGTACCGGGTATGCGTGCTTTGCGGAGAGAAGTGGAGGTGCGGGAAGACGAAGAAGAAGAAGAAGAAGGAACCGACGACGACTGGACGATTGTCGGGGACGAGGACGGAGCCCGGGAGGTTGTCAAACGGCCTCCGCCAACTTATGAGGATGCAACGAGGACGTGATGGATGAATGTCAATGAAGCTTGTTGCTAGCTAGATCATGCATACTGCACACAGTGACCCGAAGCAAGGACACACTACCCTTCGACCGCACGGGTAAGATGACACACACCCCCATTCACTCCAGCATGCTCTTCCTCTTCTTGCCCCCACCTCCCCCGTCCTCCACCGCCGTCTTCCTCTTTCCCGAACCCCTCGTCCCCACCTCGGGCAGGCCGGCCGCCACCCTCGCACACTTACGCCTTCCATCCACCTCACTGTTCCCCAAGTCAGCAAAGCCGGTCCGCGTGGGGCAGGTAGCGTCCGTCCTTACCGCCCGAAGAGACTCCTGGCCGACCCGAAAGACACAAAGGGTGACTCTTTGTAGTCGGTGTTGTTCACCACGAGCCAGGCTTCGTAGAACCACCAGGCGTGCTGTCGCGGATCGTCCTGGTCCCCGAAGACGGCCAGCAGGTGGCTGAGCGTCGCCGTCACTACGCGGAAAATGCAAAGCGTCAGCCATCCCGATGGGGTTTTTTTCGCAACTCAACGGCGGACTTGGAGGAGGACGGAAGGGACGTACGGAGCTGGCGGGACTCCCAGTTCCGGAAAGCGTCGCCGTAGAGGTCGGGTGGTGCTTGGGGCGTGTGGTCGGCGAGGACGGCCACGTAGCGGCGGAACGCGATGGGGTCTTGCGGTCGAGGGGGTAAGCGATGGAGGACTGGTGCCGTTGCGGCGGGGATGCGATGACTTACCCGCGAGCGTCTCGTCGAGGGTGGGTGGACCGGTGGTCGCCTGGGTTGCATCCTCCGCTTTGACCTGGGTGGCACCTTTCACTTCGGTGGCTTCGTTGATGGTGTTCTCCATGTTGACGGTATCCTCCTCTACTTCCTCTTTCTTCGTGGACTCCATGATGGCGCAGGAGATGGAGCCTAGGCTGTGGTCGGGAAAAGAGGTTGAGGTTGGCAAGTGAGGTGGCGAAGTGAAACCTCATTTTGGATCCCATACCCCGTAATGCTCGGCATTGCGGTGGGGTCTATCTGTGTGAGGAAGTCGTCGCGCTCGCCGAGGGAAGGTTGGTGGAGTATTAAGCGCGGACGGAGAATACAAAGAAACATTGCCCGACGGAGGATCCGGATTGCCAGGCAAACTTCTGGGGATCTGAGGCTTGTCCAGTTGGTAGCGAGACGGAGGCCCGATGTTAGGATCTCTTGAAATCCTCTCAGGATGGAAGAAAAAAATCACGACGCTGATGTCGCTCCTAAAGTTTCACTGTGTCCCGGTTCAGACCAACTGGAGCGGGAGGCGTGTCTGCGGTCACAAGAATGTCGAAAGACGCTTGCGGATCCAGTGGTTATTGGTATAGAACCTTCACGCGGAAGCTGAGCAAGGTTTGCAGAAAGTAATTGGTGTAGTCTGTTAGAATATCAGGTATGTGATGTGTAGAACGGACGGATTAATTCTCCAAAACCTCTCCGGGGCCTCCGCATCTTCTTGACGCTCCGCCAACATCCGCTCCGCCACGGTATGAAGTTCTTGTGAAAGCTCATGCAAATGCGGTAGACGTCTCTGAAGTGAATCAAGGCCGGCCCTGTCGGACGGTCTCAACGGTTCGCCGCCGTTCTGCGCGAGTCGCTCTCGGTTGCGATACCCAGCCAACCTGCCCTCGAGTCGTCGTATCACCTCATCATGTTGGTTCAAGGCACTCCGCATAATCTCGGCGGTTGACGATGTTGGCTCTCTACCAAGCACGCTGCCGACGCGTTGTCTTTCGAGAATGTCACCTTTTTAACATAGTCCAGTCTGTTTGCTAGGACCTGGAGGAGCTCCGCTGGCCAGTAGGTGCACCTAGCTTGTTGATTTTCTCTCGACTGTTGTTAGGGAATATAGCAAAAGTCGTGCGTATGGATAACTCGGAATCGTAGCAGGAGAACGCTCTCTTTTGTTTTGTTCATATATATTTTTATAGCTACTCCATAGAATACTATAAGTCTTTCTAGTAGAGGATATTAAATAAAGAGAATTCAACGTATGAAATACTAAATCTCGTATTGTAGATAAAATAATATCTTCTAACACCGCGTCTAATTCATAGAACTTTTGAAGTGTCACTATAACTTTCGTCCTCTAGAAAAAGTCGGTGAAGACAATCACTTTATTCTGACGCTATATAGAACTCATTCATTTTCATTAAAGGTTTTCGCCCCCTATATATAACTTTTACCACATCTCTTAGAAACAATCCATGACAATAGCTACTTCTAATAATACATCTAAAAACTAAGACAATATTGCAAAATTCATGTATAGAGCGAAAACTTGAAACTAATTCCTATCATCTAGGCGCGGTGATGGCGGTGCTATAAAAAAGTGACTCTGTTCACGAAGTTTTCTTAAAAGGTTCGTCGATCTGCAAGGTAAGTCATTGTTGAAATTCTATAATTCAGGCGCGGTGTTAGAGAAGATTGAACCTGTTCGATAGATTTTCCGAACAATTGCGTTGAATCCTTTTATTTTGAACTGGAACACGGTCTGAATGATATGATTCACAGTAACAGCCATGAAGGCCTAAGGATGCTGTGAAGGCCCGTCTACCTACAGGTATGTAGGTAGTGCCAAGCCACACTAGACCCACTCTTGGGAGCATGAAGGCGAAGTTAGGCAGCCTTTAAGGGGTGCAGGGGGAACAGCTTCTGGCACGTCCGGACACGGGGACTTTCAGCCAACCATTCGGCTATTGAGACTGTTTCAATAAAGGCGGACATCACCCGTGAGCCTGATTCCAGGGGGTACTCTAGATATCACATTGTACGTAAAGACCGGACACGGCCGAAAGGCCGACTGGGAACTCTAGACCTATAGAATATGGCTGGAGGGGCGTCCCCCGATGTAGGAATCACACACACACCTGTGAGCCTGGGCAGGAGCAAGTGTTATGGCTGGCCGTTGGACTGCTTTGGAGAAGATCGCCCGGCGCTAAGATCGGTCGGACAGTAAGGTATTCACTTGCGCCCGAGGTGGCAAAGGTAAATGATTGTCTTCGAAATTCACATCGTGCTTGACATCTATTGCACCCAGCATTCTGTTGGTCTCAAAGAAAGTCAGTGTTCCCATAGTATGTGTTCAGTTAATTCATGAAGCTCGAATTCACATTGTTTGGGTCTTGTGAATCCGTTGCGTGATCATGATTCTTTTTGTCCGTTTGAGATCTGACACAGGGTCGATTCTTAACACACTCCTACTCGGAAAGATGAGGCCTAGCGCGCCTTGGCATGGGCTTCACAGTAGATAAATACCGCAACTCTTACCACCACGTTCATATTTCATTCCACACTGTTACAATATCACAGATGCTTTTGTATCTATATATTCCACCCTACATATCATTGTTATACTTTATTCCAGTGCTTTTTTCTACACATTCTCTCCTACATATCACTGCCATACTTTTCCTGTACTTTTGTGTCTATATATCCCATCCTCCGCAATAATCTTTCACTATCATACTTCATTCCGGTGCGTTCCATTATAACGGCAACGCAAATTCACAACACAGCGGTGTCTACACCGCTAAATATAAAAACATACACCAAGCACGCAGCCTCTATGCGTCAGTAGGGAGGTTTAGCAGTTTTTTCAAAAGAAATGATTCAAAATGGGAATAGCCCTATCCTTCTACCGCTAACCCGATTAGGTAATATCACGAACTTCGGCGAAACCTTTATCGAAGAGTTATAAATCTATTTAGATTTCATTTATTCTTCTTCTTTTATTATATATTTATATTATAAACTTCTTTAATAAGGGGATCCTCGTTATAATAATCTTTATAGTTATATTGCTAGACTATTAAGCTATAATCGCCACTATATTACGTTATAAATATATTCCCTTAATAAAGTATAAGCAAATCGAGTTTAATTTGAATTTATAGATTTCTAAACGATTACGAAGAACCATACGCTTTATAAAAGATGAAATATATATTCTCATACACTATTTTAATCTAGAAAGTATCAATTATCAATAAAGAATCCGCCCTAGTTCTAAATTTGCTTTATATTTAATACTATATAAGCTTTTATAGCTTAGATTATTATATAAGCTTATATAAATCTTTAAATAATTAGAAGCCTATTTATCTATTATTTTTAATAATATATTTAAGTATTTGCGAAGGCGTTATAACTTAATACTATTATAGCATCCAACTCTCTCTTATAATTGAATTCGATTATACGCTTATATTATTAAACGACTTAATAAATATCGTAAACGAAGTACTATTTAGACTTTTATTAATAAAATATTTCGAAGAATTATAAGACTAGAAGATAAGGAGGATTTCTAGTATTTAGTCTATAAAAAATTTTACGATATAATATAGATAATAATTACGTATTTAAATAGTCTTAATAAAGCTATCTATAGCCTCTATGAAGGAAAGATAGTAGATATAAAAATACTTCAGATATCTAGAGTATTTAAAAGACTTAATTAAGTGTTTAAAGGGAAATCTAGACGTTATCGTTATTATCTTTTTAGAAATAAAGCTTATATTTATTAACGTTACGTTATATCTTCTTATATAGACTTAGTCTCTATAAAAAAATGACGCTTTAATAAAATAATATTAAGTGCTAGAGTTATAGTAGAATATAGCTTTAAATAAATATAAAATCTTTAAATCTCTAACGCCTTTAAATAGTAATTAAAGATAAGTCTTTAATTTATAAAAGATCTTTATCGAGTAATCGTATTATTAATAAATTATTATATTTATTTTAGAGATAATAAGAACGTAACTCGCTTCGAAATTTGATCTTCTATTATATATCAATATCTCAATATTATAGAGTGAGATTTTGATGCTCAAATCATTTATATACTTTCTATAGTTAAAGTTAACCTTTATCGAGTCCTCGCCTTTATTCTATTATATATATAAATTATTCGAGTTATCGCTTAAACTATTAATATATCTTATTATTATTATATAGCTCTCGATTGAAATTTATATATTAAGAGAGACGAAGTCTTCTTTAAAGTCGCGAGCGATTAGACCCTTTACGCCCGTTTATTTGACCTTCTTACAAGCGATATTTATACTAAGAGTAAATGATAGAACCGACGCATATAAGACTGAGTGCTCTCGTTTTCTGCGCCCTCTATCTTCTAGAGTTAAACTTTATCGAATTTTTATATAACTATTTATTAATCATTTAAGACGCCGTGAAGAGTATATATATATCGAATTTTATTCTTTCGAGCGCCCTTAAGTCCGTTGGGGGTTTATTTTGCGATTTTGAATATATTGCGGAGGAATTTTATTTGAATTTATAAGCACGACTGCGTATTTTTAGTAGCGATTAAAGAAGTCTTTAAGAAATTAACTAAAGTCTTAATTAAAATACGATAATAATGCGAAATACAGGTATCTTTTACGTAATTTCTGGGCGAGTAGATATATATCTTATATAAGACTATACTTTTAATATAAAGCGAAGAAATCGTTTTTCTATAGAAGGATATTATAACTTATCCTTCTATAACTTAGATTTAAATTTCTTCGATTTATACGCTTTCGATAAGGCTTCTAATATATTCTATATATTATTTATATATATATTCTATAATCTTAAAAAGTTGTTTATATACCTCTATATTAACCTCGTCGACCTCTAAGATATTATTTTACTTATTATATACTATAAATTCCTAATTAGTAAGTAATTATTACTCTTTATTATTCTTTAATATCTATTAATAAATTTTCGCTATATTTTATATAGCTTTAGTAAGAGTATATATTATATTATTTTCGTAAGTTATTAAGCTTTTAATAAGACTTTTTAATATAAAGTTCTATATCTCCTCTAAAAGCTTTTAATTTTCTATTAAATACGCTATCTCTTTTTTTATATCAGCTAATATAAAAGTAAGTTATTTTACTTAATTCTCTATATATCTAATATAAGTTAAATAATTCTTTATATTATTTTAATAATCTTTAATATCGTTAATTATAATATCTAATTATTTATTCATTTAAATTTCGTTAAATAATATTTAAATTTAATTAGATTAAGCTGGCGATTATAGAGCTAATAGTTAATATATAAATATTATAGACTATATAAATATTATAGATTAATTTATTAGACGCTTAAGATATATAATTAAAGTCGTTTCTAATTCGGTGATTTCTTCGATAGCTATAGTTTTATAATTCTTCTTCTTTCTATAAAACTTATTAGAGATTTTCTTCTTCTTTTACTTCTTAATTCGTTTAGATAATATATTAAATAGCTCGCTTATATTACTAAGATTCTTAACTATAGTATATATATATAAATTCGAAGAATCGTTATTAGGGGTAAAATTGTTCTTAGAGAGAGAAGGTTTTCGCTTTAATATTAATATTAATGAGTTAAATAATAAGAGTTTAGATATAGAGCTATTGCGTAATATAAGAGAATCGTTAAGTGATATAAAAAAGTCGTTATTTAAGATCTCGTTAATACTACTCTTATTATTATCGTTATTATTTTAATTTATAATCTTATCGCTATTAAATATATTATTCTTTCTCTTCTTATTACTTATTCTCTCGTTTAAACGCTTATAATCTTAATCGTAATTTTATAAGTCTTATAGCTTCTTTTCTTTAACTATTTTATTAATATTCTTCTTCTTCTTAAAGATCTAAATTACTATATCTTAATTATTTATCATCTAAGTTTATATATTCTCTTATATCTTATAATTATAGTCTATTTTTTCGTTTTATCTTAGCTAATTATATCTATAATTAAGATAATTCTTTATACGATATTTAATACTCGCGTAATCTCGCTTAGCAATCTTTACGAATTTCTCTTATACCCTTTTCTAGAATCGTCTTATCGAGTTTACTTTATATCTTATTTAATATTTAAGAGTAATACTTATAATAAGAATCTTATTATTCTCTATTAATCGCTTTTCTACTATAAGACGCTAATCTAGCTATTATCTACGATAACGTTTTCTTAGTATATTTGATATGAGAGCCAGAATTAGAATTTGAGAGTCCTCTATTGACCGACTACTATTGATTTAATTTCGTAAGTTCTTTATTATTTACTTTTATTTATTTATATATGATCTTATAATATTAAAATCATTTTATAGAGATAAATCGTTACTATCTTTCTCTCTAGCTAACGATATATATTTCTTCTCTTTACTCTTTCTCTTACGTATAGTTTAAGAACTCTTTCTTTTCTTCTAAAAGACTTTCGAATAAAATTATTTTTTCTCTTTTCGCTTACGGAGGGAAGTAGTTAGGCGTTATAAAATTATAAGATCTTTATTTTATTAATAGTATATTAGAGATTTCTTAGAGTTAATTAAAAGTATAGTAGATCGTATTTCAGACGGATAGATAAGAAAAGCAGCGCGATAATACTCTAATATAGCTTTAAGAGATCTATATATTATAAAGGATTATTAACTTATTAATAGAATAGAATTTCCTGACGGAGTAGAAGCGACTTCGGATGATATAGAATCGTTCTTTCTAGATTGAGACTTCTTTGTAAGCCTTATGTTTAACGTGTAAGTATTAGAAATCTCTTTTCGTTTAGCTATTGCTTGTTGAAAGATAGGAGATATATATAGTGGGAGCTTGGTAGGTCTATTGGCTAATTGTTTAATTTTGTATGTCTAAATAAGTAGTTACGCTAACGCCGTATAGAGTAACTTTGCAATTAAATTACTATTTCATAATATAAAATAGTAATTTAATTTGTGGGTAATCGACGAGGCTAATAACTGCCCTATATGATTAGCCTATTGGATTATTACCCTTTTCGTTTTGAATCATTCTTTTGAATCACATTGCTAAACCTCCCCAGTGAGCTTCTGCCTCGCTCGGTATCCCAGCCAGGGATCCTTGCCGGCCATTAGTGCTCTCTCAGGCCCCAGTGGGTGCCTCAGATCAACGCCCACAACACGAACCTCCGCAACATGTACCAGCCCCTTCTACGCCATTCGAGACTCCGGAACCCGTTGATGATGTAAGTCCTACTACGAAGAAGGTAAGAAATTGGCTCATGCTGACGTGGAGTTGACAGTCGCCCAAAGGCTCACACAAGGGCGCTTCTTGCAGGCTGCGAACATCCATCGCGCAGGCCTCGGGGTTTTTACGGAGAAGGAGGGCGACGGCAAAGAGAAGCTGTTTATTGAAGCGGTGTTGAAGGACGGGAAGTACTGGCGCTACAAGCCGCGAAGGGGTGATACAACGGGGGGTGGGTGTGCTGGAAAACTCCTTCGCCGAGAAGGATCTGAGCGAAACGGCGTCAGTTTCGGGGTACGTGCAGGCGCTCCGTTTTGAAGGTTTGCATCTAACGTATGCATCAGAGCATCTTGATAGGGATGCAAGCCAGAGGACGCGACACCGTGCGGGAACCCAGAGAGCTACGAGAGACGGGTCAATATCGCGAAAGCCCTGAACTAGCCTGGAGTGCTCGTTGACCTTTCAAGTTGGGACCGAGTGGTATCTTCCTAGATCCCACGTGTGCCAGGACAGCCTTCTGTTGTTGAGGTGGCGAAGTACAAACTTCGATGAATCTGTAGCATTGCTAGCGTTTTCGGGGCCACGAGTCCGCGAGATGGAGATCAGTGGGGCAGCAAACACACAGAAGCGCTGTAGCTGTGCTGTAGCGCGCAAGGTTTTGATGGTGGATGAGGGACATGTTGGACAGAAAGGTGTCTTAGACTTTAGGATAGTGGGAATGGGAGATTAGGACTTCAATCGATTCCGTTCAGAAAATCTCGCCCTCCACGCGTGAATTTTGCTGCTACATCCTCTCAACAAGTGAAGCATGTTGTGATGAACTATCGCAAGAGCTCATAAAGAACCCTAAAAATGACCAACGGCACTGTAGGAAGCCGTCACTCCTTCCCGCACCATGATCCCATCATCAACAGAACCCTCGACCTTCCCATCGTCCACGGGGGCAATCTCGTCCGCGCAGAAAGCCTTGACGAGGCCTCGCACACCCCAAGCCTGCGCTAGATCCAACCCTTCGCGCGCGATCTGTCGCTTGGAGCCGGCAGTCCGCGCGGTTGTATCGCTTCCGCATGCAGGATTTTCTGGCCTGGGGTTTTTCAAATGTTTCTTATTGGCTGGGCGAGGGTTGGGGAAAAGGGTACGAATGTGTCTCAAGCTTGTAAAGATGTGGGATGACGGGGTTGATAGGGCACGGCACGGGTGTGCACTTCTCTCCGCGGGCTCGAATGGGGAGGGTGGGGGAGGTTGGGGTTGCGAGGGCGATCTTTTTGGGGGGCTTGTTTGATGCTTTTTGCAAGGTTGGTTGATGGCATGTTTTGACGAGCTCGATAGGACATTGATAGCCAGTCATCTACGTTGGGAAGAGGCATATGGTTTATGACACGTCTTGGACTCGTCCCTGACGAGGATGCTCTTCGGGGGGCTTTTCCCCGGGAAACTTGCTCAGAACAATGACTGCGAGACCCTACACAGCTTTGGGTTCGACCGCTGGGAAGAAGGACAGGGGAGCTATGGACTGGCTTCATACTGCCGATCTCGCGCAGTTTGTACTCCTGTCCGAGGCCGTATTCGCCAGCGACTCCTGGCCTTCCTTGGAGCAGTGATCCGCATGTCCGGATTCGTTGGCGCAGTCAAAACCACAAGATTTGGCAGTATTCAACGGCAGTTGCTCTTTCTGGACGAGACAGTTCTGAAGCACCCGTTATTGAGCGACCTCTCCTGCCACCATTTGCCCAAACTCACTGAATCCGAGAAACATCAGATCCAGATATGGTCTGCCCTGGCTCTGGCGCCGTTCAACTTTGTCTACCAATGAAGCGAGGGGGCCGTTAATGCGTCCCTGAAGATCATTTCCGTGAGGATCGCAGTCGTCTTCATTGAACTTTCAAATCCTCGCCAGCGTTCTTCATCAGCAGAAACACTCTCCAAAGGAGGTAGGACCGCATGCATGAATTGAAACCAGGCCATGGTAACCAAATGCAGGGTAACAGAAAGGATCCGCAGTGCCATGAAAATGTATGGATGGATGGCGTGAGCCATGAATTGTTTCGTCTTTCTAAACCCCCATCATCCTTCTATCGGAACCAATGAGATGCCCCTCTGGCTAAGGATTATGCAGCGTCTCATTTAGGCGCATCCAGGACCTGTGCAACAAATCCGTTTGAAAACCTAACCATCTGCTCATATGCATCGGCGAAGCCGTTCCTCTCCCCGTAGTAAGGATCGGCAACTTGTTCTCCTTTCTTTCCTCCAAAGTCCCCAAACAGCATCACCTTCGCCGACAGCTTGTCCTTGTTCAATCCGGCATGTTTGTTCTTAATCACCCGTGTCTTCAATCGCATCAGATCATGCGCATTTTCGTTATCCATTGCCAGTATGTAGTCAAAGGTATCGAAATCTGCCACTTGTATCTTGCGTGCCGAATGCTCGTAGTCCACAATGCCATTGTCCTGGAGCGTGCTCATAGTTCGTGGGTCTGGAGAGTGGCCCTCGTCTGCGAAATTTTGGAGTCAGCATCGATCCGGCAAGAAAAGATTTCGAGTCACCCGTAGTTGTACGTACGATAGGCTCCAGTACCGCAAGAATCTATCTGACCAAGACGTTGGTCTGAAGCTGTGATGGATCGGAACACTGCTTCGGCCATGGGAGAGCGGCAGATATTGCCCAGACAGACGAAGAGGACCGAGATAGGCCGTGAAGACGCGGTAGAAGTCTTCGCAATCGTTCCATCGGCAGATACTCCGTGCTTCTTCGGGGCATGGACCATGTGATTCAATAGGGAGTCGGTTGACAGGTTGCGAAGGGCTGCCATGCTTACTCTCTCTGGATGGATTGCTTTACGTTGTAGGTTTCTTCATGGTGGAGAAGTGTACTTATGAAAAGCCAGTTACACTTTCAAAGCAGATATGTTGGGAGGTTGGCTGGCGCATAGCCAACATTGTGATGGTTGAGCCTCTTGGGTAGTGGGGGATTGGTGGGATGTCTCGGATGCGGACCGAGCTCTTGGCGTGTTCCGTAAGTATTAATATCGAACGGACTACTGTAGTGTTTCGAACTTTCGTGTCGCTTGTGGCTGAGAGAATCCGTGATCGACGGCAGGGGTGGCAGGTGTCTCTATTTACGGAGAACCCTCGAACCTCCAATGTCCACCTTCACAATGATCGTTTCAACGTCCTTTCGAAACGGCAAGGCTCCATCGTTGCTGTTGCCTATTCACCAAACGCATACATACCTACAGTGACTTGAGACGCTACAGATAATCTCCAAGTCAGACGTGGCGCGCATTGTGTTTACCCGCTTGCGAAGTAGCCTTGCCATTTGCCATTGTCCTTTGCACCGAACAATAATATATCGCTAACAAAGATCTTTTCTCGCTGCGTCATACGTGGAAGAAACGCCGGAGCCTCTTGGCTTGGTTTCATTGCCCTTTGTCACTTTCTTGTCGCCTTGTGCTCCGTCATTCCTCGGCTACTTGACCCCAGTCTTATTGTGACAGCCGCCCGACATGTCATACAATCGCCTAGGTACTCCTCTTCCATTCTACCCTCGGAATTCTTTGTTCGAATAGACTACATATGCTCGCGCGCCCACAGCTTGCTGCTCTTTTCACATACTACATACCTCCAACCCTCACACGCTGATCCTTGAAACCCAACAGACCCCTTTAATCAAAACCCAGAAGACGAAGAGTACGGCGATCACCCCATGGATCCTCGCCATGCTGGTCGGACGCCTTCTCCAGGACAGCCCCTCCATGGCTATCAGCTAGAAGACGGACCATACAGACCGCAACAGACCCCAATACAGATGCAGATGGGGCAGGGCGACAGGTTGGCGGCGCAGCCTACCTACTCTGTCCAGAACATCGGGAACTCATACAACCACAATGAGCAGTATGAAGCGCAGAATCCAGTTTCCGCTCATGACTATGGTTATGGGGGAAGCGAATATGCCATCTCTCCAGAAGACCACCACGACCAGTACTTTACGGAGCCGTATGAGCCCCACCCACAAGATCAGGCACAATACTACGATGATAATGACCATCAGCCCATATTGCAGCCCGATAACCCATACGGGCCAAACCCGCACTCCCCTGGACCTGGTCTAAAAAGCGCCTACGATGGTGTTCAACCGGGCCCAGCTCCCACCCCCGCGCCAATCAGACGATGGAAGACTGTGAAGGAAGTTCAGCTCTTCAACGGGAATCTTGTCCTCGATTGTCCTATACCACCCAAGCTGTTGAGCCAAATCCCGCATGCAGAGCCCCCAGAAAGAGACGAGTTCACACACATGCGATACTCAGCAGCTACCTGTGACCCTTCGGAGTTCTACGACTCGAGATTCACGCTGCGGCAGCGGCTTTTTGCAAAGCCCCGACATACGGAGCTTTTCATCGTAGTCACTATGTACAACGAAGATGAATTCTTATTTGCAAGAACCATGACCGGTGTGTTCAAAAACATCGAGCACATGTGTTCACGGACGAACAGCAAGACATGGGGAAAAGAGGCCTGGAAGAAGATCGTGGTGTGCGTAGTGAGCGACGGACGTGCGAAGATAAACCCACGGACGAGAGCTGTGCTAGCAGGTCTTGGGGTGTATCAAGATGGGATTGCCAAGCAACAAGTTAGCGGCAAGGATGTGACAGCACATATCTACGAATACACCACCCAGGTGGGTATAGAGCTGAAAGGCAAGACCGTCCTACTCAAACCTAGGGGAGCCACACCTGTGCAAATGGTATTTTGCTTGAAGGAAAAGAATCAAAAGAAAATCAACTCGCATCGATGGTTCTTCCAAGCCTTTGGTCGTGTCCTGGACCCCAACATCTGCGTTCTCTTGGATGCAGGAACGAAGCCGGGAAAGGATTCTATCTACCAACTGTGGAAAGCCTTCGATCTAGAGCCCATGTGCGCTGGCGCCTGTGGCGAAATCAAGGTCATGTTGAGTGGAGGTAAGAAACTCCTCAACCCGTTAGTCGCCACACAGAACTTTGAGTACAAAATGAGCAACATACTGGACAAGCCGCTCGAGTCAGCTTTTGGCTTCATTTCTGTCTTGCCTGGGGCTTTCTCTGCCTACCGCTATATAGCACTGCAGAATGACAAGACCGGTCAAGGCCCCCTAGAGAAATACTTCAAGGGTGAGAAGATGCACGGTGCCAATGCTGGTGTCTTCACAGCGAACATGTACCTGGCCGAAGATCGGATCTTGTGCTTTGAGCTAGTAGCGAAGCGGAATTGCCGATGGATTCTCCAATATGTCAAATCAGCTACGGGCGAAACAGATGTACCAGACGCCATGGCTGAATTCATCATGCAGCGAAGGAGATGGTTGAACGGCAGTTTCTTCGCTGCAATTTACGCCCTGGCACATTTTTACCAGATCCAACGCACGGATCACAGCTTCTTCAGAAAGATAATGTTCCTCATCGAGTTCACATACCAGACCATCAACATGATCTTCGCATGGTTCGCAATTGGCAATTTCTTCCTCGTCTTCCACATCCTTACAAACTCTCTTGGCGATAAACAACTTCTCTCCACGGCAGGCCATATTCTTGGAATCGTTTTCGAATGGGCGTACCTTGCCATCCTCCTCACTTGCTTCGTCCTGGCTCTCGGCAACCGGCCCCAGGGTTCTAACAAGCTCTACATGACTCAGGTATATTTTTGGTGCTGCATAATGGCTTACCTGTTATTCGCCTCTGTCTTCATTACTGTTCGCTCTATCCAAATCGAAACAGCAGAGAAAGGCTTCACCGTCAAGGACCTCTTCGCCAACCAGCTTTTCTTCACACTCATCGTATCCCTCCTCTCAACCTATATCCTCTACTTCGTCATCTCCTTCCTCTTCTTCGACCCCTGGCATCTCTTCACCTGCTTCATCCAGTACCTCCTTCTAACCCCTACCTATATTAACATCCTTAACGTCTACGCTTTCTGCAACACACACGACATCACCTGGGGCACAAAAGGCGATGACAAAGCCGAAAAACTCCCTTCCGCAACTCTCAAACCTGGCGGCAAAGTCGACGTCAATATCCCGCAAGATGATGGCGACCTGAACGCCCAATACGACGCCGAAATGCGTACTTTCGCTACAAAAGCCGCCAAAGAGGTCAAAGTCGTCAGCGAGGCGGAACACCAGGAGGACTATTACAAAGGATTCAGAAGTGCGGTTGTGCTGTGCTGGATGTTTTGTAATTTGGCGCTTGCTGCGGTGGTGTTGGGGGTCGGTGGGCTGGAGACTGTAAAGGTGGGCAAGGAGACGACGGATGGGGCGCAGAGAAGTACGATTTATATGGCCGTGGTGCTGTGGAGTGTGGCGGGGTTGTCCCTATTTAGGTTTATTGGGGCGGTGTGGTTTTTGATTGTGAGATTGGTGAGTCCTAAACCCCCCTCCTCAAAAGTGTCTTTGAAGGTCATGGCTAATACGCGTGTTACAGTTCCGAGGAGTCTAGTCGGGATGGTCGTCATCGCATGTCATGACAGCATTAGTATTTGTGTTAAGAAATTCGAATTTGCATCATGTTTGCATTCAATACCCAGTGCATGTACAGCGTGGCGTTTGGAAATCAAATACAGAACCTCAGCGTGAAGTGGTCAGAATGCAAAAATGATTGTATGAAGAGAAGTGTGATTTCTGAAAAAGAAAGCTCTTTTACGTTGAATGGAAAACGGTTATGACAATGACATGAATGCAACTTCCCGTATCGATGAGAAGGCTCTAGAAACATCGCCTTGCAACTCAAAAGCGAATGAGCCTCGTGCTTGAACATCAACAAAGACTTTCGTAAGAGCATGGAGCAACTAGCAAAATCCATGAATGCAGGGGAGGTCACAATCAAAAGGTTTTCCCACTGTAGAACAGTCTATAGATCGATAGCACAACGGCGGAATAAGCAATCACTGCGCCGTAGTCTGTAATCACCAACTTACAGCACGAGATTTCTGCACACGGAGCAGGCTTCGCGAGACACGGAGACGGCAATACGTATTGAGAATCCGTATTGCTATCTTTGATGAGCCCGTAAGTCTACCTGACGCCAAAAAGTGCTTATACGATAGCCCCCCATGGGTCAAATAAGTGACATCCACCGCGAGCTATATCTGCCACCTCTGAGGTTTTCATGGGAATGGACAAGATGGGCATTTCGTCCTTGAGCGTCTGTTGCTGCGGAATCTCGACGGGACTTGTAGCATCGAGCCGTCAATACAGATAAGACCACAGCCAATTGGCCATGCCTGTGTGCTAGTGTTCTTGACGGTGCATTGTTGTGTGAAGCTATGGTTCATGTATCATGAATCCATCCGAAACCGTTTTGTGAATCACTTTAATGGATAAAATATTCGCTATGTATCTAAAAACCTATCGACAGCTCTCCTATTCTATCAGACCCATTTTGTGATATCTTCGATGGAGGTCTGTCTCCGCTAGATATATCAACGAGTACGATATATCCTTGGACCAATCTATGAAAACCAGACTCATCAAGCCCGATGATGATCCTTTGACCATCCTCGCCCACTCCAGTCACACTTCCCGAGAGCCCCAAACCGTGATGGCGGAGAATGATGTACAACGTCTCTAATACTGTGGGACTCACGTAGGGAATTTGCAGTGTCGGGACAGCCGAATTTGCAGTGTCGGGACAGCCGAAGATTGTCCAACCCGATTCAAAGTATTTTGTCGGTCTTATAGCCCGAACGGTGACGCACGGTCATAACGATACCGCAAGTGAGGGCAGGAGTATGCGTCAAGGGATACCGCGTTATGAAGTATGAGCGGCTAAATCGTAAGAACGTTTCAATTCTTTACATGTTCAGGCTACACTTTCTCGCAATCCTTTCGCTGAGTGATTCATCCGACGAGAGTCTCTTATGAAGCGCAGACAATGTTGAGCCACGGAGTATCCACTTTCTCGATTGGCAATGAAAGCTGATTGCGATCCTACCCCGCTGGCCGTTCGATGTCTGTGCTGCTGGATGGTGGCGGAGATCCCACGCGGGTGACCTTTTCAATCAAGGCTAACAATGCATCCGATTAGCGTTTATATGGATCTCTGACGCGAGATAAAAGGACCTTGGTTTCTTCCTTGCCACACTTGCACACTTGGTTTTATCCAGAGTTCTGCCATGATGGGTGGAAAAGGGGGTTTAGGCGGGCAAGGACTGTTTTCTAAGACAGGTTTGGGGTGTCTTGTAACCTGTGTGTTTGTAAGTTGGAGTGTGTATGTAGGCGGATGTTTCCCTAAAGTATCTCGTAAACTCCAGCCGCGTGCTTGTACTTCTTACGCTCTTTTATAAGGGTACGTAGAGTATCTCGCGCTGTCATTCATCAATATGGTCTTAGTAGTATAAAGGAGAGTCCGGCTTCGGCCTCGGCAGTGTAGGAGGATTCGGCTTTGGTCCAATCTTCGGAGAAGAGGATCTGACCTTGGTTCTGGTGGTCTGAGAGGGTTTGTCCTGGGATTCAATATCATGAAAGGGATCAGCTATGCGCTCGCCGCCCGCAAGATCAATAGCACTTGAGTGTCCATCAAGGAATGTAACGGTCATGAAATCGTCCAGTCTAGATTGTCCCACCAGACATAGGCATCGTAACTCGTCATACAGATATCAAGCGTTGCGCTCGCCTTCTCTTCCCTCTCCCAGTCTTATCCGTCCCTCTCCACCCCTTCGCTCTTCCAACCTATCCTGCGCTTTGAAACTCCAATGGCAAAGCACCCCCGCTAAGAACCCCACAGCATCATTCTTAAACGCCAATATCCCCGCCACAGTCATGAACATGACGGCCCACCGCCTCTTCCTTTCCTCCTCCGTCAATTCCCCTCCTTTCCCACCATCTTCCCCTAGGTTACTCAAATCCCTAGATCGAGCCGTATTCAAACTCTCTCCGACACCCACTAGCTCTAGTCCCGCTGCAATCACTAGAACGCATAGAAGGACATTGGGGAAACCGTTGAAAATTGCCAAAGCGACCTTACTGGCGAAGAGGCCGAGGAGGAGTTTGAGCAAACCGAGGAATATGATGCTAGCGCCTGAGCGAGCTCCGAAGCGGTATTCTACGCACATTTCGGGGTCAGTATTTTTACTTCAAGATAGATAATTGAGTTGCAAGACGGGTCTTGGGAGCAGAACAGGTCAATTTGCTCCCGAAATAAGACTCGAGACTCAATTTCAGTATCAAATAGGAAGGATCTTCTCTGAAATGTACGTACGGGCCGCGAGTCCACCGGAGCCGTGGCAGACGGGCATGGCGCCGAACCAGCAGCCGACGAGGTTGATGGCCATGACGCTGAGGCCTAAGCTCGTCGTCGAGGGCGTTCGCACATTTGGTAGGATGTCTTGAGCCAAGAACGCAACCGCTATGACGGAGTTGAGCGTCGTGAGAGGCAGCTGGCCGATGCCGGCTTCTAAAGTGCCCTTCCCAAACTCTCGTGGTGACGGGACGAATGTGTGCGGGTGCCAAGTACTGAAGTCGGGTCGGAAATCTTCGCCCCATCCCGGGTAGAGCCAATCGGTGCTGATGACGGATATGATGCCGACGAGGAGGATTAAGAGGGCATAGGGGACGCGACGGAATGTTGAGCTGGCTAGCAAGCCTAAGAAGGCGAGGATTAAGACGAGAGGGTTGGTGCCGAAGCGGTCGAAATGGGGGTAGAGATTCCCAGCGGAGATGATCAGGGATAGACCGGTACCAACTTGTATCCCCTTGATCACTGGGATAGGTATTCTTTCGGTAAACCAATGTATCAGTCCCGTAATACTCAAGAATCCTATAGCCGCGGCGACGAAGATGCCCGCACTCGCTATCTCGGATTTGCTGAAGCCCTGTGCCAAAGCTACGGCTGCGATCGCTTTCATGGGCTGCACGGGCAAGGGAACGCCGAAGGCGAGGCCGGTCAGAATGTTGGCCAGTCCGCTAAAGACGAGCGTGCTGGAGAGGGAGATGGCCCCAATTTGCGTCAGAGCGATGAGGATGGGGAGAAGAGTGCCGATGTCGCCGAAAGAGCCGGAGATCTCGGCGAGAGGCTGGTTGTAGAAGGTTTCTATGTTGTATCTCTGGGTTTGGAAGAAGTCTGCCTGTGCTTTTCTGGAGGACTCTCTCAGGGTTGTTAGGAGTTGGGATCGCCGTGAGGGCGCTGATACTGGGCCGTCTGTGCTAGACATGATTTCGTGGTTTGTGTTGTCCACCGGAAGCTGATGACGGACGATGGGCATCCTAGAGATGCTCCACTCGAAGGTGGAACATCTGGTGCCATCGTCCAACTGCCCACGACGAACCATGTGGCAGTGTGGGTGCCGCGGATGTGGCTTGGAGCGATTCTCGGGGCTAACGCGCTTGACGCGCTAAGATGGTCCTTCTGTGTGGTTTCATGATATCTGCTTGAGCTCTGTCAGTCGAAGCTCTGCCATCTCCGCAATGAGTCTCTCAAATCCACGGAGGCGGCTGCTCCGGTCAGGTGCGTGCTCGTTTCCAAGAGCCTCCATTTCTCTCAATGTCACTGACCGCTTTCTCAAAACAGCCACCTCCCTCCTCCCCCATTCCCACTTCCACCCTCTCCTCGCCTGTCCTCATCTCAACCAGCGGCGAACCGCCATTACAGACTTCCTCAAGAATCCCTTCAGGTCTCGCCGAAGACGCAAATTCCTCGATCTTTCCTCCCCAGAGGTCCTCAACGCAAACGAAATTCAAAAAGCCAAGGAAGAAAAAGAGCGCTCCAAGCTCCCCAAAACTGGCGGTCTAGCACCCGGTTCTATCCTCGATACTCTTTCGCCGACCACCGGTCCACGGATTGAAGACACAGGCGTCATCCGCGACCCGGAGAACATGGCAGCGGTGCTCGACCCGACGCCCCGAGCTCGGGAAAAATGGCAGCGGAGGATGGTGATTCGAGAGATCCGGGGCCGGGGACGGTTGACCAAGACGGTGAAGCTGGCGAGGACGGAGCGGAGCCATCTGAGCAAGAGCGAGTTCTTCAAGACGAGTGTGAAGAAGCTGTTCCCGCTCGCGAACCAGATTGCGGGAAAACCGTTGAGCGAGGCGATGGTGCAGATGCGCTTCAGTAAGAAGAAGGCCGCGCAGGATGTCCTGAGGCATTTGGAGTATGCGAGGGATCAGGCGGTTGTGATGAGGGGGATGGGGTTGGGGAAGGTGCAGGCTCAGGCCCAGCAGGCGGAGGGGGGGGAGGTCGTGGATGGTCGGGAGGCGGAGAGGGGGCAAGAATCGGCGCGGGAAGAAGAGAGGTTGCTGGTGGAAGATAAGAAGGGCAAGAAGAGGGTCGTTACCGACCGCACGGCTATGTATGTCGACCAGGCCTGGGTTGGAAGGGGGGCCTATGGGTGGGGAGTAGAGTATAGGGCCAGGGGCACTTCGAACAGGTTGAGGTTGCCTTATACCAGTAAGTCGGCCTTGTAACGAAGGGCCCGTGTGGTGACGATGCTTGCTGACGATGATCCAGGTATATCCGTGGTGCTGAAGGAGGAGGCGACGCGGATACGGCAAGCGGAGGACAGGGAGCTGAAGAGGCAGAAGAAGAAGGTCTGGGTACCATTGCCTGATAGACCCGTTACGGCGCAGAGGCAATATCCTTTGTGGTGATTTCAGATGTGTGTGTATACGTAGGGTACCTTGTCGGCGAGGGAACCGCTACCTCTGGCTGTACTCTCTGATGTGTCACATATCGACGGCTACGATAATGTAAATCCTGCCATTTTATTAGGGTATATTCCACAAGTAATCCCTTGCCATAACCATCGATCCGTGACCACTACCCAGTCTTCCTGTTTGTCGGAGTCGTATTTCCCAAAAACCCGACCTACGCTTCCCCGGCTGTGGGTCGCTACAAACGCAAATATGGGGACATTGGTGTTTTGCTACTCCTACACGTATCACTATTTTGGCCAGTGCCACCGAATGCTACGATGTTTGGCTGCCAACCTCGGTAATACATCAATCAGAGACCACAACGCTTCAGGTTTCACCAGTCAGTGTGCAACGGACGGTATGATTGGGAATCGCTTGTTCGATAGATAACTATCACGAGTTTATGCTAATCAGGGTCGAGCACATTCCACATCACTGATCTCCGCCGTTTCGTGTGTATCATCGCTCAAGCTGTTGCAGCACAAGAAAAAGAAGAACCCCCCCCCCCTTTTGCTCCGTCGCTATGCCCCCTTCGCTATGCTGATCTGATCTGAGAATCAACTTCCACCCATGTCCATGTCTATTCCCCAGACACATCCGCTCCAGCAGTTTCAGCTCACTCCGTGCCCTTCTCCTCCTCCTCCTCCATGAATGTGGTATCCTCGCCTTCGGATGCGTGCTTCTCGTAGCCGCGTGTGAGACGGCGACGCTTGGTGGGAAGCGCTTTGGACGTGAAGGTCGGTGGGGTCTCGGTGGTGGTGGTGAACGACGTGCGCTTGGTGGGGAGCGCTTTAGAGGTGGGGGTCACGGCGGTGGTGTCAAGCGGATTGCGCTTGTGGTGGGCGGTGTCGTTGGTCGCAATGTCTGCAGCGGGAGTCTTGCGCTTTTTGGTGGCAGAGGCGTCGGAGGCGCTGTCGGTGTCAGGCGACTTGTCCTTCGCCGGTCCTGTGCCGGAGCGCTTGGGGGAAGGGGAGGATTCGGCCTTCTTCGCGGCCATGTCCTTGATGAATTGGATGTTGGCACGGGTCTTGCGATTGAACGCGGGTTGGTCCAGTGTGATCTTCTTGTAGCCGATCTCGCCCTTCTTGGCGGCGGGCTTCTTGACCTCTTTGGTTTTCTGAACGGCAGGCAGGAACTCGACACCAGGGAACGTCTTCAACTTCTTGTCGCGGTTGCGGTACTCTGCTTCGTTGAACTTGCGTTCAATGACGTTGAGAACTTCCCGTACTCGAGCGAAGCTCTTGCTTGAGCCAAGGTATGGGACTAAGAATCGCTCCCAGCACGAGGAGATGTAGTTGGTATAGGTAACACCATTCTTGTTCTCCTTAGCTAGAGCATCCTGCTCAGTTTTACGCAAAGCGATGGTCCAGTTGCGAACATGGCCCCAGTCTTCAAACGTCTGCAGCTGATTCCTAACTAGGCCCAGTTGGATAGTATGCCAGTTTTCGGCATCTTCGGCACGGTATTTGAATCTCTGGTAATGCTTGCGGCACCAAAAAATCCAGAGGTCATTGGGCAGGTCTCGAGTGCAAGCTTTATTACGACCAAAGATGTGTGAAACAACCTTTCGATGATCACCAGAGTTAGCAACGCATGTTGAGACTGCCACACATTTCGTGTCAATGGGTTGAGGTGCATCGTTGTCTGTGTCTGTGCCATCTGCGCCATCGATCTGTATACAATTAGCACTGACACTGATGGTGGAATAAAGACCAATTGCAGTACTGACCTGAGCTCCATCACCAATGCTACCATCAGCATCGATGTTGTCGTCAATATCTGCAATTGCTGAGTCTTCTATTTCAGAGTCATCCTGTTGCGGATTGTTAACACCAACATTGTACCTGCCATGACAACTAAAAGTGGTACTGACTTGAATGTCATCATCGACGATAACGTTCGCGCCAGTGCTGTCGGTCCCTGAAGTCTCCATGCCATCACGCTGTGCAATGTTGCCTTGACCCTGACTTGTGATGACAATGCCCGTGCCACTGGCCTGTGCATCATCATCAAAGCCGGTGGTAGCACCGATGCTGTCTGTCGTAGCTACATCTCCATCCTGTATGATGTTAGCCTAAGCTGGATGCTGACAGTGCTTAACGCAGGCCAGATTACTGACTTTCGTGGAGTGATCGATCTCGATTCTATCATGAACGCTATTAACGTTCTTCATGGCAAATCCAGCAATTGGCTTCCAGGGAGCCATAAGGCCCACGTAGTTGTCAGGCGTAGGAGACGACATGGCAGTAGATGTGGAAGAGAAGGGGAAAGATCTTGATGGTCAATAAAGAAACCGACAAGCAAGTCGGATGGTATTCTGACAATGGTATACTTAAAAAGGTTGTCACAGTCAGAAGCTGCAATGGAGATGTTGAATGTTGAATGTCACGGTGGTATGGAAAAGTGCGCTGCGCTTGGGGAGAGATGAGGGCTTTTATACTTGAGAGGTCATCAGGTGTTAAGAGCTAGCCCCCACGATGGGAGACGTTTTGGAAATTTCCAGTGTTGTGTCCCCTTCTCCGCAGCCCAATTTCCCCTCCCACCATAGCCTCAGCACCGTCACTTTACACAAAGAACTTCTGCGCCAAGACTTTTCGCTAGGGAGGCAAAAGCAATACCCCCACCCCGTGTAAGAGATTACGACGAATGACATGGTTCACTTGAACCGAATGAGGCAAGTATAGTAGGCAGGAAATTTCTCCACAGAGAAGTGAAGAAAGTTGACAGCAGGCCAGTCGGAGCGGAGACATGGCAAGCTTCTTTCGGTATGTCCTGCCAGAAGCGTACAATCTTCACTTTCACCCTCATCTCACGGCCACGTACTCAGTTGTGAACGCCCGCAGCAACATGACTGCATTCCCAGCGACAAAGAAATTGGAATCTCGAAGCCAATCAGACTGTAAAGAACCAGGCAGCCATGGCTAACGTACATAGATCTGCTGAGAATCTTCGAGTTGGATCTCGAGCTTGTTCGCATCATACGTAGGGTAGTGTTAACAGGAAGCAGTGCCTCAGTCCAATATCACGCTTTACCTGCAATATAGACGTCGACAAGGTGGCGCGCTATAGAGTATGGAATTGGCATGCTGAGCAAGAATTGTCAAGCGCATGTCAAAACCCTTGGGCAAGGTTTCTCAGCAGGATCGTCGATGCCGTGGGATGAGATTGGCGCCATCTGAGGTTACATGGATGACAACAAGGAGTAGACATGATGTGATGATGTGATCAGGGCTAGTACGGCAATACAAACAGTATGAGGACAAGATTATCAGACGCCCACTCGGTATCCATTAGTCCAATCGCCTTCCCTTGCAAGTGAGCATGTCTGATGTTGACTTCGCTTCGCTTCTGATGGCGAGATCACGTGCGCGGTTAGCTATTCCTTTCATGGCTAGATTCGATTCGACTTGTCCCTGTGGACAATGGAAGCCGAGAAGCCGACGGGAGGGCGGATGGACGGCTTTTTAGAATTCAGGAAAGAATTGTGTTTCATCCGGCGCATCGACTAAGCCTTGTTCATCCGTTGCGCATTCTAAAGTAAGTACTTTATGGGAGTGTTTCCAGTCCAGCCATCGATGGATAATAGTAGTAGACAATAATGAGACAACGGGATAATGGGAATCGAAGCACAGACGAGGCATGCTTGCTTGCCATGCTTTGCTGTCTTGGCCATGTCTTGGCGAAATAGTACCCAAGTCCAACCGTCCTGTATGGGAATGGGCCTCTCCTCTCTCTCTTCCTTATTTCACTATCTCTTCTTTCTTAACTACGGTACCTTGTATTTCCTCAGAATCTAGGCTGAATCGCGTGATTTTGTCTCAATGAAAAGAATTCACGACAGCGTCTCAAAGCCCTCGCCTTCAATAATGACCAGTCCACCTTCGTCTTCCAGCACAGGAGGCGAAGCACTCCTGTGCTCCGCATGTCAAGGTACCCCTCCAAGACGCTTATTCTCGCCCGCTGTGCTTACGAGTGACCTGTAGCTACTTTAAGCCTCACTTTACCTCTTTCAAAACGGTGTAAATTCATTACGGCCGGAAAAGCGGACGGACTTCCGTCGTTCTGGACCGAGCTTCACACACCTATTTCTCCAGTTGCCTTCTGTGTCACACTGTTCTTTCAGGCTTGAAACTCCAGTCATACCCTTTATGCTATAGCATTCTATCGTCAACCAGCTCTCGGCAGCTTTTTCTTCCACACCATGTGCACGAGGAATGTGTCTGTGCAACATCTTTTGACCTCCATTGAAACCTGCGGCTCACACATTTTGGACGAGAAATGGACGCAAGAAGGGGTTCAGCACGCAGTTCCTAGTCACCTAGAGGGGGACGATGTCGATGAAGCGGCCAACAAGACAGCCAACTCTCCCATCCACTGCCAACCACATGGGCTCGAATTCACTATAATGGCCAGCTGCAGCCTCTCTCTGGTCCTCGTCCACGGAGCTTGGTAGACAGCTCAGATTATGTGGCCACTAGCTAAGCCCTTGCAGATGGTGGCCACGATGTGAAAGTACTAGCTCTGCCGTCTCTGAGCATTATTCCTACCGTTCCGATTCATCTACCGACGTTTCAGCTGCCCGCACATTGATCATGGCCGAGGTAGCTAAGGATAAAGACGTCGTCGTGATCATACACTCTGATAGAGTGGATGTAGGCTACGAGGCGTTGAAGGGTGTCCGAATCAAGAAGCCATCCAGATACCACAGTCCGTCGGGCGTGAGTGCAGAGGGTGTGGTGAAATTAATCATCATCGCTGGAATGGTGCTGCCAGTAGCAACAGTGGCTGTGACTTAATGGTCTGCGATGGGAAAGGGCTGGAAGGAAGATGCCGGAGGGAATCCTTGAGGTGACTGGACCTAATAACTTGGAAGACGACGTCAGAAATCACCGTGCATGGAATTTCATGATGTGTTCTAATTTCCTCTTTCAATATCAAGGCAAAAATATGCTAACTTTCCACCTCTGCAAGAATAACTTCATCACAATTCCTGACGGCCGCCACCGCCTCTATTACGATCTACCTCAACCCGAAGCCGCCGAGCTCGCTCAAACTCTTGTAAGCAATAACAAAATCGGGCCCTCTCCCCTTTTCCTTCTCGTTGGCCGCCAGTCTGACAATCGAAACCAACAGTGCCCTAAGCTCTCCCTCTCACCCACCCTGCGTACAATCACATCCCATCCTCAAATCTCCTCTGCACCCTCTACAACGCCCTCCCACTTAAGGCTCAAAAGTGCATGGTCGATAACGCTGGCATCAAAGATGTTGGACGTGACGAGAATGACCATGCGCCGTTCGCGGATCTGGAGAAGAGTGGTGAGGTCGCTAGATTGGTCCAAGACAAGATCGATAAGGCTTTTGGCGGACGTGTGAAGAGGATACCGAAGCTTTGAACCATGGGGAAGATCTGCGATGGTATCCGCGTTCGCTGGAGAGGGAGGGGGCGTAGGCCAGGGTGGACGGGGTGGTCCGGGGGGTGGTCTTGGTCTGGGAGGCATGCTTGCGTTCAACTCCGGTGAGTTTGATGCGTGCGCTCGGGTGGATGGCGATGCAAGATGGTCAGTGTTTTCTCTTCTGGCATGCAGTGAACTTGGTGAGAGATAATTCTGGCGTAAGAGGACCCGGTGTACTTATAGTGACAGGTCGCAGCATGCTCCACTTCTCACACCGCACGGTGTCCATGACGCATGAGCGATAGTGCACAACCCCACTGCTATCAGTTGAGGAAAAAACTTGATGAAATGGCGGCGAACAGCAACGGCAGGGAAGGAACGGCAGCGGCGCAGACACATTGACGACGAGAACACTCCAACGGGGACTCGAATGATTTGAGGCTTTGAGCATGTCCGATGCTCAAGTGCCCGACGTTCTCGTCGCCAACGCTCGTGTCATTATTGTGTCCCCCGGATGCCAAGATCCGGCATGTCCTTGGCCCGCTCATTTAAGTCAATCTTGGCTCTCGATTCACGCCGCTGCCGCTCTATACTTTCCTCGTATTCGGTCGCATGCATTGACTTTGCGGGAACCACGAATAGTAGCGCAAGCTATCGAACGACGCATGCAGGGACGAGCGCAAAAGTGCGATTTAGAGACTGATATGAAGAAGAGGTCGGTCAGAATAGGAAGTTGTGAGGCTGGCTGCACAACGATCGGCGAGGATAAAGAAGTAAGACCTACTGTTGTAGATGATCTGCGCGATGGTCATCAGCTTGTATGTCAGTGGCACATTGTACTGTTGAATGTGCAAAAAAAGGGGGCATGAGGTCCACGAGTATCGGCGCCAGTCCAAAACAGTCCCGATCAACGCTCTTTGAGCAGCCTCAAGAGTTGTTACGTGTCTGTCAGAATCGGCAGGGTCGAGTTTATAACCTCTACCCTAGAAACCATTTCCGTCGCCTAAATCGGTGGCTGTCACTGAGAAAGTGTCATGCGTCAGAAAAGCCACCTGTACCATCCCGTAGGATCCAACGGGGAATCGAGCCCCTTGCATATCCGATGCAGTAGCCCGGAAGGCAAATTTCTGGCGCCACGAAGACAGAAGCGTGACGGCCTGATCTCCGATGCGAATTCACGAGAACCTTCTGCAGGCGCACGTCATATGCCTTGGCTGCAGTTGCAAGGTTGCAGACATGACGGACCTAAGCCAGTAGTGACGAAGAAAAGAGAGCAGCCGGTATCGGCTGCCTTGATACGGCATGGTTTCCACACGTATAAGGTTTTCCGGATCAGCTTCCCCCTGTTGACACTTGGATGCGAGGTGGCGTTCTGGAGAATTACCCCGGAGCCAGCTTCGAGATACTATACCCGACCAAGGTTCCAACGTGCCCTGTATCGAATAATAGATAGGGAAGCGAGCTTGAGTGCCCGGAGCTTTACTCTAAATAAGTGCCGAACGTACGGAACCTCCAAACTCTAGCGGCGAACACCCCGAGCGAGCGAGCGCCTGGCGACCGTTCCAAACATGTAGTAAGGCTTCCAGGCGAACTCGGACGGACTCCGTCGGCAGCACTGCCTCGTGGAATTTCATTCGAGGCATACCTAGCCTGGATAGAGACTGCGATTCAACTTCCGGTTAGGATATCTTGGTGTTTGGGATAACAAGGGCTCCCGCACGAAATCTTCACAGGCTGTCAGTTAGCATCCATCCGCGTCGTGTAGCATGAGTGCTGTTATATCCCCGTAGTGATACACTAGCTGGAGCGTGAAAAGACATGCAGGGATTTGCAATGCGGGTCCGACGACGCGTCTTCTTGGTTCGCGGGTCTCGGCCTTATCTCTTGTCTTGTCTTGTCTTGGGGAACTTCAGTGCATTCTATGTGGAAATGTGATTCCCCAGCAAGAATCGGGGTTCGTAGTTATCATTGCGCCGTGAAACTTGTACCATACATTAGGAAGTTAGTCGCACCGCACCACACGCGATTTAAGCCAAAGCCGCGCACATGCTTCCCCATTGCTGAGATGATCAGCACTCAGCGTGCGTGCTGTCGATGTTGACGACAGGTTCCCGAATACCGAAGAGGGTTCCAGACTCACATGGAGTTTTAACTTTAGAGCCTCCCGACGACACTCATGTTGCGGCGTGGAAGGTGCGTACAAACTGGCAAAACAGTCCGAATCCATAGCCCACGCGCAAGATCCGTCACAGCTTGTGGCCGTTCAGACAAGAGACGGATGAGCACGCGAACACGGAGCTGAAGTCTGATACGAGAAGCTTTTTCTGCGGAGTACGATACATATCGGACCGTGATTCATTCGCATGGCATCGAAAGGGGTATATGGAGGGTAGAATTACGTGGCTGGGTTGCGGGCTATGGGGTTCGAATGCTGGGGTGGGAGAGGAGGGATGCGGAGGGTTGGTCGCTAGTTGTTGGTGTGTATGGAAGGATGGATGGAGGAATGGATGGAGGAAAGGAGAAGAGTGCTGACAGTGTCAACAGACCTACCAGGTAGGCGTGGAGAGTATCGTTTCTTGAAGGTGCAACGGGTGAGTGAGTGAGAGCCCTTCCTTGCAATATCTGTCATCGAGGGTGTGGGTATGTCGGCTTGGGATCGGATTGGTGAAATTAGGTAAGAGGAATTGATGGATGGAAATGGATGGTTTAATGCGGAAACGCTGATACACTGTCTGGTGCGTAGCGCTCCGTTACATATTTGACGCCCTCGGGATAAGGATGGTGTTTCGCTACTTTTGAATGGTGGACGGGATATGCATTCTCTTCTCACTTTCTCAACAGAAATACTTCTTATTTGCCCGAGAAGCCTAGTCGTTTCTTTACGTCTCGGGCTATCCTGCCGCATCGGTGACCCTGTGAGCCTATTAAAGTGGTTCCTGATTGGATCATAAGCTTTGAGGATGGACTGTCTTTTCTTTCTCTTCCAAAATCGGAGCCGTGACCCCTCATCGGTGAAAAAGCTGAATCGGGGGCAGAAGAAGAAAGAACTAGTCACGGTCCAAATGAAAGGATCCTGAGGGTGGCATACTGAGCACGGACGCGTTGCCGAAACACGTAACATGTCGCTGCACAAACATAGCAGTGACGGGCTGTTGTTCTCGCAGGTTTGCATAGCGCTCGCGCGACGTATCAGGTAGCACAGGAGGCAAGATGGTGCCTGGCAGAATCCATCATGCATTTGAGAAAAATGTGGACCCGGTGCAGATACTCTCACGCTTCAGAGTTTTCCAGTGTCAGTGTCTTCTGTTCAGGTCTGGTATATCGGAGTAGAAGGTCTGTTTGGCTTTATCTTCGTGGCATACTATATTCTCGAAGAGAAGGTTGGAGAATGAGTGCATTGAGACCCGGTATAGATGAGCCGGAAGCCCACTGGTTGTCGTCTTTGAGATTCAGTCTTTGAGGTTCATCGGCTTCATCCAGTGCAACTGTCCTGAGTCCAGCCATGATGAGCGTTGGATGAGAAGTGGTGTTTTGGCAACCGTGATGGAACAGTATACACCGATAGAGGGTGGGACAAGGGCGACGAGAACGATGATGGAGAACAAGAACGAGGTAGAGCTGAGCGTCAGGTATTAAGATTTTCGCCGTCATGAGATCTGGTGGCAAAGATGATGAGCTGGCGCGCATTGACTGGTTCGGAATGAAGTAGAGATTTAGGCAAGCAAAACCTTATCCGCAAAGTCATCCCGTCATGAGATCTTGTGACTTTTCGCAGGTATCACGCTCTCATTTCCAGTTGCGTAGTCAAGAAGGCATTTAAGCAGATTGTGCATGTAGCCAGTGTCTTGGTAGTTGCCGCCCATGTTCGAAGCCGAAGTGGACCAAGCTTCCACCATGCTGAATCTTGAAGAGGCAGATGTAATGGGAGAGTTCTCAGCCCTAAAACCATTTGGACACGATTACTTCTTCAGGATCGTGGACGTTTTGAAAGCAGGAAAAATCCTGGAAACCGAAGTGGAAGTGCTAAGGCTCAGATCAGGTACCTGCCAAACTAACCCTTACAGAAGTCTTGCTAATAACAACTTTGAGCAAATTCACCGGACGCGCCATTTACTCTGGACCAGTCTCCTATCATTGGAAAAGCCGTCATCAGCACGTCTTTCTCAAAACACTGGGAAGCAACCATAGAGCTGATGCAAGCGAACACAAATGACCGCTTTCTCAACATGCAGATCTTTGCTGGACTGTTGAGGTGCGTTAGTAAAATTTGTATAGAGAGGCTCATTGGACACCTTGTGATTGTGGACATCGAGGATGCATCACAGAAGTGGTACCACGATTTCTTCAGGCTTGCAGGGTTCTATCGGTGTTGCTGTCAGAGCTCGGCTGGCAGCACACCGGAGCTTGAGGCTCGGAACTGTCTAGCTTCGAGACAGTCGCCGGACAGAAAATTTTCAACCGTGTACGAAAGTATCAGGACCTGGCTTGCAGAAGGCCGATGCACAAGGGCCTTACTGGACTCCGTCGCGTCCGGCGAAGCGGTGGAGGTGGAGCGCAGATATTTTCACGATCTTCTTGCAGAGCTCGGGAAAGAGAGACGTTCTCAAAGCGCACAGATGCGCGGGGAATTCATAGCCAGGGACCAAACGCGCAGCCAAAGACCGTGGCAAAAGTCGGTTGGGAGGCCGGTAGCACCAAGGAGCGAAGCCTTGAAGCCTGGGACCAAGACTTTATCGTCGAGAAAGCACTGGTGTAGCCAGGATACGGTCGTGAAGAGTGTGGGGGGCCCTGCACTTGGAATTAGGGAAAAGCGTAAGCGGAGTCAGAACACTCAGCAAGAAGGCTTTTGGCGTACAAGAAAGGCACACAAGCTGTACAAGTGTTCTCGACAATGAATAGATTTCCGGATCATGAGTGTTTCCTGCTTGCTTGATACTCTGCTTGGACCGAACGTATACACCAACGGCCAAGCAAATTGACATGAAGCCAATGATTGTGTGGTCACTGCAAGAACGAGCCCCAGATCCTGCGTCTTTTCAAGTGAGGTCGATCCACTCGGCGGCACCTCTTGTGGATCGAAATGCTTTCTGAGCAGTCAGCCACTCGAAGCATGATGAGGAACTCGGTCTCTTAAGCAGGTCCAGTTTGACTTACTTCCACGCCAGGGTTGTAGATAGCAATGCTGACGTCTAGAGCCAGTTAGCTCTTTTTGAACGAGCAGTGAAAACGCCCTGTCCCTATACCTTCGAAGCGGTGGGAAAAACAAGCTTCGAGCACGAGCGATGGATCTTCAAGGTCGGAGAGAGAATTGCAGACCCGAATGACGAACGAAATTAAAACGACAGAATGCAAATTTCCACCGAGGCTTCGAACCTAGAGGCATTGGCCAGTCCTTAAGATTGTGAGCTATGAAACAACTGCTTTTCACTTGGCCCAAGTCAAGCAAGGAAGCGCAGGCCCGATGCATGAACCCGATGACTGTACCTGAAGGTCAATCCCCATGAATGCTTGAAGCCACCGCCACTGGCCAGTATCTGCACCTTCACCTCGTGACAAAACTTCTTCTTGCATTGTCAAATCGAAGGGTTGAAGTGTACTAGATGAATGAACTCAGCGAACGTACGAAAACGTGAATCTCTTTCCAAATGTGAAGCCGGAGCACGGGCAGAGCACTGGCTGTCATTTAAACTTCACTTGGCCTTAACTTCTCCGTCATCCTACAACAACCGTGACATCCCAAATACATCTTCGCATGCTGCTACATTCATTCAATTGACCATCAATAAGCAAATGGACAGTCATCCACATTCGTCCTGACAACAAACATCACACACACAAGCGCCGGCTCTAACCGGTGCTACGGGATTCACAATGACCATGTCCACCATCCCAGGACCACTGTCCGAAGAACATGGATCAATATTTGAAAGCCATGGACCACACTTCTTCTCTCGAATCTCCAAGGAGGAGGGGAATGAGAGTAGAAGTGATGCTCCAGATGCTGCTTTATGTGAAACCTATCATATAGAGCTGTCGGCAAATGGGCTAGGTATCAATGGTATTGTCTTTACTGGGCTGAGGGCATGTGCTGACGTTTCAGCTACAGAACTTTTCGACTCCGACAACCTTGAAGAAGGCCAGCGGACAAATATCGGATCTGCGACCATCTCCATGATCGAGACGCGCTTCCAGGAACCTGAGAGCGTCTACAGAAGCTGCAAGATCGAGCAGCTTGATTTCAAATTCGAGAACATCCTGATCAAGATGGAAGCATTCGCTGTGACCCTCCGCCGCATCCAGTCCTTCTGCGTCGAGCATCAGGCCGAGCATCTCGCGATGGCTCCTATTCAGGGCTCATGCTGGTTCTCTGGCCTTCTCAAGCCCGCAGGCTTCAATCTTTGTGATTGCGAACGTCTTGACAAGCCTGTTGGTGTCGGATTTCAATTATGCATGGTCCTGCCAACTCCGCCAATCGAATCACCAACACGCATCAATGAAGACTCTCCCATGGACGATACAGCCGTAAGTGAGAGAGATGAGGTAGCAGCGGCGGCAAAGGACAGATTTGCCAGGGAATTGTCAAGTATAGGCGATCAATATAATCGGTTGATGGAGAAGATGCAGAAAGAGGCCAAGGTATTAGGATTCCAACAAGTGCCAGCGGAAGGCCGAGTCTTCTCAAATGCGAGCACTAGCATAGGGCGAATCGACGAAATACGGCGTACCCAATACTCGGGCGGGAAGGATGTTTTAGCTCCAATCTCCAATGGAAAGACACGGGCTTCCCCTTCAGCTGGAACTGCCTCGATAGCGCCTCCTCATCGAAACATGATCAATGAGACCAGGGCGATCGCGCTTACTGAAAACCGTGCCAATACTGCTGCTGCAGATATGAAGAGAGAAGACCCGCTGTTCATAGCCGCACTCACATCAACCATGGTCCAGCAAGGCCAAATCGTCGGTGTCGGTAGCAGCAACTCCCAAACAGCCGACAAGCCAGCGAACAAGGCCGGAGGGCGACCTGGCCAGGATTCTGGAGCAGTCGCTGAGGGCAGCCCGTTCGAAAAGCCATCTCTGCCTCAGCGTCAGGGCATTGTTACAAGTCCAGCCGCATCAGAGGAAGCAACGGGCCCGGAAGGTTCGACGCCAGGTCCTCTTTCAAAGAAGCGATACTGCACGTACTGGATCCGAAAGGGAGAGTGCGATTACATGCAAGAAGGTTGCAGATACAAGCATGAGATGCCAGTCGACGAAGAGACGCAGCAGAGAATTGGTCTTCGCGAGATCCCTTTATGGTTCAGAGAGAGCCCGGAGTACGAGCAATTCTTGCAGCAAGTACAGCAAAGACGGTCAGCAACTGGAAGATTGACTGATGTCGGCTCTGACAAGAAAAACCCATTCACGGCCCAATCATCCCGCCGAGGCTCTGGTCGAAGCGGCAACAATATTAGCTCGCATGGGGGCCGAGGGACTGCGACAACAAGGCGTGATCCTGTTCAGATGGGCTCCTACACCGTGCAGTCCCCACACGAAAATTTCGATCAAAGCGCCATGGCATCCAGTACCGAAGCAAAGACGGCTCGTGCCGGCCCGCCTTCAGCTTCCAAGATCAAAGACACTCAGGCTGTCAACACGACAGCGAACAGGCGATCGAACAAAGAGAGTTACAAGCCTTCGAAAGTCATAGCGTCTTCCTGCGGCAGTGACATACGAACGGCCACCAAAGAAAATCCTATCGTCAAGGACAGTAACATCGAAGAGTCACGCAAAGGCTACGCAGAGAACCGTGGTGGATCTAGATACCGCGCCAGCAGTACGCATTCGGGCGCATCCGAGGGGGGTGTCCCCTTATCACGCTCAGCCACCGATTCCGCACCATCGATGCTACCAGGAAGAACGAAGAGAGAATCCTCAAGCCCGTTTTCAGACACCAGTGCCCAGAAAGCCAGACCAGGGCTGGAAGGAGCAAAGATGGGAAGGAAAAATGGTCAAGCTCGCAACTAAGTTCAGCAATTCAATCCCATTTTCACTCAACATGAGTCTCGGCCCACGATTCGGCCGACCACAGCCGCGCCATGCGTACCAATCCTGAGAGGCAAATGTGTTTGGTCAGGAACCTCGAGGGCGGAGAATCGCACGCACACTTGAATCGCTGATAGATCACCAAGTGCAGCTGGCATTGATCGACCAGCTTTTTCAAAGGCAAGCAATATAACAAATTAGGTAGATGGAAGCAAGGGTCCCCAACACAACAATAATACACAGTCCACTCATCCCGTGACATGCACCATCACACCTTCTTACTCTGCTCGTACACCTTCTAGGGCTAGACACCGCCGGGAGATTAGCAGTCCCTTGTATCCGATAACCGCCCAGACCGAGGCAACAAATTAGCGTGGTTTTTCTCCGCGTCTCAACTACGCGACTTTTTTTATTCTTTATAATAACTCTACTATATTAAGTCTAATATAATTAAAATTACTACTCTATCTACTTCTAATAAGAAAGAATTAAATTAAGTTATAAAATATTAGAAAAGAGATATTTAGATTAATATAAGAAAGGAGAAACTTAAATAGCGTAATATTCTTTTTTAGAGTATATCTTTATTATTAGAGTATTAGTTAATAAAAATTAAGTATTATATAATTATTAGTTATCTTTTAAGCGATATAAGAATTACTTTATATACGATATTTAGTCTTATATAAACTATTACTATTTAGAATATATTTTTATAAAAATATTAATTTATATATCTCTCTATAGAGTACTTTAGATTCTATTTAGAAGTCTATTAATATTTCGAAGTTAAAAATCTTTATCGCTATTATAATCTATATAAGAATCTTTTATTTTTTTATTATTTATAATTATTAGAGAACTAATAAAATTACTTTAATAGTTTTATTAATTATTAAAAATATAACTCGAAATCGCTATATTCTTTTTCGAAAATTTATTTATTACTTAGACTCTATTAAAGAAAATTTTAGAATTATTAAAATAGATAGATATAAATAGTTTATATAATATAAAAAAGCTTTAATTATTTATAAATAAAATACGAAGTAATTAGAAGAAGCTTCGTATTTTAAATTCTTATATTATAATTAATAAATATATAATTAAGAAGATAGAATATATATATTATTTTATAATAGCTTTAGATAAGTTAATTAAGAAGAAATATAAGCTATTCGTAATTAGCGATAAGAGCTATCTCTATAATTATATCTAGTATTCTTCTATATAAAGTTTTAAGAATAGATTAAAAGTTAAAGATCTTAGAGATATATTAATTATAGTATTTAAATTAATTATTAATATACTATTCTATAACTCTATTCTCTTTATAAATAATTATTTTATTAAATCTAAACTAATTATAGTTTTAAAAGATAGAGAAATTATAATATATAAAATTATAAAGCTAAATTAATTAGATCTTTTAAAATTATTTATAAAGATAAAATAAGTCTTTATAAGAAATATTTTATACGAAGTTCTCGCTATAATAATTTAGAATAATATATTAATAATAATCTAGTAAGATAATAATCTTATTCTAATTCTAATTACTATATATAATATAAGAGAGATTAATAACTTTATTTTTAAAAAGAGAAAATATTTTAATAAGACTAATATAAATAGTCGTATAGTTTTATTTACTTTTAAAGAGAATAATTAGAATATATAAAAGAAGGAGTTTTAAGTTTTTAAGCTTTTCTACTATTATAATAAGTATATAAAAAAAAATTAATTAATTTAATACTCTAATAGCTATATATTCTTCTTAGCGAATTTATAATTAAAATTAGATATCTCTACTTTATTAATATTTAGATAAAAATCTTTCGAATATCTTTAAGCTCTATAAATTAATAAAAAATATTTTTATTAAAAGTATTAGAAGTTTCTCGAGCTAATAGTAATAGAATTAATTAAAGAAAATAGAGAAAGTATTCGATCTTAACTATCTCTCATCTTAATTATTACTTTATTAAAACTATTATAAAATAATTATAACTAATAAGATTTAAATATTATTCGATAGTATCTTATATATCGTTTTAATATTTAGAAGAGGCGTTTTAATAGAGAAATTAGTAGTAATAGTAGAGAAGTATTAAAGATTAGAGGGAGATACGCTATATATAAAGTCTCTTTATATTATAAAGGGGATTATATAGAATAATTTTATAATAGAAAGGATTAAATAGAGTTTATAGAATAAATCTAGATTATTAAATATAGATTATATAGTAGTTATAGAGTGGTAGTGTTTATAATAATGGTAGAAATCGCATTTGTTGCCTCCGGGCGGTTATCGGATACACCCCCTGATACTGTCAATATTTTCGCGCGTAGAACCGTTTTTTGGCGGGTCTGCTACCCTACAACAGTAATATGACCGTCTTTCACGCTCGTCCAAGGGCGTGCTACCAGAGTCAAGGCGTGCGAGAAGGAACCACTCATACATAGAGCCTATATATTCGCACCTCCTCGGCTCAGAGAATCTGTAAATGGACATCGCTCTCGGGACTCCATCTAGCCCATGGTTTGCCAGAACGAGACGGCAACAGATCGGTAAAACGTAGGGATTTTCAAGGCCCAAAGATCATGTATTCTTCGACTGAACGCATAGTGCAATACCGCCCAAGACGAAAGCCATGCCGATCCAGGTATCTGTTTCTCCGTCAGTAGAAAGTCAGCACCAATATGATACGTAGTCTGGGGATTAATGGTCGCCGGGGGCGTGGGGGATAGGACGTACCTCTCGATATAACCTTCCCCTCAGCCCACCACTCCCCCAAGACCGTAAACAAGAACGCCAGGGAATTCGTAATCGGGACCGTAAGGCTCAACTCTACACCAACAGCCGTCAGCGGAGCTCTAAACCACCACCACCACCACCACCATCACCCATTCCATTTCCCCAACCCCAAACTCTTCCCCAAACCCCCCCCCCCTTACAAGCGAGAAGAGGAAAACCACCCCCACCTACCGGCCCGTCCAATCAGCAAAAAGAACCACACGCTCCCCGTCAAATTCACCACCAGCGGCAGCGCGTACGCCGGACTCCGGAGCAGATCCGCGACCGTCCACGCCGCCTTCAGGACGCGCCGCCGGGCCCGGCCGGCCCGGGTGCCGGTGTCGACGCGGTCGAGGGAGGGGTGGGCGGGGGGGTGGAAGTGGAGGGCGGCGCGCCGGATGAAGGGCGTGGTGAGGCCCCAGGCGAGGCCGACGAGGAGGAAGCCGAGGGTCCAGTTGAGGATGGAGGGGGGGGAGGGGGGAGGGGCGTCGGGGTCGGACATTGTTGGGGTGGGTTGGATGGGCGGGAAATGGGATGGGGAGTGGTTCGCGGTCTTTGGAAGTTTGGTGCATGACTAAGCGGAATCCCCCTGTCTTCGAGCCAATGAGAATTGGATTAGATATGGGAAGCGACAATTCTATAGGAGTGACGCCTTCGATGTGTCTATATAGGTGTATACTAGCTCAAAAATAGTTACGGTCTTAAACGGTTTTCTGCCCAGATTTTCAACATGATTCATGGCCCGTAACCCCTTCTCCTGCCCGATCCGATGTCAATCCTCCGCATCTCCTCGCTCAAGGCATCGCCCCAATCTTCCTTCCCACGGCCTATGGGAATCTTCCCGGGCACAGGAGGTGGGACATTACCAGGCGAAATCCTTGGATATTTCTGTAGACGATTTCGATTGGGCGGATTTGAAGGGCTGTTTCCCGCGTTGTGATTATACAATGGGGTGGATGCTTCGTTAAGTGGTCTACGTCCAGCCGACGGCATGGGTTGCGCGCCTTGCGGACTATTCCTGAACCTGACGGTGACCTCCGGACCCCGCCTGGTTGGTGACTTCTGCTCCGGTTCTGGAGCCCACGTATTAGTTGGTAGATGGTCTGATGGGTCAATAATCCGTCCGTCGTTGCCAATGATGGGTCCGTCACCAAGCTTTTCTTGTCGTTCATGTTGTCGAGAAGCTTCCGTAGCTTGCTCTGGTGTGCTGTACCTCGCGCCTGGATCATTGACGCCGTTTGCAGCGCTGATGGACGGGTTGTAGGCGTCAAATGAGTCAGGCGAGAAAGGTATCCCGGATTGCTGTGGTCTCTCTGCAGGTGCCGGTTGTGGGCTCAAAGACTTGCGTACAGGGGTACGAGGATCTGGGCTTACCGCTCGCGGCTTGGATATTGGGGTGGAGTATCGGTCGACAGGGGCGGAGTAGCGGTGCGCTCGCCTCTCTTGCATATTCTCAAAGCTTCGAGGCAACGGCTGCTGTATAGACTGAGTTGCTGAGGAAGCGGGGTTAGTCTGAGGAAGCGGCTGATTAAGAGACTGTTGCCTTGCGCTCATGCGCCTTTCGTACGTCCTTTCCGACTCGTCCTCAGCTATTTTAGACTCGTAGCCAGGAACAAGACTAGGCGGCATGCCATGATGCAGGTACCCTTGCGAATTAGAAGGCGATACTGAGGGTTGATACCCTTGAAATGTAGAATTGCTTTGGACCTTGGCCAAAGGACTACCAGAGATACTGCCGGTAATATTGCCTCGAGCACGTGGAGTAAGAGGCGCCGCTAGAGGAATGGATCGGTGAGCTGGAGGCGGAGGAGGGGGCGGTCCTTCATCATCCACAACAGTCTCGGCATCCGGCCATGCATGTGGCATCGTATTCTGGCGGAGCCGGGGATCTATGAGCCGGTGATCTACCATCGCTGGCGAAGAATTGGAATGAATCATGCCATTCTGCAATGGTTGCGCTAGTGGCCTCATCTGCCAATCATCCGCGTATTCCGTATCGTACTCATTCTCTTGGTCATAAGGTTGCCCATTCTGTGGGCTTTCACCGAGCACCGGAGCGCTGACTTGTCTGTAATCTGCTTGGCTGGTAGATTCGTACATGTCGAAATCAGGCTGGCTTGGCGCTGGTGCCATATTTGGGTTGTCGTTGTACGGTCTTTGGGCTTGTTGGCTGTTGGCTAAAGGCGAGCTTCGAGGCTGTTCATCTTGTAGACGCTGGTGTCGCTTATCTGTTGGCGGTGTAGACTGGAAACCGTAATCGTCTGGTGACGCAACGTAACGCTGCTGAGAGCTTGAAAGATTTTGGCTGATTGGAGGAGGTGTTTGAGGGAGAGGTGAGGAGCGAGAAGGGTCGGTTGGGTCCGCAGGCAAAGGTCTTCTCTTGACTGGCTTGGGCTGTCTCGGGCCGCCAATGCCACTGCTTACTTGATCCATAGACCCCATGACTGGGGCAGATTGACGTCGGCCTTCTGCATTCTCTAGTTTTGGGCGTATATCATAGTATGTGAGCTCAATCCTTATGTCTCCTGCGTATCTTCCCTTGCAATTGAGGCCATGCCAGAGATCATTTGTTCCTCCACCAGGTATGATTATTCGGTCGAGAGGAACCCAGGTCTCTCCGATGAGTTCAGTCTTCCTGTCGTCGTTGAATACAGATACTTTCAGTTGGTAGTAGTCAGGGGAATCATGAACAGTGAAGCGCATTTCCTGATCCCTGAAGCAAGTCAGTATGCTACCACTGTGATGGAAATTGATGTCTCACCATTTCGGTGTCTGCCCTCCTCTTTTGTCTGTGTCGGTCTTCTTGGCCTCCTTCCCTAGTCTAGCAGCACAATAAGGATCCTGCTTTCCCATCGTTTTCCGGTTTGGTAGGTTTTTCGCTCGATCAACAATGACGACAAGCGTCCCAATTTCAGGCCCATCGAGAGTCAAGTCGGCATAGATCCCAGCGGTATGGGCGCCGCTGAGGGCCGTTTTGGCCATGATCCGTATCTGTGGTCGAGTCGCAGATGGCGGAATGTCAGATGCGCACTCGTCAATTCCGGATGGCTGGGCAGCTGTCCAAAAATAGGCGTAAACAAAAGCGGGTAGTAGCCGCATCCAAACCTTAAAGTCGGCGTGGTGTCAAGATCAGGTCTACCGTCTAAAGTACCTTACGCATCGCCGTTTATCGGGAAAGCGAACGATGACAAGCTTCTTAGCCGCCTTGCACATCTACTTGAGCTGGTGAAAGTGCTTTGCACAGTTTCATTCGTTATGAATGGTAGTCTATAGCGTACATGATCTCCGACCTCCGCCAAACTCCCCACCAGCACCACCATTGACCACAACGTGCTGTTCTTCTCCAACATCCGCCAATACCACAATCAGTAACCCCAACCCGCTGCTCTCCTCCCAATCACAGCCAATGCTCAATAAACCAGGAGAGAGTGATGGGAAAAGATGTGCGCATCAACCAGCGGTAGTGTAAGGCCGGTGACACAGGAGCGCAGATCATAGGCAGTGCCTTTGAAGACCTTTGCAGAGTTCCAAAAATTGGTTGCATGTCCCTTCCACGGTAGACAATATGAGGATCATGATGCATGAAAGTAGATGTGCTAAGCACAGTGGAAGTCTCGGTGTCAACCAGCGGTAGTGTAAGGCCGGTGACGTGAGAGAGTGGCAAAAAATTTGGGTTTTGCGTATTCCCAGACGCATATGAGGATCGTTGTGCATGAAAAGAAGTAGTAATGGGAAGTCTCAGTGTCACCAGCAGTAGTGTAAGACCGGCAACGAGAGAAGTGTTTTCTAAAAATTCTGGCGCCGTTGCATGCGGCAATAAGAAGTGGATCAAGAGTATTTTAGGGAGCTTGAGGCCCATGCAAACTCAGTGTCAACCAGCGGTAGTGTAAGACCGGCGACGAGAGAGGGTTTTGTAAAAATTGTGGTATGTCTCTTTCACGGTAGACAAGATGATGATCATGAATCATAAAGATAGAAGTGCTAAGCACAGTGAAAGTCTCGATATCAACCAGCGGTAGTGTAAGGCCGGCGACGAGAGAGTGTGAAAGGAACTGGCTCGAACCACTTGCGTGAATTTCGGCACAGGGTGAAGATCAGGGCATACCTTGCAGTGTTTTTTGGCACTAATGACTCCACCAAGCGCAATTACAAGAAGCAGCCTAAATTGAAGTATTATCAAGAGTCCTCCGAAAAATAGTGTGAGTGATGAGTACTTACTGTTCCCTTAAAGCTCACGATCCGACACAAGAGATAGCCTAGAGCGAGATATTATCAAGAGTCCTCCAAGAAATGATATAGGTGATAGGTACTTACTGTTTCCTTAAAGCTCACGATCCGACACAAGAGACAGCCTAGAGCTAGGTATTATCAAGAGTCCTCCGAGAAATGATATAGGTGATAGGTACTTACTATTTCCTTAAAGCTCACGATCCGACACAAGAGACAGCCTAGAGTGAGGTATTATCAAGAGTCCTACAAGAAACGGTAGGGGTGGTGAGTACCTACTGTCGTCCCAAGCTCACGATCCGACCCTGTAATGTTAACAATACCAAAACGCACAAAGCACGCGAACAACTAAATGATGATGAAAACCTGGTACCACGTTGACTCACTGCTTTTTCTAGGAGGGTTTTTTGGGTGTTCAATTTTTTTTCTTGGCCACGTACTGCCTTTTCTGTTATTGTGGGTGATTGTAATCAAAGCATAAGTTGAACGGAATAAGATCTCGGAGATGCGACTCGGAGGGAAGAAGTTAGTGAGGTCGGATTCTTTCAACTGTTCTGACTGAAGGAACACAATTCGAGGTGCCCAGCCCCAAAAAGGTCGTAGTAGAAATCGGTCGAAAGGTGATGATCATATTTCACTCTTACTGACGAGCGGTGGCAGGGTGTCCAAGCCCGACAGCCGCTGCAGCCTCGAGACGAAAGATGAAGGTGTTGGCGAAGAGAAGATGGTGGTGTCCCAAGAAAGCTTCCGGTCTGCCTGACGAACAAACACCATGAGGGGCCCAATCCCCACGGCGGTGTTGCAGTCTAGAGTCGGAAGCTGAGAAGGAAGAGAATAGGGAGGTGGAAGACTTGGCGTAGTGATGTCCCGACATAGCTTCCGGTCTGCCTGGCGAACAACCACCATGAGGGGCCCAACCCCCATAGCGATGTTGCAGTCTAGAGTCGGAAGGTTGGTGGAGGAGCTTAGAAGACACATCGACGTTTGGCTTGCGATGTCGATGTAGGAAATGTTGAGAAGTCCGTGATTTGTGAACTAGTCGAAAGTCGAAGGAGGTCTGTGGGAACGTTGCGGTGAGAAGTTGTCGAGCGGATCGCTTGTGAGACATGAGTGCTGTGTGGTCTTATGAGTTGGTCTCGATGATACTGGTGACACCCGTTAGGATGGAAAAGTTGGTGGGAAACGGGTTAACTCACGACACGAGGATCCGCTAACAGGCCGGTATGGATTGCCATACGCTACCTCGTCTCAGCCTTCCAGGTTGCGACGGAGCGCCATGCCAGACCGCCTCGTGGTTAGTATGGGAAAAGGAAGGGGGAGGAAGGGGGGTGTGAAGGGGGGGAAGGAAGACGAGGCAGTCTAGCACCCTACCGCTGAAGCGAGGCAGTCATGTAATGGATCGTGGTCGAAGCGAGATGTCCAAGAGCATGTCAGGAAGACGACCTCGAGGAAGTGCGATGACGAGGAAGAAGGTTTGAATTGACAGGCGGACGAGCTAGAAGACTTGGTCGTCATCGTCGGAGGAATTGTCGTCTTCTTCCACCCTCATATAGTGGGAATCCTTCTGGAAAGTCCCGTTCTCTCGTTGCCGTGTCCTTAGACGTGCCCTCCCAAATGAAGGAGGCGTTGGGATCTCTGGCACCTGCGAACGTATGAATGAGGTCCTCGGCAAACTGAACGACTTTGCGAGGGCGGTCAGTGCGAGATTTACGAGGATGAGGGTCCACGCCCGATTCCGCTGGAGTGGTTGCCCACTGGTAAGGGGGAATGTTGTAGTTCCGGACGGGGACATCGCCGTCTTCTTCACAACAATCGCAGGTCCTGCCCTTGTATAGTGGCCCATAGCCACAGTTGCGTCGTGGTCCTGGTTTGCTTGGTCTTGCAGGGCAGTAGTCCGAGGTACCTCGGATTTTGTATGACTTCAGGCGACGAGGGAGGTAGACTGGCGAAAAGTGCCTAGGGAATTGGGACATTGTATGCGGCAGGAAGACGGGCGAAATAGAGTGAGGTATAGGAGTTCGGGTGAGAGGAATGTTCGCTGGCTTGAATCTTCCAAGCAGTTGAACACGAGCCTTGCGACCGGTGGGCGCCGATGGGATGAGAGATTCGGCGTCGAAAATTCGGTCGGATATCTGTACCAAGGCGTAGATGTGATTGCACTCTCCTGGCTTGTCCTGGCGGAAGTTATCTGGCATCTGGACGGTAAGCCAGCCGTACCGTCGTGGCGCAGGAACGGCGACAGGGATGGCGGCGGCAGGAACGATGACATCTGATGGCATCGATGATGGCTGGGAGGTCGATGCTGGCGCGGTGGTGACGGGTAGCAAAGACGGTACTCTGGACGACGTCGAGGAGGACTTGATAGTCGACGCCGGAGTGATCTTGACAGGAGGCGTAGATCTCTTGGGACCAGGTGCGAGGTTGGCAATGACACGCTGGCGGCGCTCGGCGATCCGTTCGGAAACAGATGCGCTGTTGGCTAAGGGAGCGATCTTGGCGAGAGATCTTTGCTGGTGCTGACGCAAGGGTGGGCAATCCTTGGAGGCACTGGTGGAGGCGGCGATGGGGAGCTTGGACTTCAACGCATGGGATGTTGATGGTGATGCGGAAGTGGGCTTGACGACGGTGGGCTTGCTGATGGACATGGCGGAGAAGAGCGTGGCGATGTCATCGGCGGTCTTGACGGAGGGGCGACTGGCTGCAGCTGGGACTACAGAGTCGTTGACGCGGACAGGGATGCGCGAAGATGCTGCGAGGGAAGGCATGGCAGCAGATGCGCGGTTGACTGAGAGTGAGATGAGTTGTGGCATTGTAATGTTGTGTGAATGTAAGAGCATTGGTAGTGAGAGCTTTTGGTGGAGGAGAAAAAGAAAAAGAGAAAAAGAAAGGGGAAAAACCCAGATACTTATACCTGAGAATCCCGCAAACTTGCTCACACAGGACCTTGGAACCTCAAAACTTGTGCCAGCGGCAGCAAGACAGCCTGGGAGGCATGGTGTAAGAATGATGATGATGATCGGGTGTATTGAAACCCGTATATGTCTCCAATTCATCATACCTAGCCATCCGCCCTTGTAGCCTTCACGGAATCCTCACAGCATCTTGGGCTTGCTTTCATCCAAGGCCTGTTGGGTAGCCCTGTGTGCCAAGGCGTTGGGGAGCTGCTAGCATAACTTCGTTGAGTCCCTTGGCAGTAGAGAAGCTCAGACTGTTCACCGGATGCATGAAAGAAAGCATTCGAGGACGAATCGCTGAAATCAGTGGAATGCGAGAAGACGTTGCAGAGAAGTAAACAGATGTCGTCTAAATGGACGTTGAGATAGTGGAGATAGTGCACCTGCCCGTAACGAACCGCTGCGAACCAGCGGTACCGATCTCGGAGCGCTTGTCCACGTGGGCGTGCCCAGGTATGGCAGCCAAAACGCACTGGAAGCTTGGCGAAACTTTCGATGGCACCGTACTCAGTAGAGCTTTTGATAGACGACAAGGCTTCAACAGACAGTAGTGATGAAACAAGATCATCATGAGCTTTTAAGATGCGTCCGCAGTGGATAGAAGATGAAAGGATGCTAGGATATGTCTTGCCCATGCACTACTCCTACATATTGAAGTCTGCTACAACAGGTGAGTGCAGCCATCAAAGGCTCCCAAGATGATAGGTATGGGCCTATCTGGAGTGAGGATTTGATAACTGTACTACAGCTACTATAGAATACTTCGTAATGTAGGGTATACCATTTGGAAACGGGGAACGGAACGCTGGGGTAGATAGAAAGTTGGTAGACCAAACAGAACACGCTGAAACATACACACGTGTCTTTTCTGAAAAATTTGAAAGACCCTGATCAAGTAGGTGAAGCCGCAGTATGCATATGTAGCACTAGAACGCGTCAAGGACAATGTGGCGGGCTAGTAGGCATGGCAGCAGAAGCGGATGAGGAAGCTACGCTGTTCATAGAGACACGATCGATAGTGGAAAAATTTGATGAAGGCTCCTCAAGTGGCTTGCTCCAAACAGACGAGTCCCTAATGTACTGAACAGAAAATGGCGTTTCTTTTGATACAGCGCTAAGCGGCTCCGTCCGGGTAGCGACAAAAGCAAAAGTGAAACCAATATCAAAGTTCAATGAAATGAACCTTAATTGCGGTCTAACAGCCTAACAGTTTTATACTTGGCTCTGGCCCGAGAAGTTTTTCGGTGCATAGCACAGCTCTTAGTTCGGATCGTACGACTATCAGACCTACTGTCGTCGCGGGATCGGTCTCAAGGAGATGACTTTCTGGCTAGGACTCACAACATTACGTGAAAGAGTGATCGAGGTCCGTACATGTCCTCATCGCACTTAGCATCGGCACCGCGGCTGTGGGTGGCCATCCCGTGCTACCACAAGGACCTCCAGATATCCGCTGACACCAGTCATCGCGCACCAATTGAATGCCAACGTACATTTCCAGAAATTCCAAACTCGAGAGACCAAAAGCAAACCCCTCTCCCACACGCTACAGCACCACACCAGAACCATCAGGAACTCTATTCCTAGATGTCCAATCCCACGCCTCACCGAAGTTCCGACACTGATGCTTGATCCCCCACCCATCCACAAGCACCGGCTTGTGTCCTCCATACTTCTCACGAAGTGCATCCTCGCCGATCCCCTCGAGCCATTTTTCGGGGAACTCATTCGCAGACTCGATAGTCAGATCGCCCGCGCACATGATGCCCTGGCGTACATAGTCGAAGCAGTGGGCGGTATGTCCGCGAAGTAACATGAGTTTCTTCTCCTCAGAGACGAGTTCGATGCCGGGTTGCGTGAAGGCGGGAACGGTGCCGTTGAGGGCGGCGTAATAGCTCGCTCGGAGAACTGTCTGCAGATGGGATGATGTTAGCTGAGGGGGAGTGAGCGCCTGGAAAGCTGATTGACTGGGGGGATATATACAAGGCAGTGCAATTGGTGAAACATGGAGATGCCGTAGACGTCGGGTCCTGTCTTCATGGGGATCCCGGGCTTGAGTCCGTAGGCTTTGGCGTTCGGAACTACGATTGCACCCCCTCCTTCTGTGCGCGGTGTATGCTCAGTGGTAGCTGATAAATGTGGGGCGAGAGGAAGTTACTCACTGGGTCTTAAGGCTTCCCACGCTGCGTCGCTTTCTGGCGAAGCCGGGGCCATGAATGTTGCATTTTCATCGAATGTTGTAGTTATGATAGGAACTAATTAGCCACCAGCGGTTAGGACTTCATGTCTCATCAGGCAATTGCTCATGGTAATTAGATCTTACTGTCAGGGATAACGGCCCTCGGTCGCTTGGAGATGTGCAACAACCCCTGAGCAGTCCAGACGGTAGCGAAAACGAGATTGAGCAATAGCAAAAAGGGCGCCACTTCGTATATCTTTTGAACAACAAAGTGCAGGATGGTGGGTCTAGGGGTATCGTGCCTTTCCCGGCTGGAGCTATCTTCACCTTCCGGGACCTGTCTATACGAACCCTGAGCTTCTTGTCGCCAGTAGTCGAGGAACCCTAGCATGGCTTGAGCTTCAGATTTTCACCGGGGCTCACTGTTCAGTGGGGGCGTTGCGGAAGTCAAAGCGAGCTCGAGGGGTACATTCGAGCTTCACGCCTTGGTGTAGGTATGGTCCATTTGCCATCAGGAGTCTCCTCGTAAAATCAGGTCGAATGCCGAATGCGTAGATTGAGTCCAGTGGCGAGTAGAAGTCACACCGCATTGGGCAGAATCAATGTTACAGGTGGACGGTTCGATTTTTGCTAAGTACCACACATCAGCCCTTGATATTGTTGCTTAATATTGTTCTCATTGGATGAAAGGGCCCGAATTTGGCACGCTGACTTGAGAAGTGCTAGGCATAATCAAGGAACAAAGAACATTCAAGGCATTGCAGCCAAACTTCGAGAAGGGCAACGATATAACGTTCTAACCCGATCGTAGTATACCTTTCTTAATTTCTTGTCAACCAACATTTCTTTGAATTATTGGCGGTTAACTAGTAAAGAAAGTGCTCTGGTCGACAGGCACCAACGTGAGGCCGGTATTGGTACCCTGCTCGTCTGCCATATTTAAGTGCCTGGAGGTTTCTTTATAGCCATCCGGCGCCTTGCGTCGGTGTCATCGGAAGAACTCTCGTCCTCGCTCCCATCGCCCCAATTGCTCTCGTTGTTTTCATTTGCCCAACTGCCTTCTTCTCCCTCATCACCATGTTTGACTTCATTTCTCTCGCTCTTCTCGTCTAACTCATCTTCTTCATCGCTGTCAGATATAACGACCGGATTGCGCTCGTTATTCTCATTTGCCCAGTTGTCTTCTTCTCCTTCATCGACTTCATCACCCCGATTGAACTCGTTTCTCTCGCTCCTCTCGTGTAATTCATCCTCCTCATCACTGTCAGATATAACGACCGGATCTTTAAGGTCATTGCCATTACGACCGCTTGAAGTACCGTCCGATACAACAATGGGCTTTCCAACGCCGTCCACTCTTGGGCCCTCGGATGCTTCGTGGTGAGTGTCCTCATCGTCGTCATCGTCATCTCTCCAAATATCCTCATCATTGCCGTCATATCTCCAGTTATCCTTGTCGTCGTCGTCGTCGTCACTGGATTTGACACGGGTTTCCTGCACCTCTCCTCCTTCCTCCTCGGGGCCATCTAGTTCCGATGTGGGAAAAGGTGGATATTTGATGGTTTCAGTGAAAGGGTTTCTAGGTTCTTTTGGATCTGGGAGGTCCGATGGCTTCGGCACATCCTTCACAACAGGATTCCAGTAATTCCAGTCCCCAGGCGGCATTTGGTTGATCTCGCTACCTGCGTAGTAAAGTCGATCTTGTTTCTGTAGGCTTGGATTGGCAGTATACTCGTTCATTATGCGCTGACACTTTGCCCCGATCTTGAGTTCAAGCTCTTCGATGCTCGGACGATCCCATGGCTCTGGCATTAGGCAAAGCTTTATCAGCTCTGTTAGAGCGCCGCTGTATCTTGGGGTTCGGACGTTCGGGATGTCGACAAAAGCCTCATTGACAGTCCACTCGTCATCAGTCAAATAATACACGACGGCCTCATGTGTCAGTAGTTCAAACATTATTGCGCCAATGCCCCATATGTTGGTGTGCGCAGAAATTTTTGGCAGTGGAGCTGTCCCGTCTAGGTGCCTGTTCATTTGGGTCGTAAGTGCAATTCCTGAGTGGAAAAGTCTTTGCTCCTTTCATGAGAATTAGTAACTTGCCAACATTGGGTTGGACAGTACTCACTGGGGCGTAATACCCTTGGGTTCCAGCGCCTCGAAGTCCAATTGGGTTTCCTTGGTCACCGTGCTTGACTTTGATAGCAAGACCCCAATCTCCAGTCTTGGCGACTGGGTATGATGAGAATGCACTATCTTTGTTCTCAACGCCTAGGAATACTATCCATGTTATTGAGTTGTCTAACTCAGCCCAAGCAATCTGGAATGGAAAGACTAACTATTTGCGGGCTTCAAATCACGGTGCACGATTCGATAGCCCCAATTGGTGTCATCCGGTCCATTCTCCATCGCTGCAGCTACTTTAACAAGGTTGTTAAAAGTGTGCCATAAGAATGGCTCCGGAAAATAGGTCCTTTGCTTGTCAGGCGAACACAAGAAAACTTACAGGTAAGGATCCACCAACCTGAATCTTTTATAGTTGACATTAAGCGTTACTAAATCACCATAGGGACAATACTCCATATATATGCGATGTTTTCTGACATGCATATAACGTTTGTACGCTATCAGTTTGGGCACAGCCTGGCAGCCGGTCTTATTCAGCCTGCGCATCATTTTGACCTCCTCGGGCACTTCCCCGGTCCATTTTTCGACAGGTATAGTCTTGCTTTCTTTGATGACGATTTGCTTGAATATCATTCAGCCGCTTAACAGAACAGAACAGAAATCTGACAGTACCTCTATCACAACGTTATTGTCATCTCGCAATTCCCACAGACCTGCTGTTCCAAAACTTCCTGAACCCAGTGGCCGTTTGCCAAGCCAATTTTCATTCTCGAGACCGGCAGCCGACTTGATGAATGCAGCATGGTCGGTATTCCAGCAAGGTGATTCATCATCGGCTAGAAACATTGCATCTAGTAGGCCAGGTGTGACGTCGAACAGTTCTGGCGGACCAGAATACGGAAAAGAGTTCGGAGAGGGTGGAGTGGGCACTTTTCCAGGCCGCAGGTGTCCAAAAGAGGATCGTTTATTTCGCTCGGATGGTCTGGCTCCCTCTGAGACAGTAATTAGTCGATGGTGTAGTCAGGATGGCTGTATGGGAGCAGAGGGTGGCTTGTAATTACCGTCTTGGATCGCATCAGCTTTTACGTGTCTTCTATCTCTATCTACTTCAAAGAACGAAGACAATCGCAATTTTTTCCGTGGAGACGCAGAGTGAGGTTCGCCATTGCTCTTGGAGGCCTCGTCAGAGATACTCTGTCGCTTGTTCGTGGACATTTCTACTCGATCTTACTCGCGCTCCACGTAATTCTAAAGACTCAGAGAAATGGAATGGGGAACAAGCGTTGAAACTAAACCCATCTCAAACGACAGAAAGATTCAGCTCCATTTCCTCACCCTACCGGCTTCAGGATTACTGTTTTCAGAGTGACAAAGGAATGCGTAAATAACAAAGAATCATCCAACAAGCAAGCGGAGAAACGGAACTTTTGAGGGTAGACAAAGGAGAGGGGGAATGCAGCACTCGTTTGCGGCATGCTGAACGAGCAGAGTGTCTTATGCATGTATTTTATTCCCCGTACGATCCCGTACGTAGGATTATATCAGTCAAGCAGAAGCTTCTGCACCACTTCATTTTCTGTAATTGAGTTTGCATGATGTCTCTCGATTGAAGGTTGCAAAAGCCGAATTACGGAAGCTTTTTCTTGGCGTGGCTTGTTAAGGTCTAGCTCGTTTTGGCTCGTAGATTAGATTAGATAAGATCATCATCATCTACAAGTCTTCGCGTCCTTAGCCCGCCCTTCGAGGCACTTCTTCTCTGCTCCTAATAGTATCAACGACAGTGACTCTCTATTTCTACCTGTATCTCTAGATCCATGATAAGGTTTCTACTTCGTGTCCACTAATTCACTTCTCCCATCGCATGTAGCGCTCCTATCAGATGCAATAGAGTAGCCACTTGATCCACAGAGAAATCAAAGGCGACGAGGATGCAACGATCACCCGTGGACCAAACCAATACCACTCCATTGCTACCGGGACAATGAATGATAGGAAAGACAACTTGAAGAAAGCCAGAGATACGAACGTATTTGGTTATAGCAGAAGCTCGCCATCAAGTGGACGTCCCTCCAGAGTCTTGATGGGTTTGATAGTGCGTCCTTGAGGATGCTTGAGAACATTCGGCTGGCGATCGAGGCACGCTCTGAAGGAGGACAATGAATGGCGCAGCTACATCTGGGAACTAAGCGCCTAATTGATCTCCAGTATTGGCTTACTGTTTGCTACAGAAGCCTCTACGGGACCTACTCATATTGCTCTCGGCGCAATCCTTGATTCTTATACTTGCTCCCCCGCTCGGACCTGCAGTTTTCGCAATGTTTCTTCCTTCCTGGATCTCCTCATTAAGACCATCGGCACGAATTTGCGATACATAGCAGCGAGCTCCGCCGATCTGTCGCCCCCAAGCCCTAGATCTTCTCTCCCATGTGCAACCACCAGTTCTGGCCAGCTACGCAAGCTCTGTTTGTCCTCCTTCTGAGCTTCATTTTCTTCGCAAGCCTGATCATTACGATTTTCTTCTTGTGACTTGCTACAAATTTCATTGACGGCACTTTCTGACTTTTCTAGTAAACTCTGCAGCGCGATCTCCCTTTCAAACTCGGAAAATGGCCCTCGCTGTCTTTATCGGTGGTAGACTACTCGAGCAGCCATTTTGGATGGTCCTGTCTCTTCACCGGCTTGTCTTTGGTGCCAGCTCAGGGGAGATATTGGGCCGTATCCAAGGACGACCTAGACGACGGATTGTCATTGCTATGTAGGAAGTTGACAGCCTTTGGTCTTGAACCAATTTGGTGCGAAGTAGTACTAGAGGGGTTGATGGTAGGAATGTACAGGAGCTGAAAGGCTTTTGGAAAGCTATTCGAAAAAGAATGCGCCTATTCTTAGAAGCCAAGCTTCTACAAGGACAAAAATCCGAGTTTGCAAGCAGAAAACGAGAGAATACATTCGGCTTGTCCTTCATCCTTGGGTCTTAGCCCCAAGCATAGTGGTAAACCATGGCACTTGCTCTGCGAAATCGTGGACGGATGAAAGAGTTTGATGAAGTTGCCCTGGATTGTGCCATTTGTCTATCAGCCACGACCCTGATCAGCGTCACGTACCCTATACCTTCGACTAATGTCGGCATATCGCACAAAAGTGCTCTGAATTTGGTAGTTGCCTTGCACTGCAGCAATATGCCTATTATGAAGGTGCCGAACGACATACGCCAGCCGTATCTCAGCTCTCACGGCCAAAGCAGGTCAATTTCGAAGGGCGATATGCTACCACTGCTGCGGCAATATCGACACGATGGAAATTTGATCGCAAGATATGAAGGCTAGAGGAAAGCGACACTAGTTGTGGCATCTCAACAGATTGTGACTGTTAGACCTAGAAGGCAGCCAAGAGTGGAAGCTGATTGACTGAACAGGTCAGAAACAATTGTCAAGGAAATGCAATGTGAGTTTTTGCTACTGGTTTACGAGTTGCCGACTTATGACTTTACGGATCTCTTTCTCTGAAATTCTCTGACGCCAATCCCCATGCAAGTCCAACTGGCATCCGCATCCTCCTCTCCTTCTCGATCTCTTCGACAATCTCCTCCGCTACTTCAGCTCTCTGCTTCGCACCCTCGATCTTCTTGTCAAGATCATACCAATTAGTCTGAAAATTCTCATTGAAATCATCGAGCCATACAATCCAGCTATCCGAGTAAAAATTGAGAAGCTCGATAGCCCAGTGGCCGTCTGGATTATCCGTCTGCACCTTTGTGGCTGTCGCTCGCGCCTTTTCCATGATCCATTCCACATTCTTCATTACGTAAACGAAGTCAGGCGTGCCAGACCACCGCATGTCAGTCCCATCGAGGATTTCCGGCATGCAGTCTTTCACGCAACGGGCGTAGCGACCGCGTTCCCTCAATTCTCGCATGTCGTTTCTCGTTTTCTTCATCTCTTGCGGACATACCCAATACTTGATCGCATTTAGCACCCCAGGCGCTTCCTCCTTCTTCTTTCTACTGGCTTCTTCCTGGTCTCGATCTCTGTCCCTGATGTTCATCGCTTTCAAAATGTCAATGTTTTGCGCAGCATAGTCTAAAAGCTGGTACTCCCTCATGCTCTGGTCTGCCGATCTTTCCCATGTTGAGCCGACGGCCAGTTGGTGGAGCTGGCTTGGGAGTCTCGAGAGGTTTTGAGTGGCATTTTGCCTCATCTCTGCTGCCGCAGTATCGGAGATTGGGAAGTTGTGATGATCATTAATACCCATGGGCTTTTTCCAGTATTGGACTTGGTATGATAGCTGCTTGGGTGGCGGCATGTTCGCGGCCGAGTTGTGAGATTGGAAAGGCATTTGGGAATTGTGAAAAGTAAGTCGTTCCAGGGTTGGGCAGGTGATTGAAACTGATTTTACTGGTACCGTGGAGTAGGAAGAAGAAGAGGAGGAAGGAGCGGTGCGTAAGCGGATTTTAATAGGAAACGATATTGCAATATAAGCCTTGGCGCCTTTGCTCAGTACGCATAATGGCATTAAATCCCTGCAGAATCTAGTGAGTTATCTCTCTGCCATCAATGCGAGCTAGCATACTGAAAATTTTCACCAGTCATGGTACCATTGTTTTGCACCGGATGCAGGCCATGCGCCATCCTGCTTGGCAAGTGCGTTCGATATTGTGGATCAAATCAACCATTCTATCTACACATCTCAACTATCACCAAGTCCCACGTCAACAAGAGGATAAAGAAAAAGATAAGTATGTGTAAATATCTATTACCTGAAAGAGACTATAACGTATCTCTTCCTCGCAGAATGTCACAAAACCGTTCCCTCCAAGCCCCCTCAGCCAACCAATCTTCCTCCCTCAACATCGCCTCTGTCCATTCCCTCGCCTCTTCATCCCACTCGTCGCTCAAAAACACCACACCAGCGAAGTCCATATCCCTCACAAACGCCGCCACCTCCTCCGCAACCTGCAGCAACCCCGCCGCCTCACTCACGACCAAGATACTGAAACCCAGCATCCCAGCCGTCGTCATACACCGCCAAAGCTTCGTCAGATATCCGACCCAAGCCCAGAAATGCCCCTTCAGGTACCCGACCTTCCCATCATCGACGCTCTCCCCCCTCGCGTGCCGCCGTCCCATGCCGCGGAGCGTGAACCCCATCTGCATGAGCATGTCCTGTATCTCGTCAACTCTCCGCAACGTCGACCCGCAACGCAGGATGTAGACTCCACGGCTGACGGGGATGTGGTCGACGAAGTCGAGGCGCCGGGTCAGCAAAGGGAGTTGCCCGCTGCCCGGCGTTGTCCAGTCGACCCTGCTGGCTTTCCATCGGTGGAAAGCCACGTAGGCGCGGATGGCGCGTTGTTCCGGCCAGGTTTCGCCGGTCAAGGGGCCGTGGAGGTTGAAGTTTCGCATTGGTGCGGGAGGGGGAGGGGGAGGGGGTTGGTGGAAGAGGTGGAAGGTCGGGCGGGTGGAGTTGACTGATGCATAGCAGAGTAGTAGGAAATCAGGCGTGAATGTGGTTTGACAGACAGAAAAGAATATTGCAATAGTAAACTTGGCTGTTTTTCCTCTTACGGATGACTGCGTTGAAAGCAGAGATTACTTCGTTAGTCACCTGTCAGCTATATTTGATCAGCAGGCTCCACGAGTTGTCATCAGTGTGACAGGGCGTTCGAGTTTGAGAACTGGTACAAAAGGGATTGGGGGTATATATGTTGGACGATGGGATTGATACCTTATGGAACTTTCCCCCTTCACTCCCGAGATAGGGACTTAACAGCCCAAACCTGATCGTACCTCGACAGTATCTAGTATCTATAACCTTAATAGCCCGGTCATCCAATGTCAATCGTAGCCTTTCCCTTCAAAGACCCAAACCATCCCTCAAACACCTCCCCACTCCCTCTCGTCGCTCTCCTACTCCACCTCCCCCTCCTCACTCTCACCCTCCTTCGTCTCACTCTCCGAGTCACTCGATCTCAAACTCTGATAGCCCTCATCCCCAAACATCGCATCACGACTACTGACCGTCTGCACAGTATTCCTCAGCTCCTGCAGCTGGTTAGGAGTTGTCGAGCGACGGCCTTCGGTGCCTGGCAGGCGTGCTGATAATCTCGTCAAATTACTGCTAGCGGTGTGAGCATCTTGTGTGTCGACAGACCAGGTTTCCGGAGGTGGGATCGGGAGGAAGGATGCTAAAGTCGGGAGATCAAAAGATCGGTTACCAAGGTCATCGGTTGGTAGGCCCGGGTCGCTGATGTATTCTTCGGGTTCTTCAAAGCGCATGCTTTCGTCCAAAAGCCATCGCACTGGGCTTTGCGCTGGCTGCATCTCCCTTGATTGTTCGAAAGACCGCCATGCTTGATCTGCTCTTGCCCATGTGACATGCTCTTCCGGAATGGGCGATAAACCGCGCAGTCTTATTTCTTCCCTGTCTTGGTCTGTGATTGGAATGCCGCTTCTTGTTAGGATTGGTAAGTAGATATTATCGAAGACCGAGATCTCTTCTGGTGTTCTTCCATTGTCGGTTTGGTTTGCTTCTGGGTTCGGAGTGCTTGCAATATGGTTCAGGGATAAGGCGTCGCCGAGGAACTTGACCGTCGACAAGGGACGCTCTTCTTTGCACATCTTAGCAGCAGCGGAAGAGTAGAGAGGGTAATCCTAAATCTGAGCGTATATTTGTTGGAAGCAGAGAGCAGTAATGACGATGATAAGATAGCAAGGGTTGGAATTGAGAGAGATTGATGATAAAGTTCAAGAGACACGGGAGAATAGAAGAAAGGTGACTTCGATAGCATTGCAATAATGACGCAGAGACAAGAGTTTTTGAATATATTGCATTTCCTGATGTCTGGCTGAGCATGTTCTTTAATGCTCCATTCAGACAAGCTGTGCTTGGCGATCAAATGGTGACCGGATTGTTGCCTGACCAAACCGTGGACAAATACTTCCTCTGAGGGGATACCATCTTCGATTACTGTACAGGCTGTGATCGGAGTGACAACGCGGGTCGAATGCGAAGATACATCATAGTGATCAGCTATATTGCTCTGGATCCTTGCATGATTTCAGCAGCGATAGAAGATTCTTGTAACACTACAATCCTTGTGAAATTTCGAATGTTCTGATCAAAAGCCCAACGAGCTGCATGCCTGGATGAGTCGTGGGTATTGATGGAGGAGTCCCTTAACCAACCCCTTCTGATTGCGCAGACTACGCAACTCAAGTCGCAGTCGTTAAGAAGCTATCGGTAGGTAACTGCCTTCCCAGGCGATGATGATCACGATCACAAGGTTGCTTGAGATACTCTTTTGGTTCGCGCATGGAAGACTCGTTTGATCCGCCCATGAAAGATTATCTCTGTGTACCGAGACGAGGTTCTCGGTTAGTATTCGATTTTGAACCTTGCAATGAAACCCCCAACTTTTCCATTCCCTCTCACCCTTTGCACACGTCCAAGTAGTGGTGAACACGACGTCTTCTGAAGTATCTGTAAACGTGCGATATTCCATACAATTCGGGGTAATTCTGTGCTCGGAATGCACATTGACTTCCATGCGATCGGTGAGTTTGTAGATTGCTTCGCGAGCTCGCATAGATGAGGACGGAAGTCTACTTCGTAGTTCTGCGCTCGACTGAGATGAGCGGTTAAGGCTAAGAATCCAAGTCCGAGAGTATTGTTAGTCTACAAAAACCCAAGCGGAGCTCAAGGTGGAGATGGGGGTATCCCGCACGATGAAGACACAATAGGTTCATCTACCCTCAACTGAAGATATGAGGGGTGAAAATCATAGGGGTGTAGGAGCGAGGTGACGATTGAGCGATGAATAGACCGACCAGAGCACGAGGAGCTTCGGTAGTCCACAGTGCACGTCGGAAGCTGTCAAGAGAATGGTCTGAGCGCCTCAAAATTGAGGTGGAGTGAGGAGTGAATCCATCTAGAATGTTCAATTTTCAGCCAATAGAATATGTTGTACAAAACTCTTAACTCCGCTCATTTATCCCCGAAGCAATCACCTTTCTAGAGCTCAAGCTCTCTACACCCGCCTCACTACCTCTACAATGCCCTTCACAATCACCCTCCCAGCGCCCCTCTCACCCCTCCACCACAATGAGCCTTCCGACTCCCCCTCCCTCGACTCAGACGGCGACACCGACATGCCTCCCCCCTCCAAACGTCCCAAACTCTCCACCAGATCCATAGTCACGCCCGGCGAAACCGTAACCGACGACCCCCAATGGATGCGGTATGCACTCGTCTTCCCTCCCACCCTCCACCATCTCCCACCCATACTCATCCGCAAAGGCTTCGCTGACGCGCCCCAGCGGCCACGGGACCTACACGCACCCCACGTCCCCCCAAATCCTCTCCTCCGTCGCCGGCACCCTGCTCAAGACCAACAAACTCCTCTCCATCCGCCCCCTCCGCGCGCGCTACACGCCCGAAATCGGCGACCTGGTCGTCGGCCGCGTCGTCGAGGTGCAAACGAAGCGCTGGAAAGTCGACCTGTCCGCCCCGTTGCTGGCCCACCTGCCCCTCTCCGCCATCAACTTGCCCGGAGGGATACTGAGGAAGAGGACGAGTACGGACGAGCTTGCGATACGGACGTTTTTTGGCGAGGGCGATTTGCTGGTCGCGGAGGTGCAGAGTGTGTATCAGGATGGGGCGGCGAGTTTGCATACGCGGAGTTTGAAGTACGGGAAGTTGAGGAATGGGGTGTTCTTGTCTGTTTCTGGGACGGGTGGGGGTGGAGGTGGGGTTGTGAGGAGTAGGAGGCAGGTGTGGACTGTGCAGACGGCTAATGGGGGTGGGGAAGTCGATGTCGTGCTCGGTGTGAATGGGTATATATGGATCTGCAAGCATGTGGGTGGAGAACTTGTGGAAGGGAAGGGTGGAAGACATGCGGGTGCTGGTATGGGGGTGAATAACTTGGAAGAGAAGGTCGGAGAGGGCATGTACGAGAATAGGAATGAGAGTATTGGTGAGGAGACGAGGTGGGAGATTGCGAGGTTGAGCGGATGTGTAAGGGCGTTGGTCGAGGGTGGCTGTAGGGTGGACGAGGAGATGGTTATGAGGGCCTATGAAGCGAGTGTGGAGGATGAGGGGGTGGGGGGTGAGGAAGGAGAGGAGGGTGGAGAGTATTTGGGTGGGGAAAGGGGGAGGAGGGTTGTGAGAGAAGCGTTGAGGGCTGTGCATGCTGCGAGAGAGTAGAGAACCGATCAAGAGCCATTTGTATGTGATCCAAGGCACGAGGTCTCAATTTTCCTCCGTCAGGGAGGCTCGACCGCGAAAGCCTCGGCTCATCCAATCTATTGTTACACTTTTCGAAAGACAACGCTCACGCAGGCCCAATCGCGCAACCGCCTGCTTGATGCCAGATGTTCCAAATAAAACTAATTGAAGACAGGTGAAGAGTGGAAGAAAGGTACCATCCTACCGCCGCTTTCCACTTTGCATATTCGTGAACAGTAGCTTGAAGCCATTGCACAACGCCCTCATATCAGGGTACATATTCTTTTGGAGCTCAAATGCCTGCGGAACGACTTTGACAGCCCAGTGTTGGACCTGAGCATGCTGGCCAGCTTTGAAGCAAAGGAAAAAGTAGCCGGCGTGTTTGGGATCGATGCAAAAATTGTAGACGGATCGTTTGGGATTGGCTTCGGTGTAGGTGGTCAACCATCGCTCTGTGAAAGTATGTCAGCAAAGTCTTTTTGTTGAAGCAAGGATTGCTGCTGCTTACCAGTATCAGCTTTACTGAGGTTCTGATACTTCTCATGAAGCATCATCTCATCCACCTTCTTGGCCATCGCTTTTACATGGTTGACAATTAGTTCATCGAGATCACTGTAATTGTAACGGCCGCCAATCTTGAGTGTAGTTCCTCCGGAGATTTGGTTCGTTTTGTCTAGCTCAAGCACATCGATGTGCTGGTAAATGTTGTCTGATACCTTCCAAGTCACAGCAAGATGGTCAAGCCCTTTCGAGGAAGGACGAATAACCAGGTCGCCCCGAGCTTGAGAGCCAAGATACTCCTCTGCTTGAATGCTGTTGAAGGGTTTGAATAGGGGATGCTTGATGACTCTCTGGGTACGGCCGGAAACATCGTTTTTCTCCATCATTGACTCCTTGTCTTTCCGCTCCTGGTCCTCGTCCCATTCATCCCTCATGCGATCGACTTCCTTTCGATATGGTCTTTGAAGCTCGTCTTCGCGGAGGGAGAAATTAGCGGTCAGCTGCTTGCGATTGAGGTAGGTTATCTTGGCCTGTACTGTCTGATGAGCGGAGAAGAGTTGCTTCGCGGAGACGTCTGGTCTATTGGAGACAGCAAGAGCAGGTACAGTGCCCTCAATGCCGCAGTCCAGCTTGGCTTCGACATAATCATCGGCAACCTTTTTGATGGAGACGGGTACTACCATGCCTTCACACAATGAATCCGAGGTCTCACCAGTGAACATGGTGAAGATCTCGTTGGTCGACAGGAGTGCAAAGTTCCTTCGCAACTCCTCGTACGGCTGCTGTAGTTCAGCACGAATCGTTTCTAAAGTGGCTCGCTTTCGCTGATTGAAGTTTTTCTCCAGCTGCTCCGCGTACTCCTCCAGAATGAGATCATTGACCTTCTCTTGGGACTCATCCTTAATGAGCTTTCTGACAATGGCTCCTGGACCATTCTCTTGCTGCTCAGCTTCGATATCTTCCTCGTCCAATTCAAGAGCATCAGCAGCCATCTTTCGTCCAAGGTCATAGTCCTCTGGGTGCACTCGAGTGTTGTCGAGGTAGTCAGCGTCCGGTTCTGAGCTGTCGAATTCGATGAAGAGGAAGCTGGCACAGTTGTTCCAAACCTTTGCCCCAACAGCGGCTAAGATATTCCGGTCCGGGTCACCTACCAATTCCGATCGCGAAGAGACGACGCCACCATTGAGATTGATAACTTTGATGAGTTGTGCGGCCTTTCGTGGTCCCAGGCCACAAATGTATGGGAGCAGACTAGCAGTGTACAAATCACTGACAGCCTCATTGACATCTACACCACACAGATTGACCATGTCGACCATAGATGTCTCAAGCGCCTTAATAATCTTCTCTTGAGGTACGTATCGCTGAGCTGCATCAAAGGAAATAGAGATGATATCGCGGCCTAGTGATGCGTACTCTTTCAGAGGATTCTGGAGGTACTTGGCAAGAGCCACGCAGTACTTTGTGAGAGGTGCAAACCCGGGATGCTCCATGTTCGCCCGTTCACTGGTCTGGTACAGGCGTGCCACCTCGTCATTGACAATCACGACCTCCAACTTGTCGCTCCTGTCGTTGCCGTCCTCGTCTTCGTAGTCGGCTCCGCGCAGTTCTTTACGTTCAACGATGTCATCGATCTGTTTGTACAGCTTGCGAGTCTCTGCAGAGAAGCCCGAAACACCGATCACGTCCGGCTTCCGTCGCTCGACAAGCTCCACGAACGCTTTCACATCTGCACCGTCCTCTGTACCTCGTTCAGCGTCTCCCATGACAAGATCAGTGAATTTTCCATTTTCGAGGACTCGTCCGTCTTCCTCCACCCAAGCCCAGCAGACTGCGTCTCTGCCAAAGGTACCAGTGCCATTCGAGAGAGCAAGCACACGTGGCACTGTTCCCAGCATCATACCCTTTGGTTTGTACGGTGCTTGATCAAGTCGCTTGCCATACTCCTCGCGACAGTTTTTGGCTACCGAATTTTCACATTCAAACTTCAAAGCCTCCTTCACGCCTCGTGCCATAATTTTCTCAAGCTTTAGAAGAGCTATGTCTAAAGTCTCCCTTCGCTCGCGATTCCAGGCGTCAGCAACTTCACTGAAGTTATCCGATTCCAGGTCTCCGTAGAGCCGCTTCTTGAAGCCATCGTGGTTTTGAGTCCTCACCCTCACCTCAACCAGACCTTCTTCTTCTGCCTTGAGCATGCGAAGGAAACGGTCCGGGTTCTGTGCAATGTCAATGAGTTGCTGATTTCGAAGGTATTTGAAGTCGTAGTAAGGGTGTTGATCATCGATCTTGCGAAGTCCTTTCTCTGTCCGATAGCACTCGACAATACCGTTCCCAAAGTAATGTCGGCGCATTACCTTTCGCATTTTGGGACTCATAGCTATCTCCTCTGCAAACATTGCTTTTGCAGCCCGCAGACATTGTGCGCCAGACGAGTATTCGGGGGGATCTAGTATGTCTTCGCTGTCTGCCATGTCATCTGGGCGCTGGGTTGGATCCTCTGTAAATTGGCGTCTGCCTTCTTTCATAAGGGCGTTTTGGGCGAAAGAGTCAGCAGATATGCCGAAAGCACGCACGAGTCGATACACCTTGCCAGTCCGAATTTTCTCAAATAACATCTTGGACGCACCCGGCCGTCGCTGGGTTGACCCGCTGGTACCGGTTCCGTTATGAAGAGCCACATCGGCAAGACGTGAAGGGTGTTGGAACTGTATATAGTCTTGCACATCTTGAAGTTCCTCCATAGTGACTGCTATTGGAAGCATTTCTTCGATGACGGGATCGTGGAAATCCTCGGACAAGGCTGAGATGTTGTCGTAGGTTCTTTGCAGAGCGTGACGCTTCTCGACAAGAGCCCTGAATCTGAGGTCCATGTCGAAAATCTCCCATAGATCGGATTGATTGAGTAACTTCTCAGCGTTGACAACATATGGTGTTGCGCTAGGATTGTACGGATCTGGTGTGACGGCTATCTTCTGCGCATGGATGAGATAGTCTTTGCGATGTTGGAAGATGAATGGCACTTCAAATTCGTCGACGTTCATAAATTCCAAGACCTTTGCGACCGACTTTTGAAACGCATCTCGAAGGTCCGGATCAATGGATTTCTTCGGAAGCATAAGATCCGATATCCAACTCGATTCTTCCTTGAGCTCTTCATCGGTAAGCTCAAGATCTTTGTAGGGACTTCTCGCAAGCTGGAAGCGCTCTGGCTGATCCGTAGCCCGTATTTGATTGTCCTCATCCGTCAGCATACGGTCGACAAGCTGAGAAGGCTCGAAAACATCCTTAAGTTCGATACCCTTAATTATAGCGTCTGGATCGTCGAGGTCTACGGGTCTTTGTTCGTTCTGTTCTTCCTGGTCTTGGAGCTCCAGTGCCCAGTCATATTCAAACCCTGTACCAAATGCTTCTTTCATATCTTCTAATGCGATTTCGTCCAGACCAGCAGCGTCTTTCACTCCTATGATGTTTCTGCTGGGTTTCCGTAAAACATCGACATCATCGTCGTCTTGTCGTTGGCCGTCTTCGTCGTCGAAGTCCTCCTCGATAAAGTCCTTGAACTCGTCCTCAAGTGTTCGAGGGTCAACGCGGGCGGAGCCACGTTGGCCTTCGGGTGCGCGAGGCAGATCGTCATCTTCGTCGTCGTCAAAGATATCCCCTACACCTCTTGGCCTTCCATCTCGATCATCTTTGTGCCCACGTTTCAGACGTTTGAGCTTGGGCTGAGCGGAGTGTTAGCAGAGCAGGTTTTGCAACAGACAAGTTGGCATATACCTCGCTGGTAACGCGCTGCTCATATTCTGGGTGTGCTTCTCCGATCAGATCCAAGTCCTCTTCGTCTAGGCCGGCCTCCTCTTCCTCTCGTTCTTCCCTCCTACGCTTCTTTCTCTCCTGTTTCCTCCGCGCGCGTTCCTCAGGCTCTTCGTCGTCTTCGACTATAAACCCTTCTCTGACCTAGAGATCACAATGATACCCGGTCAGTGAATGGCTTCAGATGTAGGCGCCAGATGACAGAAATTCTACCGCTTGAGCTGCCTCCTCATCGTCGTCGTCCTCCTCTTCACTCGAGTCGTCGAGATGGCCGTTGACTCCGTTGACTCCATTTTTACCATTCGTACTCCGCCTGATCTCACCAGTCTCTTCATCGAACGATTCATCGCCCTCGTCGTCGTCGTCAAGCTCGGCCTCTCCTACAATCAGGTCTCGAAGGGCACTCATGTTGGACAAAGGTCTGGCTAGGTGAAGAATGTGAATGCTTCACGGATACCTGTATGAGCATGCTTTGATGACTTCAACACTGATAAGTGAAGTGAAAAGGGGAAGAATGGCAGTGCTTGCGGGATGTTTTGAATGTTTCGAACAAAGTCAAGAAGGTATTCAGATCTCGCTTACATAATGATCTGAATTCGGCCTAGCTCAGGTTTCAATGTGGGATGAAATTCAGTTCTATTCTTGGAGTCACAATCTTGTTGACCTGTCAAAACGGCGACATCACCGACATGCATATGTAGCCAACAGCAGCCTATTGAGAGCCTGATGCTCAAGCCGTCATGCAGATGCCGCAAGTTTGATGAGCTTCGCCCTGCAGTCCGCATTCGAGGATCTGCATCCACCGTCTGCACCACTGGCTGATTGCGCAGATTGTCTGCACCTATCAAGTTGCCCCGACTGCCACCACTGCCATACTCGCGAAATTGCCTCTTGAGGGACCATCTATTACCCCCTTGAACAATAAGAAGTAGGCTTCGCTTCCCTTTCAACACTCCTCACACATTACCGTCAAGATGTCGTCCGACATGAAGACCCGGACGTTGGGCCGCAAGAACGTCAAAGGTCTCGCGTTGAGCGCTGCCCCGAAGATCGCTCCAGCCCCATCAGCTGGTGATGCACAGATACCAGGAGCGTTGGGAAATAATGTGGCGAGGTCAGACACTCTGGAGATTGGGGTCGAGTTCAAGCTGGACTTCAAGACTGAGGACCTCATCGTACTGAAAGAGCTCGGGGCTGGCAACGGAGGGACTGTCAGCAAGGTTATGCATGCAGCAACCAAGGTCATTATGGCCAAGAAGGTATTTGTTCGAGTCGATACGAGGAAAGAGAAAGCCAGCTAACCGTTGTGTAAGGTCATTCACGTGGAAGCGAAGAAGGACGTTCGAAAGCAAATAGTCCGAGAATTACACATCATGCACGACTGTACGTCGGCGAATATCGTTACCTTCTACGGTGCATTCCTCCACAATTCAGGAGACGTTATAATGTGCATGGAGTATATGGACTGCGGGTGAGATCTCACGTTCCATCCACACTCCGACTGTTTCTGATTTGGACGTAGATCCCTAGACCGCATCTCAAAAGACTTTGGTCCTGTCCGAGTAGATGTCCTTGGAAAGATTACGGAAGCAATTCTGAGTGGGCTCAACTACCTTTACGATGTTCATCGGATCATGCACCGCGATATTAAGCCGTCAAACGTACTGGTCAATTCGCGAGGCTACATTAAACTCTGCGACTTTGGTGTTTCGGGCGAGCTCGTGAATTCAATAGCAGATACCTTTGTGGGCACATCGACCTATATGGCGCCTGAAAGAATCCAGGGAGCCAAGTACTCGATCAAGTCGGATGTATGGAGCGTTGGCCTCACAGTGATGGAGCTGGCTATTGGAAGATTCCCATTTGATGCAAGCGATGCAGCGGCAGGGGATAGAGCAAGCGCCGGACCTATGGGGATCTTGGATCTCCTACAGCAGATCGTTCACGAACCTGCACCAAGGCTACCACAGAGTGATGCATTCCCTCCAATCATCGACGAAATGATCCAGAAGTGTCTTCTCAAGAACCCAGATGATCGACCTACGCCTCGCCAACTATTTGTATGTGCCATTTATGTAAACCCTTTTGCACCGATTACTGACACAAGGCTTTTAGGACAAAGACATGTTTCTGGCAGCCGCTAAACGAACGCCCGTTGACCTGGAGCAATGGGCCGTTTCAATGATGGAGCGCCACAATCGCAAGTCTCACCTTGCCCCACAGCTATCACCCTCTACGCAAGCCTTGCTCCGGGGAGAGTCCGTGCCCTCTCCTAAGGAACCGACTGTTTCGACGGTATCCAGGACTCCTACTTCTGGCGAGATACCAATAGCCGACGAAGAGATTAAGGCATCGCCGCGCTCGGAACAGCCTCCAATCCAGCGGGTGATGCCTGCGGAGATCAACGGCACAGGCATGTATCCTTCTCAGAGCTCCGCCTTTGACCGCCAAGGCTTCCCTCCGCGCACATCAAGTACCACAGCTCCACTATCAAGCCGGTCTCGCGAGGGAGAAAGCTTTAGCCCCAAGAGTGGTCTGCCGAGCCATCCAAGGGATAGCGGGAACTTCAACCCTCATCCAAGAGACAGCGGACACTTCAACCCTACCACAACACTGCCAATTCGCCCAGCCCCGCCGCCTTCTGGACCCTTACCTCCACCACCTAGTGCGAACTTTAGAGGCCAGCGTCCAGTGACCAACGGTTCGCCCTACTCGTATAGCGATAGCCAGCAGTACTGAGCCTAGAGCCCAACTGAGCAAGATGTACGATAAAAAATGTTCTAGAATTTGCCAGCAAGTCGACTCTCAATCCTCAGATTGTCCATCAACAACATCACCACGTTACTTATACCCCTTCCGCAACTTCACCAGTTCTTTTTCTATGCATCTCGGGAGCGATTCGCGAAAGCATCTAGCCGGCGTTTCTCAGTTGACATACGGGGGTCGCGTACGAATGTATGAGGTATCTCGAGGCTTTTCATTTCACGGACGTGTGGCGCGGAACTGGGTAACACGCAACAGCCGAACGTCGATGGATAGGAAAGCATGTTCAGTACGAATTAGCTAGTTCACCTGCTCATTTTCGAATACAGGCTGTCTTGTGCACCATTACCGTTCGCACCAGTGGGGGCTCTCTTTCTTTTACGTTGTCTCGCAGCTTAAACTTACACGTCCCTCGTCTTTCACTTCTCCTGTAATATCTCCTGTTCATGTAGTTGGCGAAGTGCGCGTACTATACCGGGAGTCAATCGAGCCATCGTGTATCTCTGTTCCCTTTCTATGTCGACGTAGCAGCAGCGCCAAGCATCGCACCAATACCGTATGTGCAAAAAGAAATTTTTCCTCGAGAAGCATTTGACGCTGATCCGGCGCCACAACAACCCTTGTCTCTCGACTCAAAAGACAGATTTCTCAACCCCTCTGAGGAATTAACCTCTAATCCGGACGTACTGTAAAAGGCTTCAGATACGCCTTTGCGATATGTGAGAAGGTCCCTGGAAGATACCTTACTTTGGACCGATTTCGCTTCGAACCAGGTTATTTGCGTATGCAAGCAGCGTTCCGCTCCTCAGCATTCCAAAACATTGTATGCGTATAAGCAGCATGTCTAGAGTTTCTGGTGGAGTCAGCTCCGTCAATAATCTCCGTCCATCACTGAAAAGAGGAAATGGTGGTAAGTCCAGTGGTGAACGAGGGGACGAGCCGTGATGCGAGCATCGAAGGCTGCAGAAAACCTTGCACCGATACGTTGGTGACGTTGATGTCAAACTTCGAGGTTGTTAACTGTCTCTTGGGTATCGTTGCATAGGTCTCATACATCTCTCTACCGTAGCCGTCTGAATGACTCTGGTTCCAGCCTCTTGCTAGGCGTACCACTCTCTCAGATTCCGGCACTAGCTCCGCCGCCAGGCGTCAAACCCAATTTCACCACTCCTGACTCTCGGACGCCTGCTATATTAGCTGTATGGCACGTTTGCTGCGATCATGCTAATGTCTTGTGGCACTGAGGATGTATACAAAAGCCTTCTTGGCGAGTCATGTGGTTGGGAGAACGGTGATGACATTGCGTGTTTCTTGCGACTGTTTCGCGACTTAATCGACGGGTACAATTCGCAGGTGATGAAGGCTAATGAACAAGACCATAAAATCGCCTTATCCAAAAGCCCCCAAAACCCCCGTCCCAAACGCCTTTTCCATCCCAAACACCCCAATATCAAACTCGAAATCCACGCATTCATAAGTCTTCAAAAAATGCATTAAACCCCAAATCGTCATTTCAAGCACCTCCCATGTCATGTGTCCGTTCTGGTGTATCACAATATACACCTTTCCTGATGAGTAATTCAACATGCGTTGTGTGACTAGGTTTTCAGGGTGGAGCTGGGCGTTGACGTCTCGAAGGGCGGTGTTGAGGACCACGAGAACATTTTGCGAGGGAAGAGAGGAGCCGTAGGCGTAAAACTTGAGCCTTATGGGGGTGGAGGGGGTGGTGTAGTAGTAGGGGGATGGTGGGAGGTGGCTGGAGGTATGAGTACGTGATTGGCGATAAGACCTTGAATCCACTTACTTTGAGGAGGGCGATGATGGGAAGGGGCTTTGGAATGTTGCATTAGTATGCGAGAGGTTGATGAGTCTCAGTGAGGGTGGCGTGAGAGGCGGTGCTCCGAGAGCTAGTGTATATATGAGGCTAAAGAGATAAAGGTTTACCACGGCAACCATTCTCGACACTCAGTACTTTAGGGGTGAGGGTGCTAGAAAGTTTTCTAAGGAAGATAGCCTGGCGCAGGGAGGCGCTAATTCGCATATGAGGGGGGGTACGGTTCGTCTGTCGCAGCCGTCGGAGTTTGCGCCTGGAGAGACGTGTCTGCAAGAGCCGGGCAGGCCGTCAGGAAAAATAACGGATGTGGATGCCGACATCATCGTCTCGTTCGCGGATTCTGGGCATCAATCCAAATTACTTGTAGTTCACAATGAGACTGTTCCTGGACGATGCGGAAGTATTAGAGAGCAAGAGGGCCTTCTCGTTGATGCTGGTGCTATGAGGATCTGACAGTTCCGGCCCCACTGTCACCACTGTTCCTTGCACGCTGCCGGGGGTATGAGGGACACCGGTCTCCCACTTCATCGTTGTCAGGGCCAGACATGGCACAGTTTGTGGTTAAAGCGGAAAACACCAGAAGCACATAGACTCTTCGTACGAATAGCATTGCACATGCGCCACGAGTGCAACCTCGTAGCATTGAATCCTTTCAAGCTCTTTCAAGCTCCGTTCGGGTCCCAGACCCACCTTGTATTGATTGACCAGAGAGACAAGGCAAGAATACGATGTTTGGGACTCTTGCAATCTGAATCGACAATTTGTCGATGGCTTGGGCTTCATCAGAGTAGACATTCACAGAGCATTCTCGTTTAATGGGAATATGGAGGGGTCCAACCCAAGTTGCTGAGGTCGCATTGATATTTGGAGACTTTCAGGACCTCAAAGACCAGAATTCTATAGCGAGGCACATTGTTGGCTAAGCATGCGAAACATGAAACGACATCCAGAGGCCTTCAAGTCTCAACATAGAGCACGAGAGAAACAAGGAGCCAAGCAGAATTTGTGAATCCAAATTCTTCAACGGAGCCAAATATTGAATTGTTTGAGATGCCAAGCAGTTCAAGGCTGATAGTCCGGAAAACGCGCTAGCGTAGGGCTGAATAAATCGCGTATTCCGGCGCGAGATCTGTAGTCGATCACCACAAGTACTCAGGACACACTTTCACTTTACATCCTACCGCAGTTGCGTTCCTCATCCAAAGGGTAGCCTGAAGTCCCAATGGCCCTACCTACTACGCCTGCCCGGTCGATCGCGCGCTCTACGCTCTCAACGCCATCCACTGCCCAGCATGGCGGCTCACCCCAAGAGCTCACTCCAAGGAGCAAGGTCAAGGCCATGCTAGCGGCGATTGATGATGATTCCGACTCTGAGCCCATCCCGGAACCCAGAAAATCAGGAAGAAGTGCCTTGTCAGCTGTCACTGGCAACATTCAGAGGCTTGACGGACACAAAAGTGGGAAGGAGGATGCTGATGTTGGTCAGCGAGAGGACGAGGACATGGAAGAGGGAGATGAAATTGATGAGTCGCCAGTTATTCCTAAGGGCAGGTTGGCAGCCCGCCTCAACGGACAGACCTTCGACAGACGCGGATCCAGCTCGACCAGTGAAGGAGATCGTGATAGAGACGCTTATGCTAGGATCAAGAAGAGACTTCTGCGAGGACACGTCACGAAGACCCACGACTCAACAGGTGCGACCGAGAGCAGGGAGGCAAGACCTGTAGCGAGGCCATCTAAGCGTCAAAGAACTTCAAGCATTGGCTCCGATCGCGCCAATTCTAGGGCAAGTAGTCCTACGAGAAACCGAAAGCCTTCACCAGGCCTGTTCTTAACGCCCGAACCAGTGGAAACCCAACAGGAATCTCGGCATTCAGGCAGCAGTACTGGGTCAGACTCTGATCTACCCGCTAATCCTCAATCCGACAGTCGTGTCCTGGAACTGGTGGCCAAGAGGAGGGCTGAACGTGAAGCGAAGCAGGCGGCAGATGATAAAAGTAAAGCAGAGAAAGCAGCAAGGCAGCGGTCATTCGAGAAAACGCTCTCACAAGATGCTTCTCCAGGCTCAGCCTTCTCGGACGATGATAAGGCAGCGGACCGGAGGCTCACCCAACACTCACGGCCAACGCGCAAGGCTAGCAAGAAGGCGCTTGAAGAGATGAATCGGGAGACACAGCGAATGAGTCGGAATATGCAGCTAGCCCATCAGGCTAAGACGAAGAAAAAGATTAGCAAACAAAGCCTCCTTGATAGATTCAATTTTCGCACGTCTATGCCGCCAATTGTGGAGGCGCCTCACATTCCAAGCTCTTCAACCGCTGCAAGCTCGGCTCCTGGTTCAGATCTAGAGGAGGCGCACAATAAGGACTCACCGCCCACAAGTCCTGTTGCACCTGATGATCCGCTCTTGGCGCCCGCAGATTCGGTAGTTGACAAGCAGTCAGCAGACACAGCCGTTGCGATACAGCCATCGGAGCAAGAAGATGAGGAGCTTCCAACTATGCTCGAAGTCATGAGCCAGCCGATACAGAAATTGGATAAAGGAAAGGGGAAAGCTATCGAGTACAGCGAGGCAGACAACGCTCCTGAGATTGTCAGAGGTCAGAAAACAATCTTTAAGCAACGTCCTATCAAAATCCGCCTACGGAAGCCGATATCAGATTGTGCCGATGTCGACTTAGATTCGGGTAGCGATTTGGAGGTCTTGCCGGTTCGAAAATATAGGACTTCGAAATTCGAGGTCTTTGATCGCCTACCCCTGGGTAAGGTGCAAGAAGGCCGTTCAATGCAGACTCTTCGCGCGCTTGCCCATCTTAACTCACCAGAAAAGCTGTCCCGTGCGAAGAAAGGATCTATGACTCAAGCAGACATGCAGATGTCGTTGCAACAGCGTGCCAGACGACAAGCCATGGAAGAGCGGAGAGCAAAGATAGAAGACCTCAAACGCCGGGGCATTATTGTCCAAACTGCAGAGGAGAGAGAAAAAGACCAGGCAGAGGTGGAAGACCTAGTGGACAAGGCTCGGAGAGAAGCAGACGAAATCATGCAGAAAGAAAAGAAGGCGGCGAAGAAGGAGAAAATTGCGAATGGCGACGTGGATGCGCTAGCCGATAGCAGCGACGAAGATGACGACTATCAAGCTGACGTAGACAAATCTGACGTTGAGCTATCTGGGTCCGATGAAGAAGAGCCCGAAAAAGAATCCGGCGAAGAAGATCTAAGTTCTGATGGCGAGCAGCTTGAAGACAACGAAGACGGGAGTGTAGATTTGGGCGATGGTAATGAAGCTGCCGGCTTGATTGACAATGAGGCTTCAGAAGATTCTCAGGACGAAGAGGAAGACGAAGCTTCTGTAGAAGATGGCAACGAGGATGTTGAGGAAGCGCACGAGCCCCACATGCATCGGCGCAGGACTAAAATGGTAATCGATGATGATGACGACGATGGTGACGAGAAAATGGAGCCACCAGCATCAGCCCCACAAGCAAGTTCTGCGCCTGAAATTCCCCAGTTCCCCGCCCTCGCAGGACCAGTCTCATTCGCTTCACCAATGGGAATGACCCAAGCTTTTGCAGCAACTATGGCTAATACGCAGACGCAAGGTCTCGATGACGATGACGAGCAGGATTCCCTGGCATTCCTAGGTCCTCCACCAGAGCCGAATTTTCCAATGTTCGATGAGACCAACTCCCTGCAGGTGGTGGAGGACAGTCAAAACAGCCTGCTACTTAAGACGAACGCAGAACAGAACACAGACTCGTCGAAAGAGATCAATCTCCACTTCACGCAGTCGCAGATACGGTACGATGATGCATCGGGCGACACTCAAGGCCAAATCGTGGCCAGTCAAATATCGGAGATACCGGATCCCACACAAGATGTTGGATTCATGTTGTCTTCACCAGCTCCCGAGCGCTTTGTGTCTGATGCTCCGTCCACTGCGGATACCGTCCTCTTATCTAGTGCTGTTGGAAACAATTCGCCGGCCAAGAAAAGGAGAGGGCGCTTGCAACGACGGTTAGTGGTTGACGAAGATGCCTCAGAAGTGGATGAAACTCCGCCGGCAACTGATCATAACGTGGCTGAATATGACGCGACTACAAATGCATTCGATTTGATGAAGAAAGCGAGGAGAAAGTACAAGTCTGAGGCTGATAGCTTTGATAAAAAAAAGAGCGAGGCTAAGGGCATGGTCGAAGAGCAAGCTCAGGAATCCGAAGACGAATATGCTGGTATTGGTGGAGCCAGTGACGATGAGAGTGGGGGAGAAGAAGACGAATTTGTTCGAGATATGATAGATCAAGGAGAAGTCAATGTCAACGAGAGACAGTTGGCAGCTCACCATGCGTAAGTCAACTTTCGTCCACTGTGTCGACGTGCCTACTTACATTTACCTAGGAATAATGAAAGAGTAAGTGACGAGAAGATTATTGCGAAGCTGTATAAAGACATCAACAGTGGCGGGCTTCGCCGCAAGCGTGGTGCCGAATTTGACCTCTCTGACTCGGACGACGACGCCGAAGCTCGGCAACGAAGGAAGCGGAAAGAGTTTGCCAAGATGAGAAAGGCTTTACTTGAGAATGAGAACGTCGGCAAGATCGCCGAAGACCCGAAGAAGCTGGCTTTCCTCCGAGCTATCGAAGACCGCGAAGCCGACGATGATTTCGACTTCTTGGATCGTCCAGCAGAAGATTCCTTCAGAGTAGAACCCGACACTCAAGAAGACACTGAGTCCCAAGATCCGCCTGCTTTACCAGAACCCACTCTGGGCAAACGCAAGCGCCCTCTCCAAGAGTCTGTCCCTGACAAGGGCAACATGCGTCCACCACCCGCTGCCCGCCGTACCCAAGCCCCCAAGAAACCAGCTACGCTCGCTGAAATCCGGCAATCTGTCTCCTTCCTCATCGAAGAGCCTGGCTCGATCAATATTGTCCCTGACCCTTCGTCCTCCGCTTCCGAAGACGAATCCAATCCATACGAACGAACCCACCGCAATCCCCGCCGCCGCCCCAACCCCAACCCCAACCCCATTATCGACCGCCTCTCCCTCAAACGCGCGGAGTCAGCCACCGCATCATCCACCTCTCGCCTAGCTTTCCACGATCCCTCCACCACCAATCCCTCAATCGGCGGATTCAAAGTGCCTAGTCTGCTCCGCCGTGCTACTACTACAAACCTTGCCGTTGGCAACCACGGAATTACGACGATGGCCACTGCAACCACCGAGAGAGCGGCGGGTGGAGGGGAGAAGGGCGATTTTGTCAGGAGAGGTGGGACCAAGAAAAGTAGTATCAACTATTTCGCCAGGGAGATGGAGAAGAGTAAAGTCATAGAGGGGGTAGAGAGGAGGAGGAAAGAAGAGAGGGAAAGGGAGGCGAAGGGGAGGAAGATGAGACTAGGGGGTTTGGGCACAGGTGCTTTTGAGTAGGGTTGAGGACGCTTTGGATTAATGATGCATAGCGGCCATTCTTGTTAATTCCCAATGGATAGGGTAGGGGCTACATATTTTCACGAATTCCATCTTGCAGCATTTCCAATTTGGAAAGTACATACAAAGAGGTTCAACAGCTACATGAGCCCTTTCTCTCCTCACACACGCCTCCCCTCTTAACGCCAGTACCTTTGGACCGTACTCCCGATCCAAGATTTGTGGAGGGAAGGCCCGCCCGCCAAAAAATCGGCCTCATTCCGGTCACAAAGTTGTGAGTTTTTTGACAAGAGCCACGGAATGAGTCTTCTCTGCCATATCGACAGTGCCTCGAACTCGACGGACTGGCGCACGCTTCGCAACCTTGGCACCTGTACTCCGACTTACGTTGAGGGACATCAGCTTTGAGAGCTTTGTGAATCGTCTTCGCGTAAAGCTTCGCGGCGCCGAATTCTGCGCTCAATCATCCCCAACTGCCAGACATTAACAGGTCGCCGGATCGAGCATCAACATCCGATTGATATAATTATAAAATGATGAAACAAACAGACCCAACAACCATAAGTCCAGAAACCGCCATCAAGCCTCTCCACCCAGCGCCTTGTGCTCCAAACGGATTAATGGCGCCCGCAACTGCTCCGCTTTTGCCCCCGTTATGGCCCTTGGTCGCACTCGCGCTCCCGGTAGCAGACGTCGTAGCGCTGGCGGGACCGTAGCTCTTCGCCCCCGCGTCAAAACTCATACACGCCGTCGGCAACGCATACGACGTCTCGAGCAAACTGAACGGCTTGTTATCCCTGAACGAGTAGTCCCCCACGTCGACTTCCGCCTGCGCCGTGAGACCCAGTCCGACGTCCACGCTCGCGTCGACGTGGGTCAGGGTGTCGAAGATGTCGTTGATGATGCCGTTGGCGACGGCGTTGCCGGTGACGTTTTCGCACGTCGAGCTCACGTGGCTGACGGTCGAGAGGGTGCTGGTGAGGAGGGGGGCGTCGAGGAATAGGCCGGCGCCGGCGGTGCCTTTGCCGCTGAAGAAGGAGATGCCGAGGAGGAGTTGGGGTTGGAAGCCGCCGACGGCTGTTAGGGCGAGGTTGGGGAGGGCGGCTTGGAAGGGGAGGGCGGTTACCTTGGTGTTGGAGCTGGGTTGGGGGGTTAGAGGCGTCTGGGGGGGTGGGAATGGTGGGATGGGGTGGGGACGCTTACAAGCCTGTTTGGCTGGAGTTCGATGTGTTTCTGAGATCGAGCAGGACGCTCGAATCATTCGGTATCTGTGCGTGTGGTCAGTTTCTGGGCAGTGGACCCGGTGAGGTTAGACGTACTTGTACTTCGAAGCCGTAGAAGAAATCGATGCTAGCTTCAAGTTTGAACCCCACGAAAACCAAAGGCACAAGCTCAGGTCCCACGGATGCGATACCCGGGATCTAGGAGTGCTGTTAGCTACCGGCGTAACTTTGTTGAGACGAGAAGCTCTGACCTGGAAGGGCGTCAATGGAATTGTTGGTAAAGGCGCCGTGTAGTTGTAGAGTGTCGCGGAAGTGCTGACGGTGCTCTCGAGCTCAATGTAAGCACCGAAATTGTTCGATGTGAACTGTACATAGCCGTGTTCGACATAGTCTATGACACTCTCGGTAAGGTTCACGATGCCCTGGGTTGTATTAGGGCTCGCGTGATTCATTCCTCCCACGGTCAGAGATCCAGCGACGAGATCGATATTCCCTTGGATGGTGCAGTTTTTGCACTTTACATTAAAGCCAACGGGCGGTCTGACAGACTATCAGAAAGATGTATGTGTCAGATTTCCCGGGAGCGAGACTTACATTTCAGGGCCGCTGACAGAGAGCTTCCCCAAAGATGGATCCGGAGGCAAAATAGATGTATCAAGCCACTGTTTGTTGAAGCTCGCACTTGCATTCCAATTGTTGGGCGTGGACGAGGGTGCTGCGGGATACGCCACCGACGATGTCGCCGCCACAGATGATGTTGCAGCTGCCTGTCGAGGTTCTAATCTGCCATGTCGACGGAGCACAAATTCGTCGTCACTTTTACCGAAGTCGAGCGTCATCGATTTGAAAGTGCTCTTCCAGGGTACCCTAGTGACGGAGAGAACGATGACGTGATTATCAAGATCCAGTGCAGCTTCAGATACCCTATGATCCTCCTTAGCCATTTCCGTTGTACTGCTGTAATTACTTACATGTGCGGGTTTCGCTCTCCATCCTCATTACAGCCTTCGTGCGAAGTAACAAGAAGAAAGTGGTCGACGCCCGTGAATTCATTGTGGGTGCGCTTTAAGACCTCCGCCGATTTGATATACAAGTGTATTTCAGAGGAGTAGCAGCCGATACTTTCGATATGATGCTCAACGTCCTCGAGCATGAGAGCTGGAATTTTAAATTGCATGCCCAGTTTGGCCGCGAATTGAGAGGTCGACCCATGAGTTTCAGCTTTCATGGCAGATGTCAGTGAGAAACAGCGACGAGAAGAACCATACTTACCGTCCAAGTAGTGCAAGTTGTGGTCATATTGGAGAAAGCCTTTGACATCGCGAGCGCCAAGCTCATGGCTTCGTTTAGCTGCTCTCAATCGTCGCTCGGACAGCATTGTGTCATCAGGCTCTAAGTCACGTACGATAACATTGCCCAAGCTCAAGACTTCAGTAGCACAGAGCAAGAAGTATAGCAGAAACAGCGAAAGAGCCATATTGAGCGAATCAAGGCGAAGCTCGAAATTGTTGCGGGGAGGAAAGCTCAAGCGCCAATCTTCGGAAATGAAGAGACACGAGAGGGTGCGGTGATTGATGTGTTTATATATGTGTCAGCCTGGTCTGTTCATTCTTCGACAGTGGACAGCCCTTAGCAGCAGCGAGGGTTGGATATATAGTACGCTGGGTTGCATTGGACGAGAAGTCAACGATGCATTCGAAGCCGGCAAAGGCGGTGCAATACCCCGAAACAGCTGCAACGCAGTGTGTCATGAATGCACACACACGAAAAAGATAAGACTGGAGAGACTATGTCGAACGCAGAACGTGTTTCAGATCTAATACACACGGAGGGAATCAAGACCCCCACGTCTTCTGAACCAATGAAACGACTGGGCAGAGAAGACTCGAACTAAAATTGGAACTTATGACCATTGCTATGCTGGAATCAGACAGGTCTTGAGTCTGATGGTGGGTAACGTGCATGATTTCCATCCCAGCCCATGCGCTATAATCTTATGCACTTTGCCGCAGCTCCTAACCACGGGGCTGTGTTCCGCCCGAGACCATAACATCAAAATGTAACAGCACTGCACCAGTACGGCTGTACGCAGATATACGATCGACGCGCTTAGACCAAGGTAGTAGTGAGTGGTAACATTGAAATAGCTGGCTGGAAAGTTGTTGTAGCCCTGCGGTACTTGCAGAGGGACCACCTCGGTATTGGTACTAGTACAGGGAGATTGAGGTATGAATACATCTTTTCGCCGCCGGAGTCAGTAGTTATCTGGTATGCAGCCATAAGAAGATACCCTGAGCACTTGTGTCTCTTGATAGGTAAAGCTATACTTAGCTGTAGGAGGTAGTGAGTACGCCATGCCTGTTCGAAAGAGTTCATGCGGGTATGTGACGCGGCTGCAGTAGCGCCGTTTTGAAACGCAGACTACTGTATAACGTTTCCGTACACCAATCAGAGCGCCTCTTGTTTCGCAGCTGAAAGATCTCTCGCAGCGGTCCATCGGCCTCATGGAAGTTTTTCTAGAGATCTCGGGGCAGTGCACGAGCTTAAAATCCTACCTTAGCAATGGATGCTCGATCATCGACAGCTGCAGACAAGGCTGCGAAAACCGGGTGAAGGAATTCCGGCAAGCATTTTGGGTCGACGCATGAGGAACTTGGATGACTCGATGCGCACTATCAGAAAGCAGAATGATGAATTGGTCTATTAGGCAAACACACAAGGCGCTTCACATCTCAGCCGATGTCATCAAACAGCTGGCATGACCAGGCAGCTTAGGACAGACAAAGACCCGAGTGTTCAATCAAACGACAGGCAGGCTATTAGTGAGAGTCCTTGGCAAACACATTTTCCCCAGCCCCAAATGCTCTGACGGAGCTGCTTTCGCCGATCAACAATCCGAGTTGCCATGACTGGCAAAGACTGCACCATATCGGAGCCCCATGCAGTATTTCCTGCCACTTGGAACATATCGCGCACCGGCGATGAGGGTCTTCCCAGAAGTAGACTAGGTCAGGAAACAGGCGCTAAAACTATGTTGGCTCACCAAGCTTGGTAAGCTCGTAAGCTACCCGAGACTCTCTGAGTCGAGTCAAAGCATTGGCTCAGTCACATTGCATAGGGAATAGAGGACTCTCTGCAGCTCTGGTTCATATTCCCTCACCATGGAGCGTATGCTAGACTCCAACTCAGGTATCCAGCCAAGAAATTCCGACTTGCCGGCCTTCTGCATTGCAAGCCCAAAATGGCGTTCACCGCTTCTACACATTCAAGCTGATTGCCACGGGAGTTACTTTCTCCGGATGATTCGGCAACCGAATGTCTTGTCCAATGCTTTCAGGACCCTACTATTGTCATTGCAATATCCGAAATCAGGTCGGAGTTGGGGAAGGTCATAAAGAGATCTTACAGCGAATACGGAGTACAGACATGTCGGATTCGCCAGACGAGTTCACCAGCTCTGGGATAGTGAGAAACGCCTGATGTTCACATTCAAGAGCTCAGCGCCGCAAACTCCCCACTCATGGGAACTTTCTGACTTCTGCAACGTACCGACGATGCTCTACTGGGTGCATGCTGCTCAGGAAGACGGTCGCTGTCCACTTTTCATCTTCGGCTCTATCTACGGGCAATGATTCCATCATAAACACCCAAATATCGAGTTTGGGCATTTCATTGCGAATCCGATCCGCGCCACCTCAACTGGCCCTACGACAATTTCTGGTATCCTACAGGCACATAGGTCGCTCGTTGATCAGGCATCTCTGCTTCTTGGAAAGATTGAACGTGGAGAAATTGGGAAACCGTACATGAGTGTTTGCCAAACACTTGAAACTTCAAGTTACTTCCAATATGTCGAGCTATCATTGTCATGCTTCACGGACTTTCTCAAGAGAAAGATGCGGACCCTGACGGACTGATTCGCCTCGATGAAGAAATGCAGAGACAGAGCGTTGTGAAAATCCCCAAGTTCCCTTAGCGCCAGCTGTACGTTTCATTGCAGAGTTAGAACAAAAGGAAGAGGCAGCGTTTTGGGGGAGAAGATCTAGTACGAGCGGTGGATCTCTTTGTCCAGTCGCCGTTTCATAAAGACCTGTCATCCTCAGCGCCGACGAGTGGGCCAATGAAATAATAAAAGAGGTCGTCGAGAAAGGAAAAGAAAATTTTCATGAAACAAGAGACGCGTTGCGAAAAACTCAGGCGGTGCAACGGGGAGGAGAAGACCCATTTGGGTCGGAGCTACCTCCTTCGTTGTTCGATGGGAGATGGATCTAGCTTTGTGACCCTCAGCTCTTCACTTGACTTCCTTGTGCCGATATAATCTTGTAAGCTGGAAAGATAAGTCTGCCTCAACGTCGGCAACGTTTTCGATCTCCACCCGATGTCCACAAGTTGAGTTGGGAAACACCGAGTTGGTGATCGAAGGGCAAGTGGCGGAAATTTATCGAACGGGAGAAAAGGCATATACGAGTACACTAGAATGAAAGGAAACTTTCGAAACTCGATACACCGGAGCCTCGGCTGTCCAGAACAGCTTATCATAGCAGTCACAAATCAAAGGACTGTATCGTGCTGGTCCTTGCTTTTACCGATACTCCAAAGTTTTGGGATGGCACCAATTACCACAGGTCTTTGCACCTTGCCTGGCGCTGCACAGATTGGCCGCAATCTTCAAATTTCCTATGGTATGGGCCAAGTCAAGATGCGTTCGTGAAGAAAAAATAGAAGGAGTGGAGTATCGAATGTGTTTCTTGGTGCCAGGTAATCCAATTTTCTGTTCTATCTTTCTGCCACATGACCTCACTCTCCCTATTATTCTTGAAGACCCTTTTCAAAGGTTGTTCGCTTGGGCTAGATTGTCTTATTCGTAGGGGAATATACTGCTCTGATGCTCGCTTGGACATGAAGAGCCATTACCATCGCTCTCTCTCGAATGCATGCCCCAAGTCATCTTTAGCTAGCTGTCACATGACGGCTGGTGCCTACTCAAGAATTTCCGGTGAGGACCCAGCACTGACGTTTGGTCTGAGATTGAGCAATAATTGTTCGAATGCGCTCTCCGCCCGTCCACTGAGTCGTACCCCTAGCACAGCTCCAAACGTATCTATCTGTGTAAAACTGTGGAACAGGTGGTGTTGCATCGCTCAGGTTGCTTTTATTACAGGTGTTATAGACACCAATGTCAAATTTCCCAGCAAGTTCCAAGATACCACCTCGAATGAGTGCTCTCTGCAGGTGCGTAAAACCGCGCACAGAGGCAGCAATGCGCACTCTTCGAAGGTTTGGCAGTCCGCTTAGCAGTTCGAAGTTTTCGTCTTTGTCGATCGCGAATGCTAGCCAAGCTGGGTGCGAAATTTCCACGCTTCTGATCATGTCTCTACGGTGAGCACCAATACCTTTGATAAAAGCTGCGACCTCATGCCACCCGCCGTGAAAATTTGTCTTGCCGTAGAAGAAAGCCGCTGCTTCGTCTGAGATCTGGTGATTGACGCAAAGAAGTGCGAGGAACTTTTGCGGGTCAGACGTTTTGTACAACAAGAAGGTATCGTCGAGCTCAGGTCGTGTATTCAAGTGCAGGAGCTTTCCGGTGTTATTAGATTTAGGCGTGATCGAGTCGTAGTGGAACACATGGCTGTAGATCTCGTTGCGGACTTCCAGGGGAAGGGTGGTGAAGATTTGAGACATTTTTTCTCAGCTATCTGGACTGTCAGGGCTGAAATTTCCACTACCTGCTCGTCTGGCGCGGATACTCACCCGGTGGATGTGCTGGACGGCTTTTCGACTGTGAGACTCAAAAGCTGGTGGAGTTGGTAGAGTGTGAGACTTGTAGTTTGAAAACAGTCAATGCGTTTTCGATATTTAGCCAAATTCAGGCAGGTGTCATGGCTGACGGTGTCGAGCGATGCTTTCAATTCAGTTCAGAGCGATATTGTCTTGGTTAGGTGAGACATGATGGTTAAGATGTGTGAAGTGATCGCGACTTCAGAGCCTACTCTATATTTGCGACAAGATCGAGATCTTGTAAGTTCACAAACATCATGATCGAAACATGAGTGAATGATGGAAAAAGAGCGGCGCTAGGACGACCGGTAAATATTTGCAAACATATCTCGTAAGGCTGAGTCGGTATGTGGTAGATCCTCGCGACTTCCTGCTCCAAACCACATCGGACATGTGAACAGTACACCGTAGTCGGCCATGGCGCCGCCTCCAATAGTAAGCCTGCTGCCACGTCGCCATGTAGCCTGCTCTGGCTGACAGCGCAGACACCTTCACCCCACCGCTTCATCACGTCGAAACCTGCCAATCCCGCACCTAAACCATCCTCATCTCTTCGCTTCCAGCAAGGAGCTCCTCAATCGATCTCATCTCAACGCTTTACCCCTGCGCCAAGATTCAATTTCAGCTCTACCCAGAAGCCCACGACTGAGAATGCAGCGGTAGCAACGCAGCACGCCTCACCCCTCTCCAGACGGCCCCACTTGGCTGGCGCAATACGGAACAGGAGTCGGGAAGATATTGAGGAGACGGGATCTGATAATGAGGAGACTGAGGGACTGGAGAACGATGAATCTACATTCGCTCGGCCTACACAGCCAACATCGAAGCGCCGCCGTCCAAATCCTCCAGAGGCAGTCATCATCTCCTCCGAGTCTTCTTCTCCATCACCGCCTCCAACGACGCCTCCATATCCTACAATAGAAGGAGAAGATCATGAGGCAGTCTCTTATAACGACTTGAACCCACATGCTCAGCCACGCTTTGTTCTGCCAAGGCCTAAGTCTACCGGGACCCCATCAATACCTTCCAGACCTCCCCTGATTCTTCCACCACGCTCTCCATCTCCTACGACGGCGACCCCAGCTTTCTTCTCCCCTCACCGTCGAGGCCAGAAATATATCCCTGGTGGACTTGCATCCAGTGTCCGAGACTGGATCGTTGAGACCTCACAGCAGGTGCACAATCGGTCTCATGCAAGAAGAGGTGAGGAAGAGTTTTGGGATATGAGGTTTAGAGCTGGGGAGTGTCGGGCGGAGGATCCGAATGAGGGGATGATTCTCGTTCAGGAAAGGAGTGGGGCCAAGAGATGGATGCTTGTGGGGAAGGGGAGGGGCGAGACAAAGGCCGAAGTGGGCTGCATAGTGGGCATAAGAGAACCTACATGGGAGGTCCAGGTGGGACATGAGAACTACATGGTGGCTGTTGAGTGGAAGGTACTCAATGGCTGAGGTTCAAGCGGTGATTACGCCCGGATAGGACCTCTATGTCACGGGTGGTCGATTCATACAGCTTGACCGCGCACAAATGCAAAACAGCGAGCTGGTATATCAAGAATCCAACGACGCAAGTTCCCCGCTTACGCTTACGCTAATAGGTGGAAAATTTCAAAGCTTACGAACAGCGCATCTTCCCCAACACCAAACTGTCCTGTTGTATGGGTTCTTCTATTAGGCGAGCCAAAAAGAATAAACCTTATAAGATAGCACTAAATCCTCCTCCTTTCCACAAGATTCTGATACTCCGCCTCGTGAAAGGTATTACCCGAAAAGAGCTGGACTTATTGAAGAACCAAGCTCCGGACGAGCACTGGCTCTTTGAAACCGCACGCCTGGTAGAGGAGACAGCAGGGAGTTGATTCTACAGGTTGATAGATGGGTGCGGTGAGACTAGTCTGAGGATGCGGGTACAATAGGTACTGGGGGACCAGGAGGACGAATCAAACAATGGCATGGCAGACCCGGATGAGAGTCCGCGAGGAATCGAGAACCAGTGTAGGGCGCATTTTAGGCATACCTGACGTACCAGATCGTCCCGTCCCCGAATGGGCAACGTGAAGTTCCCCGGGCAAACGCCCGAATCGTATCCAAGCTGGGGCTTGTGGCGAGCTTCCCGACGCTCCGATTCAAATCACCATTTTCTTTCGGCTTTTTTCGCTTTTTTCAATTGTGTACATCGAACGTTTATTCACCCAAGAACTACTGTGTTTGTACGATGAAATCTGAGAGTGAGATCCGTGGCTTCGTTCTGAAGATGCTCCAAACATAGCTTGTTGTTCAAGACCTCGAGGGCCAGATATACCGGCAGGTCGTTATCTGAGCTAGTCTTCTTCAGAGGTGCACCGTATAGTCACTTTCACCAAAAGATCGAAGCTTTCAATGTCATCCTCCGGTAGGGAGAGCTGCTTCTGCTGCGCTTCTTCGAATTTTACTGTAGAGCAGGCTGTGAAGTGGTCGGATCGATCGCAGAGCAAGTCGCGGTGCAGATGGGATTGCTTTCGCTCGGCGCCAACGAAGATGTCGACCGTATGATTGGTGAGAAATCTAGACAAATTTAGGCTGCCCATCTTGCCATCTTTGTCGAGCAGACTTACTGGCCCATGTTTTTCAGCTCAGGCGCGTCAAGCTCTCTGTCCACATTTAGAACCCCATCACCGCGGAGATTCAGTGTCATGGTGACCTACAACACCGAAATGTAATTAGACAGATGCCTACAAAAATCCATCCGCTTGATCTAGCCATAAAGGGTGGAATGCTGCAGAGTGTGCCGAATCTTTTACATTCTTCGCGGATGCCACCTTTTACAGCCAGTCAACGCCTCGCCAGATCTCTTCTTCAAAGCTCCCCTCAATGGCCTTCCAAACCCCCTTTACCACTTCTTCGCCCTCAATGGCGACACCTAGCTCTTGAGACGTGTACCAGCTCGCACGATCCATATTACCACTACCCAGAACGACAACCCGATCGTCGATGATGCTGCACTTGATATGCGTCCTCTTGTACTCAACTGTAGGACAGTAGTAGCCTACTCGTAACGAACCAATGTTTCGAGCATCTACTCCATTTTCCGCGTCCTCGAAGTGGTATGGCGACATTTTTCGGCGGCTCATTCTGTCATAGCGCCGACGAAGCTTCCACACACATAGCTCTGTGATGGTACCGGAGGTGATAAGCTGTTCCAGTATCATCATGCGGCGGTTCGTGATTACAGTGACGTTGACGCCTCGAGTTATGGCTTCTAGGAGAGCGGATATCACGGGTGGAGAGGTAAGGTTCGGGGTCAGTAAAACAATGCTGTCCCGAGCCCGGGAAAAGAGATATAGGATAAGCGCGTTCAGAGGCGTAGGTGGAGGTGGCGCGAAAGACGTGAATGGCAGAAGCCGAAAATGTGGGTTACGGTGGTGCGGAGATGGGAGGAAGAGAGCTGTATGGTTTGTCACGACTGAGGATGCTCGGTAGGGAAGAGAAGTGGCTGGGAAGTCAGCCCAGTCATTGCGGCCCCAAGTATGCTGCCAGAACTGGACGAACGAGTTGACGATGGGACCAGTCAGTGGTAGGCAGCACTCAAGCCAGCTCTCCCAGCTAAGGTTGCAGCTGGGTAGGAGGACTCGTTGCCGGTCAATTATGACGAATTTAGGATGCATGACGCTGAAGGGTAAAACGAAGTGACTTTTGACTTGTAGATTCAACCCTTCCAGATCTTCTGGCGGCGGCAGGCCGAGCGAGCGCCATTTTGATGGCGGGTATACGTAGCCGGTTGCGGAGGAGGCATGAAAGAGCTTTTGGGTCAACGAGCGGGAGGAGAAGCAGAGGCTTACTCGTAGCTTGGGTGTGCTCGTGGATTGGGAGTGAGCCCTGTCGGAGAGCTTAACAAGTGTAGAGCAGAGTTTTTTCAAAGATGCCGAATGGGCCCAGAAGCATGTGACGAAGAGGATCTCGTACTGGGCGGACTCGAAGGCTGGGAGGACTGCTGACGTGTATATGTCGACGCCACTGCCAACGGTGAAGTCTGCGACGGAGGTTTCGACCGGTCTGAGCAGAATGGAGGGGTCATTGCCCCAGATATGAGTCTTGTTCTCCTCAATGCCTTGTCTTGTAGTCAAGCCATTCAGGCATTCCAATGTCAGCATAGGGTTGCTGTACGGCAGAGGTTCATCACGTCGGTGTGTTTGTTGAAAAGGAAGATGTTGGTCTTGCAATTAATTGGGCTCCGCCCGCTCTCCACTGTATTGAAATTGCGCGACGTTGGCCGATGTCTGCCAAAAAGCGGCTCTGAATACTCAATACTTTACGGTAAAGTTCGGTGTGACAGCGGCATGCGGGCCGGAAAACCCCTAGACGAGGGGTCGTAAGGGGCTACCTTATGTAAATATTCCCGTAAAGACCACACCACGCGGCAGTCTTCGTCATATGCACCGTTGCGATTCGTTCAAGAACTATCAGCAAGGCGTGCACCGTTTCATCCTGACCATTTTTCGATCCTGACTGCGGATGGATGATTCGACCAAAACTGCCTCTCAGCTGCACTTACACCGAGCAACAGAGCAACGATGATACGAAACCAGCAAAGCTTGCGATATTTCATGCTAGCAATCCTTCAATCCTGAATGCGGTGATTGAGCTAAAATTGCGACTTGATAGTGGTGGATGAGGGCGAGCGGGTCTTCAGGAAGCCAAGAAATTGTTGTAGGCTTTCTTTGCCGCATTTCAAGATGTAAAGCTACATAAAAGCACGTCCAGAGATCCGCTGGATGAGTTCGTAATGGTAATGTCAATGGATTGTGTCATAGGTTTCTTAGGGGGCCAAAAGACCTAGGCTAGAGTCAAGGGAGCTTGGTGAGCATATTCAAAACGGGGATATCACGATGATAATCCTTAAAGGCTGTATCTATTGTATCGTTCGGCTTGTTCGTCACTTCGACCTACAAATGGAATTCACCATCCAAAAAGCTATCGACTTCATACTTGTACACCTCTTTTCGATACATGTATAGCCCTCAAAGTGATGCAAGTATCACCTCTCAGATCGAGTTAGTGTCCGCGAAGTCGGTTCCGCAGCTATGACCTGCATCGAAGAAAAATTCTCGCATCTTTGGCTATTGATGCTGTCCAGTTCGTATTATGCGGAATTGTCTCAAAATACAGCAGGAGAACTCCTCCAGCACCCTTATTTATCTAAAGCGTTCGGATCCCCTTTCTGCAGATTTGGCTGGAAATACAGAAAGGAGACTTCTTACACACTCCGCCTTATCAGCATTCTCCAAGTGGCCCTTCCGGCTGCATCTCAGGCCAGCGCTACCCCTCTGACTCTGAATGCTACAAATGGGTTAGTCAAGAGAGCCAACCACGGACCAGTCTCATGCGGCCGTAAGCTCGAGCTTAGCCCCAAGACGACTAAGTCAGAAGTGCGGCACTGATGGTCTCATGCAGCTGCCACTCACCAGCGACCCTGTCCGCTTCACTCCGTTCAAGGCACTGACCACGCGCTGACGGCACGTGGTGGACTCTCAACCTCCCAAAAGCGTAAGCCACCGTTGAAAGTTATCCCCACATAGCTACTCGATCGTAGGCTGACGATTGGTCTTCTCTTTCAGCGGCGGCGGGCAGTAGGTTCTATCCCCGCCAGAATGGCACTACCAATGATACTCTCTCATAAGCTAGAGAGGCTATGGCGTATCTACAAATGTATACCATCCAAACAGCAGCGCCGACACACGATAGTATCTTGGGTACAATGCTAACTTCGAGCAACTAAAGCAATACTGCATTCTTGTTTCCGTAACCAACACTCAAGCATTGGGGATTGACATTGAAACTCTCTAGCAATGTTTCAGCTTGAGAAGTCGACGATCTTCTTGCGACCACACCATCATTCCATTTCCACCTGGATCATAGTCCTTGTTGAAGGCGCTGTTTACGTCTCTTCTACATCTTAAGCATTTTCTCACTCCGATTGGACACGGTGGTGTGACAGTCTGGGGTACTCAGTGCTTCATGCCACCGGTCCTTCGACTCCGCCCCAGGCACACCTTATGGCCGCGACTTGTTAAAGCTCGAGAGTGGTGGACGGTTATGGCCTGGGCAGAGGGTATCTTCGAGGCCATCTGAGCAGAGCTATGCGACAGGGCTCAAGGGCGATGGCGCGCTCTTATGAATATCTTGTATCCGAATGTCTTTTAAAGTGGAGTGACTAGAAAGACGCATGCTTTTCGTCCTCTTGTGCCGCGAAGACAGTGATTTCTAGAGCCAATACAATCAATATAGAGACCTCGGGCAGATGCCGCATCTTCGTCGCAGGTTCTGGATAGATCATATCAGAGCGGCTTACGGCGTAGCAGCTTGACCCTCTTCCTAAATGATAGGATGACGCCTTGGCCATGCATGGGCTCCTGAACTGCTATTGGTGTTAAGTTTCGGGATGGCAAATGTCCTAACTGTAAAAGCGTAGGAAAACGACGACAGATCCATACTACCTAAAACTGCAGAACCCGAGCTCAAAATGATTGAGCGTTGGAGGACAGCTCTATCAAAGTCTCGTCTTCTGACTTGGTAGATCCTCTAAAGTCTGGACGCCTGTGCCGTGATGAATGTCACATGTTTCAATAGCTAGTAATCTCTGCAGAGTCCAATGTCTAGAGGTGCTTGAAGTACCTTTGCCGCGAGAGAGATGCACTGTGTCCATGAGCAAATATTGGGCCAAATCAAGAAGCTTTGTCAGTCGCGCAGTACGGTTTCGGCTGTGCACCGAGAGAGATCGTGGTTTTCTTGCCGAGAGACCAGCTCAGAACAGTTGCAATGAATCGAGCGGCAGAAATAGAACTGTCTATATATCGGACGGGACATCAAGTATCTAACCAGTCTTCTAAATAAAAGACGGATCTTGCTGTAAGTGGATGATTTGCACCGATAATCCTTGTGCGTAAATCAACAACGTTTTGCATCAATGCAATGGCTTCTTTGCAACGATGTTGTCCCTTGTAGGCCAATGCCAGGCCGGCCATACAATTCAGCGTGCCGGGGTGCTCTGGTCCCTGCACTCTTTTCCTCGCCTCTAACGCTTGCATAAGCAGCTCCTCCGCCTCCTTCCATCGACTTCGTTCGTAATACGTTGTTGCCAAGTTTTCCATGCTGCCTAATATATCTGGATCCTCTTCTCCAGGCACTCTTTTACTAGCCTTTGATACTTGCAAATGCAGCTTCTCTGCCTTCTTCCACTGTCCTTGTTTCTTATATACTATTGCCAGGTTTTTTATGCTGTCCAGTGTGTTTGAATGCTCTGCTTTCACGATTCCTCTTCTCGCCTCCAATACTTTTACGTGTAGCTTTTCTGCTTCCTCCCAGCGTCCTTTGACCCCATCCGATCCAAGGATTTTCTTTCGTACATCAACAGCAGCTGAAATCCGGAAGCAGGCCATCTCATACCGCCCTTGCAGCCAATCAAAGTGAGCCTCGTTCGACAAAAGGTTCAAATACCTTGCTGTACATATTCCCTTTGCGTCTCCGTACTGAATAACCTTTTGTGCGTGAGGCAGGAGAGATTCACATGTCGTCCAGTTTTCGAATGCACCGGTCGGAAACATGTCTGCAACAACTGACAATGCTTTTTCTTCCCACTTTAATGTCACACCTTGCATGTCTAGCCATTTTCGGGTCGCTAGCTGCACCAGTCGGTGCAATTCGTACCCTGCTCCATCATCTCCAGCGCTGATCAGTGAAAATGCTTGCAAATATGAGTAGAGCTAGCCTGAGCCCCACCCACACTCGGTGGAGGGAGCAAGGCTAAGGGTTCTGATCGGAGGTTCTTAGGTTTATAGCTCAGCCGAGGTCGAAAGTTGCACATGCTATAGATTCGCGCAAAGGAAAAAGCACAAGATGGGCTTCCCTCGATAATCTCCATTTCGCAATTTCAGCGTTTTACAATAGATACGGGAAAAGGCGCGCTGTCTTCCACCTACTCAGTCCTTTTCATGACGGCTCATCCAAGACACGCATTGACATGTCTTTAAACAGCTGAAAACAAAAGGTTCCTTGGTCGTACGAGAGCATATAGTGTCACCCTCTGCACATGATCCGAGCACGCTCGACCAATGGTTCTTCCACTGGTAGAGCCGCAACACACGATCAGCAACGCCTCGTACTGATTCCAGCGAGCAATAGCCATCTCGACTAGTCTCTGCGGACTCAACAGTTGACGAGCCAAACATTAAGCTCCGCAGAAATCGTAGTGTTCATATTATAATCAGACATCGCATGAGCATGATCGATCTCGTCGGCGGGGACGAAGAAAAATATTGCTAACGCTTCACGATTTACTCCGTCACCAGCTGCTGCACGTTTTCAAGCGCGGTGGTATTCAGTCTATCAGATAAAGAGCAAGTTTCAGCTCTATTCGTATGCGACTGCGACCGGTCCCCAGTTGACTGCGAGAGGCCAAGAAAGCGGGCATCGGTGCGCCAGGTAAATTTGGCAAACATGCCTTTCTAGTACCTTTAGCGAGTTTTTCTATGTCCATCTACCGTCGCCTCTTTCTGAACACATTTTGGAACCCTTCGGGAAGAAGGAGACAAACCGGTATTTCCATTCCGTCTACACCCAATCGTGCATCATCAACACAGTGACTTTGGCTGTGATATGGCTGTACAAGCAGAGGTGGTATACGGACCAAGACAGGACATAGGTAGGGTTATGGGCATGGTGCAAGGATTTAGTGCTGGCTGCTTTCTTCAAGATCTTCTCATGGGTGCCATGTGCATGGGCCGGGAATGGCGGCTAGGCCTTGTCTTCGCTCGGTTTATACAAGTCTCTGAATCGGCAATGGGACGGTAGTGTAGTCTCAAGGAACTTAAGTTAATAGTGGTATTTTTGAAAAGTACCCCCTACATTTCTATTTATCAGATTGATGAGAAAGTAGATGTTGAAAAAAGTGCTTGCATGATAAGTGTAATGGTCAAACGTATATATGCCAAGCCTCGGCGGCCGAAATGCCGAAATTGGCATCTTTACCAACAACCCTCTGAGCCTGATCTCAATCCTTCATCCCCGTCATCCTGGCTCGACTGTTCGCTATCTATCTATGCTTTGGCTTCGGCCTAGTCACTGTTCCTCTGCTATTCACAAAGTATCTGCTCCCTCAGTTCAAAGAAATATTCGACCTAAGCGCTGAGCCAAAGGCTAGTCCCGATTACCTTGCAGCCAGTATGGAAGGCCAAAATGGGTACAAAGCCGTTGCATACTTTGTGAATTGGGCCATCTATGGACGATGTCACAACCCACAAGACCTCCCAGCTGACAAGCTCACTCACATTCTCTACGCGTTTGCGAACGTCCGGCCCGATAGCGGTGAAGTCTATCTCACAGATACTTGGTCAGACACAGACAAGCACTATCCAAGCGATTCTTGGAATGATTCTGGGACAAACGTCTATGGCTGCATCAAACAGCTCTTTCTACTAAAGAAGAGACATCGACATCTTAAGGTCCTTCTCTCAATTGGCGGATGGACATACTCCTCTAATTTCGCGCAGCCAGCTTCCACTGTAGCAGGAAGAGCGACGTTTGCCAAGTCTGCGGTGCAATTAGTCAAGGATCTAGGACTCGATGGGCTAGACATTGATTGGGAATATCCCAAAAGCGATAGCGAAGCACAGGACTTTGTCCACTTACTCAAAGAGACTCGAGCCGCTCTTGACTCGGGCAGGTCAAGTCACGAGGAAGGCAAGTATCTGCTCACCATAGCTTGTCCAGCTGGTCCCCAAAACTATGAGAAGATGCATCTCAGAGCCATGGACCAGTATCTCGATTTTTGGAACTTGATGGCGTACGACTACGCTGGCTCGTGGGACAAAAATGCTGGACACCAAGCCAATCTTTTCCCGAGCAAGAACGACCCCGCGAGTACGCCATTTTCGACTTCGGGAGCGCTCGACTACTATGTAAATCAAGGAATTGACAAGTCGAAGATGGTTGTGGGCATGCCGCTTTACGGCCGAGCTTTCACCTCGACGGATGGTCCTGGCAGGCCCTTCTCTGGCACAGGAGAGGGTAGCTGGGAGCAAGGCGTTTGGGACTACAAAGCATTGCCTCACCCCAGTGCACGTGAAGAGATCGATCGTGCAATAGGCGCGAGTTGGAGCTATGATTCGGAGAAGAAGCTTATGGTGAGCTATGATACGAGGCAGATGGCTGAGTACAAGGCTGGTTTCGTTAAAGAGCAGACGCTTGGAGGTGCAATGTGGTGGGAGAGTAGCGGGGATAAGGGTGGCGCAGAAAGCTTGATCGGAGCGGTGAATTCGGTATTCGGAAGAGAGCACATGGATCATAGTAACAACACATTGACATATCCGGAGTCGAAATACGAGAACCTGAGAAACGGATTTCCCGGAGAATAAAGAACAGGTACAGAAGTAGCCTCTGCAAGGCTTAGATTCCTCGCAAGGGGAGACCTCGATGGACTAGAAGGGAATCGCAGAAGAGGAGCTGAGGATGGCGCAGACATGACCTACAATTTCAGTAGAAAAGTTGGAATATTGCAGACATGAGGGTAGAAATACTTTAGTCTATGTTCTCCGGTACTTCAGATTCCCCGTTAAAGTCTGCGTTTACCTTGATACTTTTTGCTGGGGCATCCGAGTGTTGGCTTATGTTGGCTAGCTACTACCCAGTAACATTGGGAAATTTCTGACCGAGTTACGAACTTATGCCATAGATTTTAGCTAACCCCTGTACTAGTACACCCATTCGAGGAGGAGAAGGATGGCGTCTCACGTTCGACGCGACAGACGTATTTGCGCTCATGCATTGTCTTCGCGCCCGTTGTATCCTTATCGATCATTCGACCTCATTTTCCTGCCAACAGACTTGAGACTCTTGTGCAACAACTCAGCCAACATGTATCTCTTTTTGCTTATCCTATCTTGGAAGGCCTCCCTGCTCAGTATCTTCGCTAACCCACTCCAAGTTGACAACAACACCGCCCAGCTATCCTCTTATCTCAACTATCCCAACGACAAGCAAAACTACTTCGACCACAACCCCTTGAAAGACATCTACCACAAAACCATTCTGGAGATTTTCCAGTACTTCTGAACGATCTCTTGACAAGTCCCACTGTCAAACTTCGCGCGCCATGAGATATGATGTTTTCGCGATTTCCGCGGGCCATGGCAGAGCTCCTAGGGAGATTCCTGAAGTGATAGGCGACGTCGACAGTCATCATATATGTGCTACTTATGGCCTCTTGACGCACCGTCCGAGGGCACGTATCGAAGAAGCCAATCGAGACAAATTGCAAGAGATTTCCAACATCCAAGCACCCATCTGGCCAGCTGACGGGAACGACATGAGCACCAGAGAATCTGCGCTCGAAGACCTAAGAAATCTTTGCTCGGCCTACTGTGTCAGTCTTGGCTTGCCTGTGTCTGTCTTTATGACGGCTCCGAGAACTGCTAGCAGAGTGTGGAACGTAGCCCCGCTCAACCAGACCTGTAGGGTCCTACAGACCCTTGCGCCGGCTTGCGTGTACATGGCGGGGCACCCGATAGGATCTTCTCGTCCATTGAGCGAGATGCCTTCTGTTGCAATACGTGAGCCCTGATGAAACCACCGTGGTCTATAGTCTCATGTATACGCAGCGTGAGCGTATCTTACGAGAGCATTAGCTTCGATATATTGGGAGAGATGATATGGAGAGTGCCGTGGCGATGTTGCCGGTTTTTTGAGTGCAGCCTTATGCGGGAGGGGTTGGGGTGCGGTGAGATCAGCGGGAATCTCACAAAAGGGGCTGGAAGTTTGAATTGCAGCAAGTAAGGTAATTCTATGATATCATTTCCACACAAACGAACTACTTGCATACAGTAGCCATGCTAGCTCAATCCTCTCAGCCCTTCTCGGGCCCTGCTCCTTTCGTCCCAGGCATGGCGAGAGAGTCGTTCATGTCGTTGACCATTCGCACTGCCTTGGCGTAATACGCCGGAGCTGTCATGCCGCAATGAATGATAGCAAGCCAATTACTCCGAGTGGAGAAAGCCCCGGAGATTCCGTTGATCGTTGCCATCTCGTTGTGCGTTGTTGTGACTTAATTAGTCAAGCGTTGCACAGTCGTAAATCCTCCAAGTCGGAGGCTCCTTTTCTCTAGTCTTTGTCCAGTTGAGGCAATATAGTAGCTTGTAGGATACTACAAGAACTGGGATGCGCTTTGAGATGGATGGACGGTAGAGCGTAGTGCACCGGAGCAAAAGAGTGGACCATTCACTTGTCAAGGTCTATTTGCATCGGATAGGAGTCTCAAGCGAACGGTGCACATATTTCGGCAGGGACGACAACGAATTGGCTGACCAATGTCCAAACATGAATCACTGCTTCTGTACAGCCAGCCCTTTTCGATGTTGTTCATGTGCACGACTCGCCCTGATCTTCCTTAGAGCCATCTCCTACCCCTCCTGCGCCTTCCCAACCTCATCCATACCTATATCGTACTTCTCCACTTCACACGCTGCATTCGACCGGCCGCCCCGTACTCTTTCAAAGAGTCCCCGATTCCAAATTCTCCATCCGCTGACGCTGAAATGTAGTCGGCGACTTTCATCCAACATGGTAAGGGCGAGACTCTTTCACTCATCGCATGGAGACCATCCTCCCCTTCCCTCTTCACCCTGGAGCCCCACGCATCTACATTCTCTCACTCGAATTAAGCTATACCTTCCATAGCCCCTTATCGATGTCACCAGCGTCTTAACACACCACTCATGCTACCAATGTACTAGTACAACGCGGCCTCAATGACAGGAAAGAGAAGTCCGGCATCTTTTGCAAGTGGGAGAACTGGAGTAGTGGTTTGCGATGGGAGGAGCAGCTATTGGAGATTGAATCCACTACGCTTGAAGGGTTTTCGGCTACAGGGGTGATATGTCCTTGAGCTATGCAAGAAAAGAGGTTTAGACTTGAGGTGGAAGAGATCTTCGTTGAGACTAGTCTAGCTGGAAGTAACTATCCATAGTGCCAGAGACACCTCTTCAAGGTGATATCGAGAGTAAAATGAATGCACAGTGTTCGTGGATAATGAACATCAGAACTGAGGGTGAGTTTTTTTTCATGGGGTCCACATCAGTGAACGTACAATAGTAAGATTCTCCACTTCTATCATCTAGCTAGCCCATCTATACTACCTAAAACCATTCACCGCCGGCCATCAGACCATTACAAATCTCCAAGGAGCGGGACAGGTTTTACACGCAGGCATTTTATAGACTCCACAAGCAGCTCCTGCACCAATGTAATAGGGGACATGCGAGGAAGGCGGCGACGAGTGTTGCTGCGATTACATTTCCGAAAATCATGCCTTGTGGTAATGGGAAGGACGGGGTTGTTAGATGTCATGTTTCTAGGGCCGCTGCTAGTGGTGCAGGCGGTGAGCGTGATGTTGTTCATCGTGCCTTCCCTCACAAAATGGGATGGAGGGTGTGCGGTTTGGAGCGTGTCCATTGATTTGAGTATGAAGGATCGTCCTGCTCTTCCATCCGGAGGTAAGGGGAAAAGGGGTCTGTATTATACGGACTGCTGGGCATCATACCCGTGCGCGCATTCCCCGAGAACGGTATACTGAACATTAGCCATTTGCTTTCTCGAAGCATATCTAGTCACTGCTGGGGCCAGGCTGGGAGGTCCTTAGGCCAGAACTTCGGCTTTCCGGTCCAACATGAGCGAATTGCTCCATATGCGACTCAAAGTTGAATCCATTCCCTTTGTTTCGAAGAGGGAATTGAGGTCCTTGGCATGCTTGGCTTCGTACTTGACCCATTTAGGCAAACTATCAAAGAAATGCAATAAAATGAATTTTTGGAGAGAATTGGGATGAGAAGGTTATCTGAGTCAGAAGAAAAAGTCGAATATTTCTAAAGTGTACATAGCATATGAGGGAACGGGAAATATCATTTCTTCTGCACAATAAGAGACCTTCACAATTCTCGCCAAATACAACAGAGATCCTTACTTGAGACAAGATAGCATTCACCGCACATCTTCATCAGCATCTTCTTCTCTAGCTTCCTGTTAGCAATCATCATTCATCAGCATAGGTCCCACGTTGAGCATTGTCGCCATTACTTCAGAACTTTTCCCAAACACTGAAAAAGCTTCTCACCACAACAGTAAGTCTATCTCGATTACTTACGCGATCAGGATATATAAAAAAAAATGTACGCACACATGGAGAGGTTTCGACTCAAGAATACTAAATCTCGTCAGCTACCTCAGCCATCGCCAAATTTCCTCAACGACACTTATCGACCCAAGCTCTTTGAGATCATCACACAACCGGACTACCTCATCACCAGGCGTTGACTCAACACTTCACCAGTAAGGTACTTGACTTATTTCAAGTAAGGCTCTTCATCCCAAACGTCTGCTCACACGATTTTGAGATCCAAGACCTGACCTCTTGTGTAGCAAACATACTACTTCGCCTTGCTCTTAGCATATCGCAGCGATGGCACTGCGTCTGCGTGACTTCATAGATAGGGAGTCCTCGACAGAGACACCAGTTGCCGAGCCCTCAATTTGGACATCCCACGACATTTTCCAAGCGGCAAATGCCGCCAGCGTGCGCGATTCCGATGGAGAAGATCCATACGGGCCCCAGCCGAAGCGATTCATGCAGACCGAACACCAAAAGAGACAGCTTGCACGAGATCTTGAAACAAGGAGGATGGCTTGGACAATGAGAAAGATGAAAAAGGATCATAAGGCAAACCATCAGCGACGGAAGAAACAGAAGCAGCGCCCTTCCCCTTTCGAAAAGCTGCCTTCCGATTTGGTCTTGAAGTTGATGCAACACATCCACCTGCGGAACATTTCCGAATTGATCAATAGTAGCGCAATCAACCAAAGCATCTTCAAAGCGAATCAAACCGCAATCTTCCGCGGTATAGAGATCGAGCAATTCCGAGAATGGAAGTGGCTCTTTGGAGACAGCAAATATAGGACTTCGGCACAAGCACAACACTTAAAGGATGCCATCATCTCAGAGAACTATTGCCACGACCCTGGAGCGCATGGCTGGGCGTACGACGAGCAGCTCCTCGAAATCCTGCGAATGATCGACAACAACGAGTTCACCGGCGTGCGGAATGTCATGTTCCTCCAAGACATGCAAGACCGTGTGGATGTGGATATCAATGCGACCGAGTCATACACAAAGACGAAGATAGCGAGACGGACTGCGATATGCCTGAGAAGTCTTAGTTTCGGACGACCGGGCATCGTGGAGGAGAAGGAGCGGACCGAGTACAGGCCACTGGTCGATGCGCTTATACTGCCATGGGAGGCACGATCTCAGCTTGTCAACGAACAACCAGGTAGCATACAAGCAGAGATTCGATCAATTCTCAACATTGTGATTGAGAAAATTTACCACACACTCCAGCATGTGGTGAGGCTCTGGTCATGGCAGTATTACAATAGTCCTGGGGAGCACCTGAAGCCTCAAGCAGTGAAGAAGTGGATGTCAAAGGTGGTGACAGGACTCATCCTCGAGTCGGTGATGCCACAATGGCGCGCAGAGATTATAAGTCCCTCGCAAGTTTCGTGCTTCATCTGGAAGGATTCTCGAATGGACCTAGCCGGCGACCTAGTGAAAGTGTTGAACGAGCACGATATTGGAAAGGAGGACGCGATTCAGGCGGTCAAGAATGGTGTGGAGTTTGGGAAGAGGATCGGACTGGATGTTGGAAGGTTATTGGACGGGACCATGGCAGGAGAATATATTGACATTTTCGGCGAGGAAGAGGCTATTTTTCAGTAAATTTGAATAGCTTTTCAGGCCAATGCAAGTTTTGTTCTCTAGATCTGCACAAATAAGTAAGTTATGGGTTTTGATTGGAGCGGGCTAATCTTTTTGAACAAGCAACATCCTGGACATGATTAGCATCTCTTATTCTTTTCAGGGGTTAGAAGTCAAGAGTCAGGAGTCAGGAGTCAGAAGCTGAAGAGGAGCTGAAGCCATTCAAGGTTGGAAAAGTGACGGGTATAAGCTAAGGTACTTTAAGCTAGAAAGGTGTTGGACAGCGCGATCGGGAGACTAGTGCGCCTTTTTGGGCTGAACCAGAACAGTGTCGGACCCCTGCTCAGCCCTACCATTCGGCCATTCGTTTCCCCACCACCTTTCCATTTCCATTTCCACCGTTTCAAACCCACAGCTGTGTCACATAGCCTCGCTGATCCCTTGCTACTTGTTAATAATATATATCCAGCGGTGTCCGTGGCATCTGCCACTTTCTGAACTCCTGTCCTTTTCTACTCATAGCCAAGCTTGCTTTCACACCTCCCTTCCAGTGACACGCGCGACACACAACTAGCCTTGGCCATACCGCATCCGAAAGATATAAGCGCACAATCTTTCCCATCGTTTGCCTTTTGCCGACTATTTAACTAGTCACACTGGGACAATATGGCTGACCTTCAAGGCCGCAAAGTCTTCAAGGTCTTCAATCAAGACTTCATTGTCGACGAGCGATACAACGTAACAAAGGAGCTGGGGCAGGGAGCTTATGGCATAGTGTGGTATGTCACTCAGTCCTTTCGTCATTGATCTCTGGTATCCAAGGATGCTGCATTGTCCTCGAGCACTACGCTGGGCCATCCTGCTCGGGAGGTTCCAGTGGATCTGCTAACCCTCAGCTCACAGCGCGGCCACCAACAACCATACCGGTGAAGGTGTCGCAATCAAGAAAGTCACCAATGTTTTCAGCAAGAAGATCCTTGCAAAGCGGGCTTTGCGTGAGATCAAGCTTCTACAGCACTTCCGAGGTCACCGCAATGTAAGAGTGTCGTCGAAAAGTTCGACTTTCTGACAGCAGTGCTGACGGACCTGTCAAGATAACATGCCTCTACGATATGGACATCCCTCGGCCGGACAACTTCAATGAGACGTATCTCTATGAAGGCAGGTGGACAAATTGAGCCCATAGCGAGCTCCCTACTGACTCTACCTAGAACTTATGGAGTGTGATCTGGCAGCAATCATCAGATCTGGCCAACCTCTGACCGATGCCCATTTTCAGTCTTTTATCTATCAAATCCTGTGCGGCTTGAAGTACATTCACTCAGCGAACGTCCTCCACCGAGATCTTAAGCCAGGCAACTTGTTGGTCAACGCAGACTGTGAGCTGAAGATCTGTGACTTTGGTCTTGCAAGAGGCTTTTCCATGGATCCAGAAGAGAACGCAGGCTACATGACCGAATACGTCGCCACAAGATGGTATCGGGCACCGGAAATCATGTTGAGCTTTCAAAGTTATACTAAAGCAAGTGTGTTTCTCCATGCCTCCTGCACCTAGAGCCGATCCAGCTAATCAGAGTAGTCGATGTCTGGTCTATTGGCTGCATTCTTGCCGAGCTGCTGGGTGGCCGACCTTTCTTCAAAGGAAGAGATTACGTGGACCAGCTGAACCAAATTCTCCACTATCTCGGAACTCCGAACGAAGAAACACTGTCACGGATTGGATCGCCTCGAGCACAAGAGTATGTCCGCAATCTACCTTACATGCCCAAAGTGCCCTTCCTGCGGCTCTTCTCGAACGCCAACCCCGATGCTTTGGATTTATTGGATAAGATGCTGGCTTTCGATCCATCCGCTCGAATCTCTGTCGAGGAAGCGCTTGAGCACCGCTACTTGCATATCTGGCACGATGCCTCGGATGAGCCCTCCTGTGCAACGACGTTCGACTTCCACTTTGAAGTCGTAGAGGATGTGCCTGAGATGAGGAAAATGATCCTTGCCGAAGTGGCTCGATTCAGACAGCAAGTGCGCGTACAGCAACCGCAGCAGCAAATGAGTGGGCAGATCAATGTGCCTATTCCCGAAAACGCCAATCAATGGTCTCATGAGGACCCAAGGCCTCAGGAAGCAGCACACTCACAGCAAATGCATGGCATGGAACTTGAACAGGAGCTGCAAGGAGGACTGGACGCGATGCACTAGCTCTCAGCTTGCAAAGGTTCACGGCAGAGGTTGGATAGGGTTTCATTCTTTTCGAAATGCGGCATCTAGGCGGCGGCAAATGTTCAGCAAATTTTTGATCCGCCTTTTCGCAAGAGACTCTCACGGTTTGACGCACAGAATTTACCGCTAGCCTTCTTTTTAGATGTACTTGGATACGTGGACCGGGAGTCTGCGGGGTGCCTTGTTCCTAGCTTTAACATCAATGCAGCTTTCCATGATTATCTGTACTTATCATCAGAGCTGGGAAGTACATGTAGATAGCAAGTCTTCGAATATTCTCATCGAAGCCTCTCGTAGTCTCGAAGCCTGGTATGGTCTGGGCATGACTTTCCATGATCGAGAGATGGCGCTAGCGTATCAGTGTCTTGGCAGCCCTATTTACCCCACCAAGATAGAAAGTGACCCATCCATCGCCGGGCTGCCTCATCTCTCCTCGACAACTTCCTGCTTCCCTCGACGGTCATGAACAATATACATTCTCCTTGATAGGACAGTACTCCAATACCGCGGACAAAGAGTCCGTTATACTGACTACCAAGCCTGTGTGTTGAGAAGTTTCGGGCCGGCAATCGAGTCACACTCGTCATCTCGCCAAGTCAGTGTTAACCGTGCTCCTCGCAACCTGGCCTGAAAAGCTTTCGAGCTGCAACAACATATGCTGACTGAGATCTCTGGCTGGTAGTAGTACATGGAAATGTCTAACAACAATATGGAGGGTAAGTCGCTCCTTCATATCCCTCCGACATCGTGGATGAGCCTCGCCGACAGGTTGAGATGGTGATCCTTTTCCGATTTCTGCCCGCACACAGCACCCGAAAAGCGACTTCTGACTCTTACTTGATGCTGACACATCGGTACACAGTCAAAATTACTTTGGTACCGCTCGGACGAGATGAGAAGCAAAACCACCGGACTATTGCAGTCACCCCAGATAACCTATCCGTCAGCGTTGGCCGAGCTTCCAAGAACCCCAGCAAAGGGCTCCTTGCTGCTCCAGACAATGCATGGTTTGAATATCCGATCCTATCAAGGACCCATGCAAAATTCACAGCTTCTTGTAACCAGCAGGTGAGTCAACACTGCCGACTGTAATAAGAATGAAATGCTAAGATCACAATGCAGGAAATCTACCTACAAGACTGCGGATCAACCCATGGCACCTACATAGACAAGCAGAGGTTGGAGGCTGGGGTGGAATTTGCTGTGGTAGACGGAGAGGTCATCACATTCGGCCAGAGAGTTACAAGCGGAGCAGGTGGGTCCTCCTTTCCACCAGCAAACGCTTCTAAGATGCCATTTGGTTTATTCACTCTCTATAGTCACATACCCAGCCAAAGATTTCCGTGTTCATTCGAGGTGGGAATCTCGCAGGTTGGTCCCTCATCTCTGTCTAGCAATTTTGTGGCTGATATAGTATAGTGAGGTGCATGACAGCCACTCCACTACAGTCATGGAGGCTCAAAGACTAGTGCATACGGCTTCCATCAGTCGCCCTCCCTTCACTAATGACTTTGACCACTCCTCCGAACCATCTCGAGAGGGTTCCGTTCAGATCGTCGATTCCCACCGTCATACTTTCTCCGTTCCATCTACGGATGATGAAGTCGACTCGGAGGATGAAGAAGAAGAAGAGGTACAAATCGCGTCGTCCGTCCAAGGCGATGAAGAAGAGGTTTCTGCAGCCACCACACCCGATCGTCAAGCCGTTGGAAAAGCATACAACAACACCGAAGGCGAAGCTCAAAGCTCTAAAACTGGGCCAGCGCCCGGCGAGACGCGCGGTCTCAACCTAAAAGGCCCCAGCTTGCGAGATCTTTTGACCGAGACTTCCAAAGATGGTACATCTCAGGAGAACCCTATTAACCTCGAAGGTGTATGTACCGATGTTACTGATGTGGATACCGAGAGCGAAGATGACGGCCCGGACGTCTTACCGTTTTACGAACCTTCAAAAGCTGATCAGCCGAACCGATCAAGGGTCTGGGATGACCCGCAAGTTGCTCCTCAAACGTCTGCTGTGACAATGCCGACAATGATGAGTGTAGCCCAGAAACAGAGCGATCGGGACTCGGAGACTCAGAGACACCGCATCATCCCTGAGACCCAGGCCAAGATGGCTAGTGAGGATGAAGCAAGAGGACACGAACCAACGAACGTTCTTGCTGACTCGACTGCTGGGGCCACCGATGGCTTCGACAGCGAGGATGACGACGGGTTTGATTATGATCCAGATTTCTTCGACGAAAACTTGGAGCCTTTCCCTGAGCCTTCAATCCTCAATGTTGGAATACCAAACAGCTCTAAGCCCAAAGTCACTTTCCAAGTCGGCAGTGAAAAACCGCATTACACAACGCTAACGCCTCCATTCGATGAATTTCGTCCTCCTCATCTTAGTGATCTCAGCGTTAGCGACGCCATCGACGTAAGCCAGCCTGCCGGGCCGTCCTCCGCATGGGCTCAGCGGGCACCCAGTCCATCAGATGCGGCACTAGCTAGAAAGGCGAGCGACCCAAAAACGAGCTTAGGTCGAGACATCCTTGATAATTTTCCTGTCTCCCAATGGCCTGCGGCCGCCAAGACCACTCACTCTCATTCCACGGAGCATGCTCTAGGCAATACAGCATCTCGCGAAGAACCTATTGGAGCATACTCCTGGCCAGAGCTCCAGAGCCCGGAACCTCGCTTATACGATCAGGGACCGTTCAGCAGTCAGCCAAAGGTTACGGTACCCACACCCCGCTCGCCAAAGCCAGGCCATGTAAAGAATCAGCACAAGAAGCCGACCGTCACATGGGCTGACCCCCATGAAGAGAACGGCGACATGATCATGAATGCCGATTGTTTTTCCCGGACCGGAAAGCAAGCATCCAAGATCACGATTCCAAGTCTTGTCGAGAATTACCTTGCTGAGAATCCTAGGTCTTTCAAGAGGAAATATGGAGGAATGAATGGGAGCGATGACGTTGAAGCTACACCCAACACACCTAAACCAAGTCCGCCCGTGACACGCATCTCTGGCTCCAAGAGGACTTTCGCAGAGGCAAATTCCGAGGCCGTCTTTTCACCCTATTCCCTTCACAGACTGCGATCACACGTCGACCCCACTGATTTCATGTGGCAATCCGGTGAAGATAATACCACGCAGCGTCAACTCGGACTCGTAGATCGAGACACTCCTCTACCTGACGCTCAGCCTAGGGAAAACATCTTTCAGACTCCCACCGCCTCTATATCTCAAGGGAGTGCTGCTGAGCCCGCTGTCGGCTCAGCATCAATCACGACGACCGTTCAAGGCGATGACATTGAAGGACCAGCTCGTAAGAAGGCCAGGAAGTCATCGCCGTCGCCTGGAGGTATTGGCAAGTTCGTGATGGGCGTGGGCTTCGGCTTGCTGGGTGCTGCTGCTGCATTCATTGCCACTATCCCTGCTTCCGTATACGAGGAAGCCCTTCGAGAATTCGGCAATGCCGCCTGAAGGGATTGCAGAGGTCTACCATTGACGTCGATATACCATTTCTTTCATGTGGCTATCGGCGCGGATGGATCAGGGTAGTCGGAGGACGCTACGGTTCAGAGTTCAGAGATGGAGTTTGGTGCGTGTCTCAGGGAATATATCTGCTTAAGCTGGCAACAGTGACCTAGGATGGGGCTGGGGTGATTGGCTTTATCTTTTTTATCTTCTCATCAGCTTATGGCAATATCATGTAATGGCTCCCCTTCATTGCCGAAAAAAGTACCTTAGGCTAGTGAGAATTAGGCACTTAGGTACGTTAGCTCGCTGCGAAAAGACGTCAGTGACGTCACAGTGGTGCGAAAATCAACATGAATAATAATACAACCTCCCCAAGCCTTTATTACACCTCATCACATACCAATTTGTATACACAAACTTTGCGACATCTACCAATACCACCCTCTATAATGGCTGTCGAATCTAAATATGAGCCTAAGGATATGGTACATTATGCGGTCCGCACCTTATAATGCAGCCGGCGATACTGATTTGACACAGGTCTTCCGCCACCTCGGGCCAACCGGCCTCAAGGTCTCAATTTTGTCTCTTGGTATGAGCGGGCAATATCCTACCTCACACAGACGATTCTGACAGCCGTTCCAGGTGGCTGGCTTACCTACGGTGGCACACAGAAGGGAAACATAGTGAAGGAGTGCTTGCAAGCTGCCTGGGATCATGGCGTCAATACTTTTGATACCGCTGAGGTACATTTGTCTTAGTTCGCCAGAGCACTCAATGCATGCACGCTAACTCGGACTATAGGTCTACGCCAACGGCCAGTCCGAGCTCGAAATGGGCAGTGCCCTCAAAGAACTCGCCTGGCCCCGCGACGAATATGTTCTCATCACCAAAGTGTTCTTTGGCACCGGCCGCAAGGAACCCAATACCCGCGGTCTCTCCAAGAAACATGTCGTCGAAGGGTTAAAGAGCTCGCTGGCAAGGCTACAGCAGCCATACGTTGACGTGGTGTTTGCGCACAGGCCTGATTATGCTACACCTATGAAGGAGATCGTGGAGGGCTTTACACAGGCTATCAGGAACCTGAACCTGGCATACTATTGGGGCACGAGCGAGTGGTCTGCTGTGCAGATCATGGAGGCCACGCAGATTGCGGAGAAATTCAACCTCATTGCTCCTATCGCTGAGCAGCCGCAGTACAACGCTTTCCACCGCGAGCGCTTCGAGGTCGAATATGCCCCGCTGTTCGACCAGTTCAAGTACGGCACTACGATCTGGTCACCGCTGGCTAGTGGACTGTTGACGGGCAAATATAATGATGGCATCCCAGAAGGTTCTCGCTTCCACAACCACAAGGACTTCTTTGACAGCAAAATCAAACAGCTGGAATCTCCCGAGGGCAAAGCACAGATTGAAAAGGTCAAAAAATTAACCACAGTCGCTGAGAAGCTGGGAGGCTCTGCATCGCAGCTTGCGCTCGCTTGGGCGGCGAAGAACGAGAATGTCAGCACGGTTATCTTGGGCGCCACGAAGCCGGAGCAGATCGTCGATAATTGCAAGGCGCTGAGTGTGTTGGCGAAGCTGACGCCCGAGTACATGGAGGAGATTGAACAGATCTTAGAAAATAAACCCGCAGGGCCGAGCAAGTTTGGGCGCGAGAGGTAGGTATGTGGTCCACCAGCTATCCATCGTTCGCTACAGTGATAGGATTGCTCACGAAGCATAGACGCATTGTCAATGAGAAGAGGCGGCGGGCCAAGTTGTAGATAGACCGATACAATCTTTGGTTTTCCTGTCTCAACACATCGCTCCAGATCCTACCATGAGCAATCTGCTCGTCGTTGCCTTGGCATGACTCTCAATGCTCAGCTACTTTGAATTTGAAGACAGTCTCCCACTACATCCCGCGAAAGCTTCCCCTTATCCGGAGAACATATATACAATCATCGCCCGTTCCTACACACCGAACCCTTGACCCCCACCTCAACCTCCTAACCCGACAGCCCAACCGCCCTCCGCCCCACCCTTCAAACTCCCAACACTCATACCACCACCAGCCACCTCCCCCGGGCACCCATCTCCCGCCTCCACCCCATCATACCCGCCACCGGCCTCGGCGCCACCTCTTCGCCTCCGCTCTCAAGCGGCCCATCCGTGCACATCCGTAGGATTTGCATCCGTGCAGATGGGCGGACTGCCATCATCATCATTATCTGTATGTTGTCGTGATTGTTAGGAATCAACACGCGAGTGGTTCGCCTCCGCGATTAACGGGGGTCCGAGTCAGGGCCGTTCGTTGTAGAAGAAAAGCTCGCGGTCAGGGGTCGAGATGGAGGGGCGATGCCGGTGGTAGATGACGGAGGGTGTAGATTGGGGTTGAGAATATGTAGGCGAGGCTGGATGTTGATGTTAGCCCCCCCCCTTCTTTCCACCTTCTTTCCACCTTCTACGGATGTATATAAATAAAGACGACTACGGATCTGCACTGGGACTCGGGGGAAGCTTGGAAACGAAGCGGAGAAGCACAGCAGAGAAGAGCGAGGACTCTGTCACGGATGTATCATGGCCGCGATGATCCCGCTCGACAATATCACATCCGTACCGTCATCGCTCCTCTGCGTGGCGCTCGCTTTGATCCTACTCGGACGCCACGACCGCGAGCAGGGATGTTAGGACTAAGATTGTCGTCTTGACACATTGCGAGAGCAGATACGTGATCGGTTGTGGCGAAAGGGATGATCTCGGTGACGTCGAGGATGATGCCCACGGCGCAGATGGTCATTTGCAGGAGCCCGGCGCTGTGGTGGGAAAAATGTGTTTTAGCTGATTTTGTTAACGTAGGAAGGGGAAGGATTAGGAGGAAGGCGGTACGCGTCGAGTCCGGTTTAGAGAAGCTCAGATTTGGGCGCAGAGGAGGATGCACAGGAAGAGGAGCTGGATGATCCAGAAGGGCATGAGGACGGTTTTCAGCCCATGGAAATTTACGGCGGGCCTTTTCGGTGGTTGGTTTGGCGATGGTGGTGGTGGCTTTCGGGTTGGGAGAGGAGGTATCTGTCTCGCTCGTCTCGTCTGGAGAACCAAGGCGTCAAAGGCAGCGAATATTTAGAGGAACCGGTCTCGAGTCTCGAGATGGGAAAGGGTCTACTGCAGAACACGATTTGAAAATGCAACTGACAGTAGACACAACGGAAGGAGATACGAGGCTCAATAGTACAATCGAGTCGTCCGTCCTTCTTCCCTCCGTAAAATGAAAGCAGCTACGAATTCCAGAGCGAACAAACCGCAGGGGAGAGATGAGAGAAAAGAATACATGCTTGCACTGCATTTTTTATTCCACGCGCTGAACAGGTAACTGGCCCCCATCACGCACCTCCAGCGAAACGTCCCCAAATATGGAATGTCTCACTCCGGATTCTGCAGCGGGAATATTTATTGTCCAAGACTGGCTTCATTCGCTTTCCTTTATGCCTCTGTCGGTGCGCAATAAGGTTTTGAGTCAAGATGGCCACGATTCACGGCCAGTGTTTGAGGATTTTTTTGGGATGGTAGGAGGGTAGTTGGATGTGTATTTAGCGTGCATGGTCGCCCGGAATTTACTTACGGTCAACCGTACGATGCAAATTCCAAGCCAGGCGAGCCAGCGAGCCAGGTCCTCACTCATATTTCTGCTGAATCACGTGCCATGATCTCGACAGGCTGAGGAAACCGCCTCCGAGACGATGGTTGCGTTAAGTTTGGGTAAGATGAAGCTTCTTATTAGAAAGAATGCTGGATGAGGCCCATGGCAAATTTCTTCCTGGAATCCTGGGCAACGGAGGCAACAGGCATGTGCAGATGAATATTCAATATGAGAGGCTTTGAAACTGCTAAGCGGAGTATTTCAGTCTAGGGAGGCTTCATTCATACTTGGCTCTAAGGCTGGCTCTTGCAGTTTCATATGCAGCTACCTTACTTGTCAAGCAATGTCTCGGGCCGGACAAGCAGTGACCTTCTCAGTCCCTCGACGCATACTTGTACCCAAGTATTTCATCACCGGGGAACGCTTGCGAGAACCCCAAGAAGCAAAATCGTATCCGGCCAAGCAGACCATCATCCACCCCTGTGTCTCCGCGGAGTAGAGCGCACCTTTTCAAGACTGAAGAGGTCGGGTCGTGCGTGAGCAGGTATGAGCATCTTCGCGGTTACTGGTGCCTCTGGTACCTGGAAAATTGCTTGGCATTTCAACAAAACCTATAAATTCCCCAGCAGTTAGAGCACAGCAACAAGGTTCTTCTCCGACATGAACTCATTCTCAACACGGTTAAATCATCATTGCGGGATTATGCGGGCTCAGACAAAAATAGGAGAAATCATTGTTCTCGGAATGGGGGACCGAATACTGGCCTTTTGTATGTGCCCATGCTTGTCTACTCTCAAACCCTCTCATGATTTGGCTGACAAAGACCTGTTAATTCCCCAGCAGTCAGAGCACAGCAACAAAGTACTTCTCCCGCAGCAGACTCAGTACGATCAGATTAAATCATCATTGCAGAGGGGTCGTGTTTGCTCAGATAGAAAGTTCGACATCATTGTCCCGGGAATGGGGGACCGAATACTGGCCTTTTGTATGTGCCCATGCCTGCCTGCCCTCAAACCCTCTCGTGACTTGACTGACAAAGACCTATAAATTCCCCAGCAGTCAGAGCACAGCAACAAGGTACTTGTCCCGCAGCAGACTCAGTATAGCGCACGGAAATCATCATTGCCACAGGCTCAGACCAGTGATTAGACGTCATTGTCCCGGGAATGGGGGACCGAATACTGGCCTTTGCATGTGTCCAAGGAACTTCCGAAGCCTCTCTTCCTTTGCCGTGGGCGATGGTTGCGGAGTAGACCTGGAGCACTACAATGGTCAGCCAGAGACAATGATGATGTACTCAGACACTGTATACCGACTGTTGCAGCACTTGATTGTGCTAGTATCTTGTTGGAAGATGTCTGATCGGTTCTGAGTTTCTCCAGGCAGTAGCCTCCCGTTCAACGGCATTGCAATGTGTGCTGGGGTGCCGCGAGGAGATTGGGACTTGAACAATGCCGGATAAAGGCGAGCAGTTCATGATCTCGATGTGCACGAGCTATGCGAAGTTGGGAACGTGGAAAGGTGGATAGACGATTGAGGGCAGAGAATGGAGAAAGTAAACAAGAGAATGGCAGGTTGGGAAGTTGTTGGGCAAGCTAGCAGAGTACACCTACGCAGTTACTCTGTTCACGAGGGGCGAAGAATTCGGTCCTGCCGAGGAAGGATGCTCCTGCCATATGGCTGGGTCCCCAACAGCAGTTTACCGCTACTGATATGCAGACAGGATAAAAAGGCATTGGAAATCCTTCCGAGCAACCTGCTCGTGCAACTGTTCTATTCAGAAAGAATGCCTACTTATTTCGAATATGGAAAGATGCTCTTGCTCTTCTGAGGAGCCCAAGGAAGGTGTTCTCTTCTTACCATCTCAGTCCCTTTAGGCAAATAGGAAGCGCTCCCCTGAAGGCAGTCACTCGCTACAAGACATTAAGCAGGGGAAGGCCGTCCCCTGTTTACAAAACAAACCCAGGCAGGCAGTCATTCATGTTCTCAGTCCCCAGCATTTGAGCTTGCTCAGACTGTAAGATGGAATTAAAATTTGGATCAAGAGCCACGGAATCCTAGCTTTTGAAGCTTGAGTTGGCTGATTTTCGGCAGCGATAGATTTTGGGCTCGAACCCTTTGTTTTCTAATTAGTATTGCATTCCTCCTTCAAGTTCAGAGCGACGTCTATGATCGGTTGCGAGGTCTAATCTTGCGCTTCTTAAAGCAGGGACGAACGGGACAAGGTGCAGAGTGGCATGAGCATCGAGTTCCAAACCTTACAATTCGACCTGCCAGATGATGTGGACTTTGGGCTACTGGCCGTGGTTCTATGTTTTTGGGAGCTCGAATGGTCTAGACGCACACGATAATTCCATTTTAGGAAACTTATTATCATCCAAGCTTTCAGCCCAACCATCTCTCGGCCGTGGCTCACTTGTTCAATTCTACATTATTCAAAGCGTTCATACTCCCTGCAAGCCTGCATGACGTCTCCAAACAAGATCTTGGCTCGTTGGCGCACAACATACTGTTTTCTGCCAAAATGTTTCCCGTTCTCATGCTGCGGGCATGCAACACAATCGTACATTGGCCCACATTCTCAGTCCTCCGCGTTTGACCTATGATCGACTCCTCCATTCATGGTAGGTAGGGGCCACAGGCTTCTGGAGAACCCCATTTGAATGTGACGTTGTTGCGCAGTCGCCCGCGAGGGGAAAAACGGTATCCAGATCAAGAAAAGTATTTATCACGACATCGAGGTGGACGCTACCGCGTTTCAAGATCTCGCCGGTTCGTTCGATAGCGGCAGTCTCCTCGGGGGGTAGCAATCGTCCCGGCTTGTTGTGTTCTTCAACAGCCTCCGTTACGACTTTACGGCTTACGTATGGGCCATTGGTGGAGGGCTGGGAGAAGCCTTTGAGTGCTTCTATTTCTGGCTGGCTGATGTCGTAAGGCGTCCCTCCACATCTATGAGATTTTTCGTAACATTCTTTCCGGAGCTGAGGGTCTGCTTTGTAAAACTCTTTCTTGAGCTCAGAGGGCATATTCGATGTCGCTGTCTAGA